AAACTAATCACAACAAGTTAAATAAAATTTATAACATTTAACACGTATAACATATTTAACATGTATAACATACCGATTGAAGAACAATTAGGTCGACTTGGCAGCGCTCATTTTGCTCCTTCGTTATCATCGGCTTCACAACAACTTCTTTTTTTGGCGTCCCCTTCTTTAATTCACATTCCGGGCAAAGTTTGACAAAAATTTCGAGTATTTCATTTGAGATCCCGTGATAATCTCCTCGCAGTTCTTTCCACATCAGATCCCGGCCGGCGTGTCCTAGTCTTTTGTGAGTTGACGTTAAAACATCGAAGAGTTCCTCTTTCTTGACGACTCGTTTTGGTTGTTCGTTCTCTCCTTTGTCTCCATGATTGTAGAGTATCATTGATTGCTCAATACATTGAATCGAGTAACGACGTGCCCAATTCGCCTCTCCTGTCGTTCGCTTCCGTTTCTCGCTTTCAACTTCACTTGACATTGTTGTCAATCTGTTCACAATTTCATCGTATTTTTACGTCGTTAGTATATGCGTTCGCTTTTTCAAAACTTGATACGCATCAAGTTGGTTGAGAAATTAATTCATCCTGAAAAAACAAATGATTCTGTATAATAAAACCAAAGAATCATAAAAAAAGCAGAAAGAAATTAATTCGAAATCACTGATAACAATGGGGTGGACTCCTCCCGGAGGACCCAATTTCAGCAAAAGGGCATTTTGACAACTTTAAATAGCTCGCTACAAAATCAATCTTTTTTTGCGTAAAAAATTTGAAACCAAAAACACGGTAAATTCATTTGAATCTAGCCATGTTCGCAGAAGCCGATTACAAAGATTTCGTACAAATCTAGTGAAAAAATTTCATTTGTAATCGGCTAGCGAAAAATTTCATTCGTTAGCGGCTAGCCGATTACGAATCATTCGTAAACGGCTAGCGAAAAATTTCATTCGTTAGCGGCTAGCCGTTAACGAATGATTCGTTAGCGGCTGAAATTCGTCAGCGGCTACGACATATATATTTGGAAAACCCAAAGCATACTACTATATATATCATACTAGAATTTCAGAATGCTCTAGAGGCTCCATAATATATTTATATTAACGAGAACAACGGGCCTTTCGATGAATGCCCAAATAATTCGGTTCCAGTATTGAATGTGAGTTTTCGTCTTAATAAAATCATTTTTTGATGTAAGTTGATTTCCAGACTATACCAATACTTTTTAGGATAGTCCAGAAGCGCCACTAACCGGCGAAGTGCAATTTCCAGTGCTCCCGGTGGTCAATGATGAAAACGAAGTCACTGATGGACGTCCAACATTTGCCTTGGGTGTAAGTTTTAAGTTTCAATATAAAAGTAAGATCAAGAGACTTTGGTTTGAAATAGTAGGCTGAAAACCAAGGATTTGGCTTTGTATTATTGCCAGATAGTTAAAAGTAATTTTTAGGATGAGCCGGAGGTCCCAGTGATCGATGACGGCAATGAGCGCTCAAATGCTACAGGGAATCAACCAACTGAAAACGAGCCCGACCAGTCAGCTGCCAATGAACCGGTTAGTGAAAATTCTTACTTACTGAGAACATCGTTTGTTGTTTGTGCTGCCAATAAATCTCAAATACAAACTAATTAAAAGTCCCTATTGACTTTTGACTTAACTTGCGGAACTAAAGTAAGCTCAAAACAAAATTAGGTTTTTAAAAACCATTCACTGAGATTTTTTAAATAGACAGTTTTGCAAATGAATTTCAAATTTACTGTTTTCAGCCTGCAGTCGGCAATGTGGAAAATGGTTTGGTCGATCAAGACGTGGTCTTCGATTTCTCTGTTCTTGATGGAGACTTGCCGTCAAAAAGACCCCCGATATGGGGTGAGTTCTTGAGTGATTTTATTGGAGTTCTTGACTTGAGAGATATTTCATAGAACCAGCACGAAAAGCCTATGTGCACTCCAAATAGACGAGAAACAAGAAGCCGAAACATGAACATTGATTGGGAGAATTATTATATATGTTACATCCTAATCCGATCCGGACGTCCGAAACCGACCACAAGATAATCAATGGCCGGATTCGGACGTCCGGATCAGATCCGGATGCCTGGTCGGATTCGGACGTAACATATATATATTGCCACAAATCTTTTCATTTCGGCTCTTTTGTTTGATTGAGTCAACTTGAGAGGCTTTCTCTGTTTGGCAATGATGACCGGTAGGATTTTTACAAAAGAAAGGAGGAGAGTTGGAATACACAGTACCCGATACAGTTTACAATTCTTTCTGGCAAGCTAAAAAGTTTTGCCTTAATAGCGGATCAGATTCAAACACCCTGGCCGCTCTACGTGACTCTCTCGCTCGTCCAGGAGTGTTTTTTCTCTGACCTCTATCCTATCAGTTACTAATAAGATGAATTTCAGATATGGATGAGAGCTTCCGTAGTGCTTTGGAGTATTTTGTTGATGAGCCCACGGAGCCGGCCTCTGATCTTTCCGGTAAAACTTTCCGAGGAACTTTCCAAGGAAAAGTAAGCGGGAAAACATAGTCGTGTTATCGGAAAGATCGGAAAGATTGCTGTAAAGATCAGAGACGCCGCCGGGACTTTTCCCGGAGCGTAGCACACGGGCTCTGGTAGTAGTCATCCATGTCGTCCCACTATTTACACAAACGGGATGAGTTTTTGTGTGTATGAATCTAATATAAACACCAATAATCACGTTTTTTTGTGCTGCTTGCAGGGATGAGGTTGTTTTTGCGAAAAATTTCCCTTTCCCTGCAATAACAATAAAATTAGTATTATTCGCTCCGTAGAAAGCAATTATAGGGCTTTTCAAATATTGACTTTGTCGCGAAAAATGGGGGCACAACGAAAACTATTTAAGAGGTTTTGTGCGTTGCTATTTTCATGGAAACATATTTACTCTCTAGAATTAAAATGATGTTCTTCATAGCTACAGTATTACTCGGATTTATTGAATTGGTAAATATTTGCAGTTTTGTATTGAGTTTTGAGCGATTTTGTACAGTTAATTAGGAATTGACTCCCTCTGGAGTAAGGGAGATGCATTGTGGTGTAATGGTTAGTACAGTTGCCCGGTAAGCGGAAGGTCGCGGGTTCGAGACCCGGCGACGCATTATTTGCCCTAGTTCCAACTTCCAGAAAATTTTTGTCTAATTAGACGCCAATTAATAGTGGCTAAAGGAAATGGAGCCGTATTTGAATTTAGTATGCTTAACTTAAACAAGAATTCCTTAGATCGATGCCACTTGCCCCACATTGCCGTCGACGATTTCTCCGATGATGTCCCTTGGTGGTGGGCATTGTTTTACAAAAAGCCTAACAAAATTTTCCTTTACTAAAAGAGATTCTCCCAAATTTTTTACGCCTTCCGAAATTCCTCTCTTTCAGTTTCGTTTCCCAGTTGTGCCTCCAACACGACCTGTTACAACTATTTGGGTATTGATGAGTGCTTTCCACAATTGTGCGAACCGTTGCCCGCTGGAGTGTCCACTCAAATGTTTGGTAAGAGGATTTACTTACAAAATTGATCCATATAAGTTTAAATTTGACGCTTCTTAGTGTCCTGCCTTTTTTCAGAGGATATTTAGTCTAACTTCCATTTAGCAAACGTGCCTTATCAGCTTGTCTTTTCAGCAAACGTGTTTGGTCTTCCGTGTACACTCTATGGCTCGACATTTGTATGTTATAGTTCACAAGGAATGAATGGATGCTATCAAGTGGGCGATTGAGTTGATACCTTTTTCTCGGTTTGGTTCTACAACAAAAATCACTTATTTTTATTAGACTTAGAGGGAAAAAAATTGAATTCGGCTCCGTAACAGTGGTTGGGATAATTATTCTGATCCAGATTATCCAAAAACTCTAAATAATTCCACTATCCGGAGTTTTCCGGATAAATATCCGGATTATCTGAAAATTCACCTGATCCGGAAGCCCTCTTTTTTCAAGACCCCAAATTCCATATGAATGTAATTCGAATATTAATCTCACAGCAAACTAGACTTGATAACGAGGCTTAACGAGCGGTTAAGCTTCGTTATTTGGCTTCAAGTTTGACCAGTGATATCAGCGCACTGGAATTTGCTAGTAATCTGAAACATTTTCTACCAGAAAGCCTAGATTATCAGCTTCCTTTTGATACCAAACATTCAACAAAAAACGAGACCTTAAAGAGGCCTCGCTAAGGGTAGTAATTTTAAGGTTTAATGTGATTTTTTGGTATCAAAATGAAGCTAATAACATTGGCTTTCTGAGAAAAAAAGTTTCAGATTGCTAGCAACTTTTAGTGCGCCGATATGACTGTCCAAATGGGAGCAACCCCTAAATATCGTTAGCCATGTCTACAACAAACTATTAGTGTGTTTCAGACACAAGTCACAGCCAGCACCCCGATTTCCCAAATCTCCTCAAATAGTCCATCTACATGCCCCTCATTGCCGTCAACCGTTTCCCCGACAATGTTCGTCGCATGTGAGTGATCACCGAAATTTTTAGTAGAGATCGTCAAGTTTTTTTCATTCATAAATTCAAAAGGTTTAGTAAACGGGAATTGTCCCTGGTTTTAGGTAAAACAATGAAGAACCCCTATAGTTTTGTGGTTTCAGTTGCTTCCCCTGGTAGCCTCGCGTGTCCAGCCGGTTCCACTTGCTATTCGATAGTCGGAATCAATGGATGCTATTCATTGGGCACCTCAATCACCACCGAAAATTGCACCGATGCTAGTCCATCGTGAGTTTTAGGCAAAACTAGCATAAAACTTGTAATACTTTTTAAAAAGTCAATGTTCATTGGTTTTATTTATGTACGATGCTTAAAGGATTTGGCCGGTCAGGTCTAATCACTCGAAATTTGCCAAAAACAGTGCATCAAAATGTACATCAGTTATATAAAAGAAAAGGGGAAAACAGTTCAGCAAGAAATCAATCGTTTTCAGGTGCTCAATCTGGGCCGATTGTGGCTTTTGCAATGATCCAATTGTGGCCAGCGTCGACAAAGCGAAATATTGCATGAAAACGTGCAATCTTTGCATTTGAGGCCATTTCTTTTTAATTAACACTATTTATTGAAGCATTTTCATGTGCGAATTGTGTGCTTGATATTAAATAAGCTGTAAATAAGTTAATAAACGTTCTCGCTCAAAGCACAAAAGCCTGTTATCTGAACCACAATTCCGTCTTTCCGTAACTGAAAATCACCAAATTTTCGCATTTTCATTTATTGGAAAATATCTTCTTGAAAACTTCATGATAAAATTTAGTTCACCAAACGAGCAAGTACACGGGGCAAGCATCAACTCCTTTTTTTGCCCATTAATGTTTGAAAAACAGTGGGACGATTATGGCCAATTAAGTACATCCCACGTCTATTTACACCTGGAAACGCTGTTTCCACTTATCAACAAAAAACTTTTTTGCAGGAGGGATGAACCCGAGCAAAAACTGTATAGGCCATCTTTGATACAAGGCTCCTACCCACCACACCACCTGCACACTTGTTTTGGAGGGTGAAAGGGACTTTATAGAGGCAGCCCGGAACTTAAAATGCTTATAACTTTTGCCAGAAAGATGTTTCGCCGATTTTGAAAGCAGATTCGGAATCGCAATAAAAAAATGCGTAAGATGAGCTAGGTCTCATCGCAGAAGCCATTACAGAAGGCCTGTTGCACTTTCCTAGAAGGCGTCGACGATTTCGTGAAATGAGCGGAGAAATAGATAAATTTGCGGGGAAACCCCATCACAAATGTGCGACGCTGAAGAACGCTTGAGTGGGTGTTTTTGGGAAAGACGACGCAACTGATTGTTCATTGTACCAATACGCCCGTTCGGCGCTTATTTCCAAGCGCAATTCTTTATGCAATCGTCGTCGACTTCTTTGTGAATTTATTTTGTGCTCATGTCATCAGCGTATGCTGCCATAATTTGTCTCGTCATTCATGGTTTTATCGGCTTTCACACCGTGCAGTTTTTTCCCCACAATCAAATGTACTGTCTAGAAATGACCCATTACGAGGTTACTGCATTGTTACCTCAGCTTTTCCCTTCCTGTGACTCTATTGCACAAACTATTCTTATTGAAACACATAGGAAGAGATCTTGTAAACACGTTTTATTTTTGTTTAAATTACTTCTTTCACTAATGACCAGCCAATATCGGGGCCAACGCTGATACCCTCCGAAGCACCACCGACATCTATACCGGAACGCCAAGCGCCCCTCCGAGGCTCCTGTAACAATACCTTCACCGCGAGGCAACTCAAATTAGCATATTTCAACTCTATGCCTAAAAAGATTTAGAGCAAAAAAGTTTGGAGCGGACAGGAATCGAACAGGCACCCTTTTGGGGCGATCGTTTTAGAGACGCGACGCTAACCACCTCGACCACGCTCCAAAAACCAAAATTGTAAAGACCTAAACCAACCTAAAACAAGCTTAAGCTTCAAGCTGAACATGCCAGACAGGGTTGGTGAGATATTGAGTGATACTTGTAAAAGTACAGCTGAATATCTTAAGCAGTCCTAGTTGTGAATCTGGGTCGTGTAACCGAAAAGGATTACTTATGGCTGCAATTTGAATGTGGAATGGATGAATCTTCCGGAAAACTTGAAGGTTTGTTTTGATGAAAACGTAATTTTTGTGACTTTTTGGGTTATTCAGTCTGTGTTTTGTTTGTTTTTTAAAATTGTTTTAATCGTTGAAGATTTTAATCAGAGTTTAAAGTTTATTACTTTTTGATTTCAATGGTATCGTTTGATTATATATCAATATCAATTTTTAATAAACTTGACGCGACTCACTCCCCTCCACTTTCATTCGTTGATTCACCTATGTATATGAAAACAAAAAAGAGGAGACATGCAAAAAAGCAAAACCTTGTGCTTATGAAGTGACTCTTATGACATGGAGCATTATCTTGGTATAGGGCCCATCCATTCGGCATGTTTGCATTGGAGAAGGGCAGTAATTGATTCTCAATGATCGATTTATATCCCTGGGCGTCGAGCGCTCCGTTGATGAGCACTAGAGGACCGGGCAAATCTCGTGTCATCGCGCCTAAACAGAACAAACTGTAAGTCAAAATCTAGACAAACTCTTACCCCATAGCATGATACTTCCCCCACCGAATTTCACTGTAGGTTTCACGTATTTGAGCTTGTAGCGTTGTCCAATGGGTCGTCTGATCAAATGGTAGCCGTCCGGGTAGTACATATTGATCTTGGTCTCATCGGTGAAAATAACTCGAGCCCAATCGTCAGCAGTCCAGAATTCGTAGTTCTTTGCAAAAGCCAATCTCATCCTCCGGTGCTTGGAAACCATCAAGGGCTTCTTGGCTGGCCTTCTCGCATACAATCCAGCTCGAATCAAGCGTCTGTTGATGCTCCAACGAGAGATATCCTTGTTTGAAACGGCCTTCAGGTTCTTGATCGCATGGCTCGATGTCAGATTTGGGTCTTTTCGATGGTCCCTGATGATCGATCGATCTTCAGTTGGAGTTGTGATTAGTCGCCGGCCACTTCCTGGAGTTCTGTGAAGATTTCCACCGGCTTTTGCTTTTGCTACAAGACGATTCACGGTACTTTTCCCGCATCCAAAGAGAATTCCGATAGCTCGGCTGTTTCCTCCATTGTTCATCGCTACCACTATCTTCACCTTATCGGGAGTAGATAGATGCTTGCGCGGAGACATCTAAAATAAAGAATCAATAGGATATATCTCAAGAAAAAGCACAAAAGAAAATAAAAACAATACTTTTTCTATCTTGGCCCATTTTTTTTTGCACCACTGTTTCAGACCATATTTTGGATAATGTATTTTTTTCACTAAAATGATAAATTGTTACGTCTTATGATTATGCGTTATGGAAACTAGAAGTAATGGGCTACTTAAAACCTCTAATGGCTTTTAAACTTTTATTGAAAATTTTTTTTATTCTTTGCAAAATAACTTCTGCCGAGGACTGGCCCAATTTTTTTGCACCATACTGTATATCAATATCAATTTTTAATAAACTTGACGCGGCTCACTCCCCTCCACTTTCATTCGTTGATTCATCGATGTATATGAAAACAAAAAAGAGCAGACATGCAAATAAGCAAAACCTTGTGCTTATGAAGTGCAATTTTTCATTTTAAATCAATCTCATCAAATGATTCCTACCGTATTCCTATGTTCTCTATTTCTTTTTATTTTTTTGCTTTGTTCCTTGTGAGGCTTGTCAACCCACAGCCCACAATTCTCCTCGTTTCTATGAAGTTATCGAAAAAACTGATGCATATTATTTCTTGAGGAATCAAGTTGTGAGTTTAAAGTAAAGATTTAAATTTAAAGTCTTTTATAGAGAATGGGAAGGCTCAAACGAGAGGTTGGACTTGAAACTGATCAACCAAAAGAAATCGAATCATCGAGTGAGTCGAGTGAGAATGAAGATATTGCACCAAAGGTAAGGAAAAACCATTTTGAAAAAGCAAATAATGTTCAGGGAAAACCGGTGTTATTGAGGGAACCCCGATACGAATTGGCTAATCTCGTGCTACTTAGCATTCTCGGTTTGTAAGCTTTCAAAAGTACTAAAGTTGATACCTTTACAATTCCTTTTCAAGTTTTTCTTTCCATGGAAACGAATTCTTCACCAAATTTGTTGCGTTTTAAAGGTCTTCATTTCACTTGAGCTTTTGAGAGAAAGTTCAAAGCTTGCCTCAACTCGTTAAAAACCCATTTTATATGAAATTTTCAATTACTGTTTTAAAGAAATCGCTGAACGGATCGTTTTCAAATTTTACAGACTTTTGCAACCAAAAGAGCTCTATCTTTTTTACTTTAGCACCAAAATAGGTTTGTATTGAAGAAAGTGTCCAAATTGCAATTCGGAGGAGTTTCGGAGCAAAAGTGCTCGACTTGTGCTCGACAAAAGTGCTTGGGTGCTCGATTTTGTGCCTTTGAAAATCCACAAAAACAACTACTTCAAAGAATTTCACAAAAGCCATTTTGCAGACAAACAATTAAGCTTTTTAATAGTTTAAATAGAAAATTTGTTGGTGGCGACATTGTTTTCAAAAGACTTTGAAAAAGAATTGTAAAGACTTATGCACAAACCTAATAGCAAAAAGTATTGGAAAAAATATCTCATCTCATTACAGGCAACAATAAAGTTAAAGCAAAGACAATATCAAGTGTATTTTCAGTGTTCATCGCCATCTTCACATTGATCGTTTCACTGAGAAAGAATCACAGCCGTTCTATTCACTCCACAATAAACCATGAATATAAATTGCTTCATCAAAGTCGACAATCAGCTAATGTATAAAAGAATTGTGCATAAATTATTACTGACTTGTCCTAAAACTGAAATGAAATGCTGAAGATTAAATTCTGATACCTGTCAAAGAAACTTTTTATCTTTTTATCTACATACAGTACTGGACAATGAAATATCATATTTAAAAAACGACCGTCACTTTCACGCGTCTGTAACTCCCTTGTCTTTACCGTATTTCTAAATATTAATATTACCATTGTGTAGCCCTTGAAAAGAGCTTTCAGAAAATATATAACACTAATAGTTTAGACTCAAAGACAAGGGAATTACAGACGCGCGAAAGTGACGATCGTTTTTCAAATATGATATTTTATTGTCCAGTACTGTACTCTACAACCACTTTGTAAAGAAGATTTGCTCGCTTTTGTACCTTTGAAAATCCACAACTACTTCCAAGAATTTCCCAAAAGCCATTTTGCAGAGAAACAACAAGGAAAAAATTAATATGAATCATTACCTACTGTAAAGTTCACAAAACACTTGCTAAAGTTATATTTTGTTTCATTGTTTATGTCTCAATAAGTCATCGTTGATTCAACAGATGTTTTCTTTTGTCAAATAATTAAAATATCGATGGTTTCTCGAGCAAACATTTTGAATATTAGCCGTCAAAACATTTTTCCGAAAGCAGAAAGATTTTAGTTTATGATTGAGAATCGAATCGATGAAATTAAAAAAGAAAATGAGTTTTACAAAGTTTTCATTAGTTGATCATGTCAGCAAAGAGATTTACATCCGAATAACAAGTTTATGCACTTCAAGAAAACATTTTATTGATGCATTAGGAGTTTTCTGACACAAAATCCAAACCATTTTTCGTCATTGTGTCGTTGAATCAATTGATTCATTGGAATTCCGTGCATTTAAGTAAAAACGTGGTCTCTTGCAATGGAAAGGCTACTCAAGGTAATCCACCAAGTACTTGCAATGATTCGATTTGAAGTAATCTATATGATTATAGTGATTATAATTAGACTTGCTTAACGGTAATTATTAGGCCCTTTTATTTTAATATATGCGATGCCACGCAGCGTAGCAGTCTATTTAATCCGCAAAAATGCCGCATTGACAACATATTCTGATTTTCTGACAACAAGGTCATTAACGCAATTTCATTTTCAATAAAGCAATGCAATTTTCTAGGCTCTGATCAATTTTATGATTATATGGTTGTGAATTTTTCTTCAATCGTTCCATTTTACTGGTTTCCCCGAGTGGCTGAAGTGCTTTGAAATAATACTTCTGGCTTGCTTTTTATTGGTTCTTCGTTGAAAGATCTAAAAATTGGGTTGGTGGGTATGATTTTGCACGTTTTTTTCTTTCGTTAGCTATCTTTTTCTTTAGTTAACAACTTCAAATCATCATAATTACTGTTATTTTGCATGGTTTGTGCCCATTTTACTGGTAGAAGTCGAATCTTCGTAGAAAATCTTCGGCTTTGACGAAAACCAATCTGTCAGCCATTTTTTGACCTCTTCTTTGGAAGCATAGTGTTTTTTCACCAAATCATTGCTCATCGCCCGGAGTAAGTAGTAATCAAAAGGTTCAAGATTAGAGCTATGTGCTGGATGGGCTATCACCTCCCATCTAAGCGAGTTTAGTTTAGAACGAGTCATCTTCGAAACATGCTGTCTAGCTTATCATGTTGAAGAATGACTTTCTCTTTGGAGTCTTTTCTATGGCAAAGATTTGGCTGACATGCCAAGTTGCTCCGAGTATTTGATTAAGTTGAGTGTTGAGTTGCTATCCAAATGCTCCGAGCAGATAGGCTCTTCCAAATCCCAGAACACCGAGAGCAAACTTCTTCTCATGCAGATTTGGCTTGACGTCGTGTTCGAGCTTTTCCCCCTCAGCAACCAATTGGCGCCATCTCCGTAAGTTGACAGTTAGAATCCATTTTCATCCCCCGTCACAATACGGAGTAAATTTGCGCTCGTATCAAGGAAGATGAGCGGCACTTTCTGACATGTTGCCATTTCTGGATGTCCGTTAAATTATGTGGAATCCAAGTTCCTAATACGGTTTAAACCCAAGTGTATGCAATGTTCGAGTATTATTGTATGATCAACTGTCAACTCTTCTGCTATTTCGTGACAAGAAAGCTTTTTGTCGGTTTGAAAAATTTCGAGCAACTTGGCATTATCCAGCTAGACTACTGAATGACCCCTCGTTCGTCTTTGAAGATTAATCCCCAGAACGGAATTTAAAAAACCAGTTTGCACATGTCCGTAGTGGAACTGATCCTTCCACATAAGCATTCTCAATGTTAGTTGAACACTAGAGGCCCTTTTCTCCTTGTAGAAATTCGTACAAAATAACGTATCGCAGATCTCCAGGTGGTGAATTTTCAATAGTTAGGAGAAAGTAAAGTAAAATTTCAAAAAACAAATACATATGTCAAAAGTGAAAGTTTATTGTTTTTGCAAGAGTGAATGTTCACTTACCTCTTTTCCACAAACTCCCTCATATTTGTTTACATCTCTGGAATTTAATTTATTCTTGCCCTGCTCACCGCCCTCTCTATTTTTTATCAAGCAAAAAATCTGAGTCACTTATCTTTTCCCTTCTTTTCCCTATCGATTCAAAATCGACTTTGACTCATAGTTCGATCAAACAGCTAAAATTTATTCAAGAACTTTGTCTTTCTTTTCTTATAAACCATTTCCTCTACGTTATTATCTTGTCATGGTTTCCCATTTCCCTATTTTAAAGCTTCCCAAAAAATTATTGGAGCTCACTTTTGCGTCAATTGAGCCTAAAAGCGGCATCAATATGAAAACAAATCGAATGATGAGGGAATTCTTCTTACGAAATGGACTTTTCAAGTTGAAAAACAATCATTTGAGGTTTCTTTTCCTTCGAAAGCGCTCCAATAACAACAAGACAAGACAACAACAACAAGAACAACAACAGATTTTCTACAATGTTTGCGTTCAAATAACCATGCCACACATTGAAGTGATGATTGAAATTGAGAGCGATGGAGAGAGTGGATCGATTAAAGTTCTTGATCGCTCACTCGGCACTCTGACGAAACCTCATCCCTTTCACTTGGAATCTCAGATGTGGCCACTTGTGACAAAGCTTAAGAAGAGTCCTCGCTCATTCGTAATTTTTCTTTTACACCAAATCGACTTTGAAACGAAATACTGGAAACGTGTTGATGAAATTCTTCAAAAGATTTCGAAAAATTGTCAAGAAATCAGAGCTTTTGAGGAGTTCAAGTTGGCTGGTGCTAGTTCTGGGGACATCGATGTGCTTAGTCGATATTTTGACCGGATCGAGTGCGAGAAGCTGCATTTGAAGAACTTCTCTAACGACTCGGAAATCGAATATTTTCATGGAATCTCAGAGCGAATTTCTGGGAAAGAGACAATCAGAGAACACATTCAATGAGCGCTTGCTAGGTATTTATTTTTAAAAGCCCTGTCAAGACACATTTTAGGTAGACAAAAAGATTCGGTACATTCAAATTGTTATCAGCAAGCCATTCTAAAAAAACCATTATTTTTTTGAGCTTTAAAAAAGAATTTCGAAAGAGAGCTTCAAAAAACCGAAAAAAAGAGATTGCCGAATTTCGTGGGTTTTCTGTTTTATTACATCAGAGAAAACTCTGATGTAATGTGTTTTTCATTGAACTATTTAGCTACTATATGTCTGAACTACTATAAGTCTACTTAGTCTTTTATAAAACAACTAGAAATACTCAGCTTATTTTTTCCATCTAGAGTGGTAAATTCGGGGAAAACGGTGAGAAGCTTTAGTAAACCGGGTTCTGATCTCAAGCAAGCAAAAATAAAACAAAAAAACTTCCTTGCCCGATCATATGAACACAACATAAATGAAATCGCTTACAAGAACATTCAATTTTTCGGAAAACAGATTAAAGAGGCTCTGTAGTGAAACTTTTCGTTAAAATAATAATAGTTTTATTTCGTTTTCATCAAACCTGTGCATTGTTTACAATGCTTATTGTTCAATTTTTTTCTTTTTCTTGTGCGTTTTGATACAGATCGAGTAGCAATTTTTACCAAAAATGACATTAAAATAAAATCAGTGTCACTTCCGAGCCAAACTGAAATTTTAGTTACTATTGTTATTATTGAATGACTTGTCTATTCTGATGTAAATGTGATCTCCCCTGTGCTTATCCCTTTCATAGCCGAGAAGGGACGGCCCTTTGGATTGCCTAGGAGGACAAGTGAGGCTCTCACTTCGAGTCCCCCTTCCCCTTTCACTCATTTGTAATCTATTCGTCTTATCGTACTACTGTAAATAAAGATATAGATCTTCCGGGTTTATGCAACTGCAGTTCAGGTCGGTCATTTCACAGGGACTCCCCTCTAATACGTTGGAGGAGTTGAGTTGGGTTGTCGGGGTGTTAGAGATGGCGGGATATCAAAAGGATCCACTCTCTTTAACTTAACCCAAATTCTAGTCCATATTCGTTTACACCTAAAAACGAACATGAGCTCCAATCAGCTTAAATTCTTAATCCATTCAGTCAACACTTCTGTCAGCTTACTTTCCATTGTAATGGTGTACATCTAAATAGTTTGGAATTTTCACTCGTCGTACATTATACTTGTTTATTTACAATAAATAAATACATAGTTAGATACAGGGAAAATTAAACGTATTTGCATGAACAAGAATAAGAACAAGAAAACAAGAATTTTCTATGGGAACTTCTTGAAGTGGAGCCATTTTTGCACCTCAGGGCTCGAATCTCGGAGTTTTTGTAAATTTATAAAATACAATCTAGTAACTTTCAGCTGGCCACTGAAATTTACTAGATTGTATTGGGGTGGTGAATGGGGAAACTGCCGGCTATTGTCATATGTGACAGTTTGAGAACTTTCTTCAAAAGAAACCCATTTTGGTGTCAATAGAAAAGTTGTAGAGAATCAAAAATCAAGATTATATCCAAACTTTCAGAAAGATTCAAACGCTGGTTTTCAAGAAATGCCAAATTTACGAATTTTCACAAAACTTGCATTTTAAGCGAAACTACTAAGTGTATCTTTTTGGAAATTTGGCTATAAGCCGAAACTTGGCTTCAAATGCCATTTCCAAAGCTCTTATTATGTTTTTGGAATCTACGCATAAAATTACCCCAGAAAAAGTGGTTTTGAAGAAAAAAAAATTATCCCCCCGGCGTAGTATCCTCATCTTATATCTGTTTATTACAAAAAAGCAACAATGATTCCAAAAATTCGGAAAAAATTCGAATAATTTTTGACAGAAAAAAGGGAGTTGTTTGTTGGGTGAAATTCCGATGATTCAATGGAATTTCGAGGACAAAAAAGCGATAAGAGAGGCATTTTTTGATTTCCGATTATCAAGTTCGTTATTTTGGAAATGTTTTTCAGGCGTCATTTCTATTTGTCACTTATTTAGAAAACTTAAATCGGAATCTCGAATTGTAAACAGCTAACTTCAATTGATATCACTGTTGTTTCAGTGAATCGTTGATTTTGTCAACTATCGTTGATCTTGTCGATTACTATTTCAAAATAAAACTACCCAGTTTTTCTATTCTATACACTTGTATGGAATCAGTTTTTTTGACATTTAACATATTTTAAAATATTCCAGAATCAATTCCCTCATTGAAAACTCCCAAAATGCGCTCAAGCGAACTTTGTCCCAACTCGCCGAACATCACCGTCATTGATTCGGCCCGTGTCGCCTATTCGACGATTCTCGGATTGACCACTCTATTCGGTTTCATCTACAATGTTCTCCTGGTTATCGCTGTTTTCCTAAACCGGAAAACTTTCTTCCGAAACTCAGTCTATCAGCTGATCTTCTCAATGGCAATCATTTGCTCAATCTATTTCTTTGCCAACTTTCTGGTGGCTATTCCAGGTAAACATGGCATCGGATGGATCTGATAAGCTTTGTCGGATTGAATCGGATCGGATATTATCCGATGGGGAGGGGTCACCGAATCGAATCCTATCGGATAGAGGGGTCTATCGGATCAGCTCAGATTGGATACTGTCCGATGGTGGTGTCTTTGGATAAAAGCTTATCGGATACCATGTCAGGTCGACTTTTCATGTGTTTTTAGAATTTTAGTTCTCATCGATTCGTACGAATATTTGGAATCACCAATCACAATGAAATATCTCTCAAGTCTGAACACTTTTGGGCACTACACAGAGCAATTGATTCTGCTGGTCATCTCGCTGAATCGCTTTTTGCTTGTCAGCACATCTTTGAAGAGAAATGAGATGAGAAGAGTATTTGTAAGTGTTTTAAAGAGAATTCTATGGTTTGCAAATCAAAATAATGCTTCAACTTGTTACATGAAATAATCGATTTGCTCTGTTAAAAGTTTAAGAATTGGTTGGAAATAAATTGACTACGAGTTTACAGACTGTTTACAGACTGTTTACAGATGTTTACAGACTGTTTACAGACTGCTTACAGATGTTTACAGACTTCTATTATGCTTGAAAGTTTTACAAAAAGTTTAAAGAATGAGAATTTTTATATTAAAAATAATTCAATGGCTAAAAATTGATTACAGTTTAAATTTAGAGTTTTGAAACAAATAAACTTGTTACATGCCGGTATTACTAGGTTGATGCGAAAGAAATTTCGGTCGATATAAATTGTTCTATTTTTTAAAATTTGAAAATCTTATTTTATTTTTTATACTTGTACTCTTGGATATTTGCTTTATTTTTACGCTTTTTCTAAGCCAAAGCTTTCACCATTTTTAATTGATATTTGCTTTAGATCATGTGGATCAAAAAGTGTCTCCTCTACGATTTCAAGCTGGGCAAAAACGCTGCCGAATCACATCGTGATCTCTCTGTTCCGCTTTTGGAGAACAAGTTATGACTGAAAGACCCTGCCAGCTCTGGTTTGCCCGATTCCGAGAAGGTATTGAATCTCTTGAAGACGAACCACATGGGCATCGCTCGGCAGCGATCGATAATAAGAGTTGGAACAACTTATTAAAGCCGATCCAATGCAAACAACACGAGAGCTTGCCAAACATCTCCATGTTTGTTTTACAATTTTGCTTTTTTAATGGTTGCGGTACTTTGCCCACGCTTTAGCGCGCAGAAAGTTGAAAAACGCTACTTTAGCGTTCAAAAGGCATCAACTTTTCACAGATTCACCCAATTGATCTCGTTTTGGTGCCAAAATGTGCACAAGACCCTTGAGCATAAAATTTGGTATATGACGCTCACCAAAATTTTCTTATCGCCGAGAACCAGCCTGTAAAAGAGAGGCATTTTTAGCGTTTATATGAAAAAAGTGATTTGATTTGGATCTGTCCTCGCACTTAGCGCAGATCACAACCCGCTTCCACATTTACTGAGGCAGAAGTGTAGTTGTCGTAGCCGATGATACTCCGATGGCCGGGCTGGGGCGCTCGGAGGGGAACCCATGGGAGTCGAACCCACGACTAACCCGCGCCGACGTTGCTCAACTTGGCAGATCGGACGGGGTCGACCACAGACCCTTCCCTTCCTGGGCCCCAAAAGTGATTTTTTCGATTTAAAAAATCTGTAAGACGGATTCGAAAAATTCTTCCAAATTCAGGACATTTTTCGCATCAAATAGCACTTACCGTGAGCAAATTTAACGGCGATCGCATTTTTCGCCTTACTTCGCGCAGACGTGCGATGGGTTCCACATCAATTGAGTCCCGAGAATCTGGGAGCACGCGGTTCGATCAGCCATATCTTGCTTCTCAAGAAACCATTTTTTTAAGAATATCTTGACGATGGACGAAAAGTGGATTCACTTCGATAACACTTATCCAAAAGTCAATGGCTTATCAGGGGTCAAATGCCAATTCCAACTCCAAAGCCGGATTATCATGGGCACAAAGTAGTGTTGTCTTGCTGGTGGAATATCAATGGGCTTGTTTATTTTGAATTATTAGAGCCCAGAAAAACAGTTTATTTACCTTGTTTTATTCAGCAGTTCAAGAAGGTTGACAAAATTTTGCGTCAAAAGGGTTTAAATCCCTCGACTGTCAATTTTCTCCGTGACAACGCGTCAGCTCACACAGTATGCTTCTTGTATGAAATTAGGGAAACTAGGATGGAAGGTCTAACCGCATACGCCATTTAGTCCAGAATTATCACCATCTAATTTTCACCTCTTCAGATCGATGCAACATTTCCTTGCGAATTGCCAGTTTAAGAATGCGCAAGAGGTCGAGATTTGGGTGACCGACTACTTTCAATCATAGAATCAAGAGTTCTTCGATAAGGGGATCCGCAATCTGAAGCAACGTTGGAGAGATGTTATAGATAACGATGATGCGTATTTTTTTGGAATAAATTGTTACCTAAAGGAATATTGATTAAATTTAATGTTTGTAAAAAAACGAAATTTCTTTTGCATCAACCTAGTAGACTAGGCGGTTCTAATTTGTACTAGACAATAATTTTGAATAAAAAGTCAAACTGTAGCTTAGATATTAGTTAAAATACATGTCAAGATGTTTGTTCAGGAGTTTCTTCATATCATTTGTTGGCTCTACGGACTCGCGATAACCGTTGTGCCAAATCTTTTGGGATGCTTTAAAGTTTTCTCCCCGAAAACTTTGAACTTCACGTTTTCGTGTGCGAAGTGTGGACTCATGCTTGACTATTATATGATTTCAGGTAAGCCGATAAAACTTATAGTTTTATCAAATTCTCAGGCGAAGCAGCCCCAGTGATTATGATCTTTCTCTATTCGTTGATGGTTCTTCGGCTGAGATCGTTGCAGAAGCGATTGCAAAGAAGAGACTTGCGTTTGGTTAGTGGTTTTGATACCTGTTACTATTTCCGATCACGCTTTACATTTGACTTCTCAAATTTACATGGGAAAAGTGGCTTGCATTTGTTTGAATTTTAAATATCATTAGCGAAAAAGGGGGGAAATTAGGGGGCCCCCAAAAACAGTAGATTTGTATTTGGTGATCGGTCAGTTCAAGATTTAGTAGTGAAAATAGAAAAGCTAACTATTGCATCTGGTTTTTTGTGGTAAAAGTTAAAAAAAATTCATCAGACTGGCGAAAACCCCAGTACCATTGCCCCATTAGAAAAAGTAGCGAAATCCCGCTTTTGAAATGCAAGTTCAGGTCAAATGCAAAGTGTGGTCGAAAATAGTAAAAGGAACCGTAATTTTTTTAAAAGAAATCCAGTCTTGAGAATACCGCCAAATGATTCTATTTTTTCTTTTAAATATCTTTTCGATTCAATTTTCAACTTGCCACGAATTCTGCCTGAAAATCTAGCTACTCGTTTACAGTTTCCCCAAAGCCATATAGTGATTTCTAGGAAACAAAAGTTATTACATTGTAGTTTACATGGTAGATTTCGAAGTCTAGTTTCTATATCTAGAGTAACGGACACCAATTTCTACAACTAAACAACGAAAGTATTACAAAGACGTGTTCACCTTCCGAGCAATAAGTCGTCTACTTTTCATTGAGTTCTTCACTGTAATCCACTCATCTACTAGAATTCATAAAGCAAAAAACAATCTTTTCAGACCCTCCAATGCTTTCTCATTTGCTTCTTCTCATGGCTGGCCTCGTTTTTCTTCTTTTTCATGCCAAAATTCTTCGCCGGCTCTTTCGTCTCATCAATTCTCGTGCTCACCGTGAGCACCGTGTCGAAGACGGCCAATCCTGTGATTTTGTTCGTTTTCAATGTAAAGGTGAGCTGAGCCACAAGTTTCAGCAGTATCCATAGAGTAGATCCGTGATGCAATCGGAACTTTTCTCACCACCGGCAAGGCGATTCCATCAGAATGTATCACATCGACTGTTTACTTCAAAAAACCATGTCAAGTTGAGCGTTGAGTTGAGTTGCGAAAGCGAAAAATGACTCCATCAGTTTAAAATTTTAATAAATTCTACCAATAATCAAAAATAAATGAGTTTGGAATATTTATTCGTATGCAATTCATTTCATTTGCTGGGAAACGCGGCAACCAGCTCGGCCTCACAGCGAAATTTTCACTGATTCTGAATATCTAGGTCGTTTATATGTGATGGGTTCAAATTTTCGCAAGAATTTTCTATGGAAGCCCCTTGAAGTGGAGCCATTTTTGCACCTCAGAGCTTCAATCTCGGTGTTAGCTGGTCACTGAAATTTACTAGATTGTATTTTATAAATTTCCAAAAACTTTCATATAAAGACGCAAGCAACGCCTTGAGGCTGTTTCTAACGAAATTTTCGACTCCCAACCCAGTTCCTGGCTTACAATTACCAGCAACCGCCGGCACATATATCGCCAAACATTTTTATATATTTTTAGGACCAGTAAAATTGTATTACTAAAAATTTGAATGGCTTAAATTATAAGATAAAGGATAATTAAATTATAAGATAAAGAAGATTTTCCATGAATAAACGAATAACACAAATCTATCGGAGTTGAGCACGATATCTATTAGGTTGGCAAAAAAAAGAAATGCGCGTTTTCGTTAAAAGTTTATTTTAGTATAAAAACAAGATAACAATACATTAATCCAAAAGGTATTCGCCATCTGCATCAATGACTTGTCACCAACGTTCAGGCAGAGAATGGATGCCCTTCTTGAAGAACTCGACCGGCTGCGACTCGAAGAAGTTGGACACCGAAATTTGGACCTCGTCACGGTTCTTGAACTTTTTCTCGGCCAAGAAGTGGTGCATTGATCGGAACAGATGGTAGTCGGAAGGCGCCAAATCTGGGCTGTATGGCGGATGAGGCAGAACTTCCCAGCCCATTTCTTCAACTTTCTGCTGGGTGATTTTTGCGACATGCGGCCGAGCGTTGTCGTGGAGGAATATTGACGCCGCAGCGCCTGGTCCACGCGGTCAAATTGGCCTTGGTAGAGGTTCGCCGTAACTGTTTGACCCGAATCCAGAACCTCAAAGTACACCAGGCCTTTACTGTTCCACCAAACACAAAGCATCACCTTTTTTCCGTGGATGTCCGGTTTTGGAGCTTCACCGGGGTCCAACCACTGCCGCTTTCTTGCTGTGTTGCCGTATTGGATCCACTTCTCATCCGACATAACAATGGAGTCGAAAAACCCACTGTTCTTGGCGCGGTGAGTGAGAATTCCGGCGATTGCGATGCGTCTCGCCTTGTTTGCCTCGGATAGCTTATGCGGTACCCATTTTCCGCATCTATTCGTCTTGCCCATGCCATGCAGATGGTTCTCAATGGTGACATGAGTGCAGTCGAACTGTTCTGCCAGGTCGCGAGTGGTTTGGAGTGGATCCGACTCAATGGCTTCCTTCAATGCGTCGTGGTCGATAATTTGAGGTCGACTCCCGTGTTTTTGGTCTTCCAAGCTTTCGTCGCCGTCTGGAACCATCGTTTACACTGACTTTCGGATAGAGCATCTTCGTCAAACACTTGAGATAGAGCGCCATGAGCCTCAGCAGCCGAATTGCCTTGCCTAAATTCATGCCACAAGCAGGCCCGCAAACTAAATTTTTGGTCCGACATTTTCTAAACACTCTTTCTTGCAAAAAAACAAAGTAAACATAGACAAATTAGATATCAAACGATGCGCAAGAACACGCTCTTTCCAATAGAATAAACTATTTTAAAAAATCTTTTACTGTGAATAAAATACAAATCAACAAACACGACGCTCATTTCTTTTTTGCCAACCTAATAAAATGAAATTTTTAAGTGATCAATAGCTTACAAAGTCTTATGAATTCTATAAAGTACGACTACGTAATTCAAAAGGTTACTCACCGGTGGACATTCAGTTGAGTGCGTGAATTTCTAAATAGAAGAGTTTCACTTCTTTTGACTCAGAAAATTTTCGAGATAGACAATTATATTATTTAAGATTTGTTGAAAAAATATCTCAAAATTTTAAGATAACCATAAGTTTTAAGAGTACCAACGTACCACAAGTTGCTCGAAATTTTTCAAACCAAGAAAAGGCTTTTTTTAGCAGTCTTTTAGCTTTTCTTTTAGAAGAGCCAATAGCAGAAGAGTTATCAATTGATCATCCAATAATACTCAAACATTGCATACACTTGGGTTTAAACCGTATTAGGAACTTGGATTCCACATAATTTAACGGACATCCAGAAATGGCAATGTGTCAGAAAGTGTCGCTCATCTTCCTTGATACGAGCGCAAATTTACTCCGTATTGTGACGGGGGATGAAAATGGATTCTAACTGTCAACTTTCGAAGATGGCGCCAATTGGTTGCTGAGGGGGGAAAGCTCGAACACGACGTCAAGCCAAATGTGAATGAGAAGAAGTTTGCTCTCGGTGTTCTGGGATTTGGAAGAGCCTATCTGCTTGGAACTTTTGGATAGCAAGACAACACTCCACTTAATCAAATACTCGGAGCAACTTGGCATGTCAGCCAAATCTTTGCCATAGAAAAGACTCCAAAGAGAAAGTCATTCTTCAACATGATAAGCTAGACAGCATGTTTCGAAGATGACTCGTTCTAAACTAAACTCGCTTAGATGGGAGGTGATAGCCCATCCAGCACATAACTCTAGTCTTGAACCTTTTGATTACTACTTACTCCGGGCGATGAGCAATGATTTGGTGAAAAAACACTATGCTTCCAAAGAAGAGGTCAAAAAATGGCTGACAGATTGGTTTGTGTCAAAACCGAAAATTTTCGACGAGAGGAGCATTCGACTTCTACTAGTAAAATGAGCACAAATTATCTACTATATATAAAAGGCAAGTGCCCGTCTGTCTGTCGGTCTGTCCGTCATAGGCACCTGACTCGGCGTTCAGGGTGAAATTGGAGACGCACTTTTTTGTTCGATAGCAAATTTTTTTCACACTCCCCAGAAAAATCAGAAAGTTTCGTCAAGCGTTTTTCTTTAAAATGAAAAAAAACTGGAAAATCAGCCGAATGCCCAATGTTGCCTAACTTCCGAGTGGTTAGAGCGCGCGTCTCTCAAACGAAAGTGGGAAAGAGGGGTTGTGGGTTCGGTCTTTCTCTGAGAAAATCAGTTTTGCTTTTCTTTCCAAAATCGATTTTAACTGTTGGAAAGTCAATTTCGATAGTTTTGAGGTACCATTTGAGGTAGTGCAATAAAAATTTCATGGTTGCGTTAATCAATCAACACGAAAAAGCTGTTTAGAATAACTCCCGCGACAATTATCTTTCATTAAACTATGCATCAGCGCCAAACCATTTAGCGGGAAAGCCGCTGTTTAGGCTTAGGCTCAGGCTCAGACTTAGACTTGGGCTTAGGCTTAGGCTGGTACAAAATAATGGCAAATTTTTCGTATGATTTAAAGTTGTTAACTAAAAAAAAATTTATTTTATAAAACGTGCCAAGTCATACCCACCAACCCAATAAGTGACAAAGTGAAAAAGGTAAACACATTCCATTGTCAGTGAAGCGTGACGATCTTTTGTCTTTTGTCAGTCAGTGATTTCGAGTTATCGGTGACGCCAAAAATCACTTTTCTCTCGCGACACATCAGACACAACATAGCGCGTTTAACCTGAAGTTTCGAGTTGGACCAATTATAAGATTATAATTATAAGATCTTAATTATAAGATCTTAATAATAAGATCTTCTTGATGACAGCACCGTATCTTTTATCATCGAATCTTACTCACCGAGTCATTAAACACAAAATAAACAGTCGGATTGGCCAACATAGCTAGCCCAGTCCATGTCATCGGAATGATTCCTACATAGGCGTTCCCGGGAAACCACGATGACATTGAGAAAAATAGTGGTGGAGCGATCAGAGCGGGTACAGTGATTAGAAAACATTGCATTGTCTAAAAACCTTCATGCACAACTATTAGACTCACAGTTCCACTAACAAACTTAACAATTTTCGACTTTAGTTGTATTATCCTTAACAAAATTCTAGTTTAATTTGTCATAGAGACAGTAGAGTAAAACTCACAAGTGAGTAGTTGACGGAGATCTCTCTTTTCCTGAATTGGATCCACAAAATAATCAGCGCGTAGATGAGAAGAATTGAGCCGGGAATGATCGCACCTGGAACCAGATTACATCAATCAATCAATTAATTGTTCAAATGAATCTTTACCTGCTAAAGTGTAGACTTGTTGATAGAGATCTCCACAGTCTCCACACGCAAACGTGTAGGCGAACAGTCGTGGGCTGAACACTTTGAAGCATCCATAGAGAGAGGGAACCAAAACGATTAGAAGAGCAAAACACCATGCAATGAAGTGAAGGGTTTTCTGAAATAACTTGAGTAGCTAAGGTAAACTGATCAATCAGAAGTGTCAGAATAGTCAAACTCAAACCGCAATCAGAAGCGTCGTTTTCGTTTCAACTTTTGTGCAAATGTGAAAGAATCGATTAATTGCTATGGCCATCAGACATCCTTGATCGACATAATAGGCAAATGTGTCAATGGTTGTTAGTGGGATCATCACCGACAGATCAGTTAAATAGGCAAACGAATTGAGAAGAACTGAAGAATTATTAAGTTGGACAAATTTATTTACCGTATTTACTCTATTAGTAGTGCACCCCGGCGAGCCGAGTTGATGACTATTTTACGATTTCCAGGCTTTTGCAGAAGCGCAACACTCAAATCTCCCCTAGATCTCATTGTCAGCTACATTTTCCGACCCCACATCGATAGGTTCTGATAAGCGGTTCTTGAGATTTCAAGGAATTTAGGCGACGCTCTGCCTGCACTACTAATAGAGGAAATACGGTCATTGTATAATGAGGTTTTGACTCTTTCTATATGACTTACAGCTTTATAACTCAAAATCTAAAGAAGTTATTTAAAAACTGTAATAAGATTTAAATTCTGTAAATGATTGATTATCTTTTGGCTATAAACGCTTATAAAATAAAATCAACCAGGAAGCTTTTATAGAGAATTCTAAAGAGGACAGAGCTTGTATACTAAGTAGACTTATAACTGTTCAGACTTATAGTAGATAAATAGTTCAATGAAAAACACATTGCATCAAAGTTTTCTTGCAACCTATACTGTGGATTCGAATTCGAATTTCAATTTGATCCTTGAAAATCTGCAAGTTCATACCAGGCACCGAAGCAGCTGCATGCACGACAAAATAAACGACTCCGATGATCGATTGAGAGATGGTGATGTTAAAGACGTCGATCTTCAAAAAATGTCCTCGATTGGCAAAAATTGTCAATAGAAGTAATCCGTTTCCAAATATCCCAGCCATCGACAACATGATCAACCACAATGCGTAGAATATTCGATACGATTCCCTCATTTCGAGAAATGGCAAAAAAGGACACGAATCGTTTAGAAGCATTCTGTGTTTTGATTTGAAAACCAGGTTTGATAAGCTATTTAAGTAATGTTTCAATAAATAATTGAACGCTTGAGAAAACTCTTTCTAAATCACCCGTGAGAGTTTTTTTTGCTTATTCATTAAGTGTAGACCATTTAATTTCATGAGAAAATTTAAGAAGTACTGCTTTTTTGGAGACGGAAATTTTTGCTTTCTGGGTAGTGAGCAACAAGTACAACAACAAGAACCTTCACCCACTGACAACAGGAAACTTGAATAATACTTTACACAGTTTCTTTATTGGAATTTATGGGTCTTGAGGTGTTCCGGGTTCTTTCACCGATAGAGTGACTCGAAACCGGGTTAACGGAGTGATCTCTGATCTTGAAGTCATACAATACTTACAAATTTTAATTCTTTACACAAATATCCAGCTGTGCAGAAAAGTAGCTTCTCTTTTCTGTAGAATCTTATTTAAAGTTTTGATTTGAATATCTGATTCTCTTGTCCCGCCTCTAAAAGATCGTTTTTATGATAAAACCGACGGAGCTCACTTGTATTGTCTCTTCGTATTGTTTTTCGTATTGCTTGAAACACTGAACCAACTATAGATTTTATTTTATTATATTTTCTCGCTAGATTAGTATTGTGCTAGATTCGGAATAAATATCTAATAATCATTGCCCCCAGCGGTACTCTCTCACACCCCGCACACCAGCTTTATTACGGGTTCATTCACTAATAAAATCCTATTTCTAGATTCTCACAAAACGATGCACAATGCTTCTGGAAGGTTGAACTTTTAAAGTGAACGCTAAAATTTCTGCTCAACATCAGGGTGATTGTTGAACAGATCAAAAAAATTTCTAAGAAAGCATAAAGCTGATTATAAGCTGATTCAGACTACAAATAAACCTAAAAGCTTTTCGTTTCTTCGTTCATCTTTTTTCTTTATGAAATTCGTGTGAAAATCTTGATTAACTTCGTTGATTTTTTTTCATAAATCTGTGTAACAAAAACTTTTTCGAAACTTTGATCCTCAAATTTTAATTTATAAATCCTGAGAAAGTGAGTCAAACAAAAAAGTTTATAAGATTTTTGTTGCATCGATCTTTGAACTGTAGGGTTCAAAAAGTATTGTGCTGCGAGTAGATTCAAAAGAGCGTTTAAATCTTGGTCGATAAAAATTTCGACATCGAAAAGCTTCGAATAATGGCGAATCGATTGAGGCGGAGTTTAAAGCTCGTCACGGAAAATAACCTTTTTGCCCAACATTTGATTTTTTGTTTTGAAAGTTTTGAAACAATGAATGATTCAGAGATCTTCCGCAAACCAAAATACCAATTGCACTTTAGAGAAACAAAATAAGAATTGAAAGGACACATGTCTCAAAAATATGTTGCGGATTCTTATCGAACTGATTCGGCTCAAACTTTGGAAATATGCTCCATAAGGTCCAGGGATATCCCCGTCAAGGATCATTTTTGATTTCGAAATTTAGAGCGGCACCACTTTTGAAGATCAAAGGGTTGTCGACCGTTAGTGACAAAAGTTGAAATTTTTGAAAAGAATCCTAAGAACTTTATTAGCTTAAGTTCTCATTTGAATTTAGATTTTTAAAGAAAAGTTCATTGGCGATGGTTTGTTGGGAAGGGTGCACCATCAAAGGATTCCGCCGTCTCCAACTCTACCACAACACTAGTTTAAATGATAAATTATGACGCAAATTTAACTCTCATAAAGTTTTTTCACTTAAAAAAGAAAATTTAGATAAGGAACGCCAACTTCGTGAATTTCCTTGCTTGTGTCATGTTTTCAACACGGCACTTGATCAAGAGCTGTCGGTGATCTTATCTGTGATGAGTCATCAAATGATTATTAGCAATGTTCACACTATAAAACCTCAAGAATGACTTGCTGAATAAACTTTTCGATTAAAAACCCGAAAATCAAGAGTGATGGTAATGATTAACAGAGTGTGTTCCTCTCAAGAAATAGTATGAAATAAGAAACGGGCTAGGTCGAATCTCCTAAATATCTTTTACAATTTGGAAGATATTCAGTTTATTTTAAGTGCCCTCGTTTTCTATTTTGCACTATTTCTTGAGATGAACACACTCTAATGATTAAGGTTTGATTGGTTTGAATTGGTTTGAATTGGTTGGTTGATTTGAATTTGGTTGGTTGGTTTGAATTGAATAATTGGTTTGAATTAGGAGAAAATGAGAAGCGTGAGTACAACGTTTATGTGAAATCAACTTTTTTCAGTCTACTTAATCATTTTAAGTCAAGTGATAAATTGGAAATGTATAACGCAAAGCCAATATTGCCCCACTTTCCGGATTTTGAATAAGCTTTATTTAAAGCATTTCTTATTTAGGTTTAACGCTTTAAAAGGTTTGAAAAATAGTCAAGAAAATACTATATCAGAAGCAAATTTTTAACCTTAAACCGAGCCGAGCCAGAAAGAAGACGCAGTCCATGGCATGATCCGATCGGATCCGAATCCGGAATTCGGGAAATCCGGGCGTAAAACCCGGAGCTAGATCCAATCCGAAATGAGATCCGGAATTTTCAGATCCGGATCGGATCGAAGGAACAACTTTCCACAAAAAACCATCTAAAATAGATGAGTCATCTGAGAATCAAAGCTTGCGAGAAAAGAAAGAGAGGGTCCATTTGTTTGATCAACGATTCAAACGACCAACATTTTGTTCCTAATCGATAACATCAATCAAACAGTCATCAAACATCCTAATAACATCAATTTCCATCTTGTCGACCTTTCCCTCAGAATTTTCAGCAAATATTTCGAGAAATTGAAGCTGTTGGACCTCAATGTAAAGTTTTTCTAGTGCTGAAAGTTTTGTGAAAAAATCGCGGGCTTTGAAGAGTTTCCTGAATGCTTTTTACTGATGATCAGTGTCAATCCATTTATTTTTGAGTTCCATATGTAACGTTTTTAGTATAATGATCTTTTCTTCAAAACTTTCCAAAACTTTTTCCTGGAACAATCGATGTCCGTCCATTGCCACAATACTGATGTCCAAAAGTTTGTTCAAAAGAATTCATAGAATTTGAAGAATGCTAACTTTTCCATTATGTGTAGCTAAAAAAGAATGCGACCAAAACAGTCAGCTCTTTTGAAAATCTTGCTAGAAAGTTCAGTTACTGTATTTATTTTAATAGAAGACCATGGTCTTCTATTTTCAACCTCCCAAAATTGACTGAAGGGTCCCCACATAAATCAAGAATTTTAAAATTATTAAAAACTATTTTAAACGATAGCTCTTAGCCCAAAACATGCCAAAAACGTGGTTAAAAGCGAAATTCTTTTCTTACCTGGACCATAGAAAATCTCCGAAAAAAACCATATGGGGGACCACATAAAATTTTTTCTAAAAATTATTTTCTAATTTTTTTGAGAAACTATGTTTCCAATTTTATTACCAAAGCTAAAATACATCTATTTGGAGCCATATCTATAGTTTTACTTAAAAAGAATTCTTGAAAAGTTCTGATTTTGGGGAATCACGGGGGTGCACCCCCTCCAATAGAAGACAACTTGGCTGGTCTTCTATTGAAGCTGTTCTTCTATTAGAATAAATAAAATATCTACGTCTTCTGTCTTCCCTGACCGTCTTCTCCATCTACATTCATTCTAATATTTTGAAATTCACCTGAAAACTTTGTGCTGAAAAGTATTGGGTTGGGGAGAATGAGTCGGCGCCAAACTTTAAAGGGACCTTTTGCACACATAAAGCCTTCTTTAAACATACGTTTGGTTTCATCAAAAGGATCCACTATTTCTCTACAAAATCACTTTTGAGAGATTCCACAAAGCTTTTCTTTCGTCGAGTTTATGAACTTCCAAACGCAGCTGGTTAAAATGGCAAAGAGTCCGACTCATCATTTGAACAGTTTCTTTCACATAAACCTTCTTTGGTGTTTATATAAAAAAGATAGAGCACATTCAATTACTTAAGTTGCCAAATTTGCAGGAAGATCCCACCAATGGTTTTTTCTAGATCACAGTTTGTAGTTTTTGTGAAAAAATGGCTTTTTCTTGAGCGGAGGCGCTGTTTGAATTTTCTTTTAAATGTGATTTTGTAGAGAATTAGTTAACCATTCTACTCATATCAAACGCATATTATTTGACGAAGTCGAATAGAAGTTTTTGACATTTTTTTGATTTTCGGCGCCGACTCATTCTCCCCAACCCAATATCTGCAGATTTGTTTTGGCGGAAATTCTACAATGCAGTTTTATTTGAAAACTATGCCCTGTGATTTATTGTTGGCTATAAATCGCCCGAACAATGCAATCGATCAATGCTTTGTTCCAAGAATAGCTCGGGCAATTCCGGGACGGCGAATTTCGAGATAAGAACGAATTCTCTGACTCTTTCCCCAAACAAAAGCATGAACAATCATTTATGTACCAAATCAGGCCACTTCTTTTGACAAGCTTGCATAAGGTGGTACTTTCTCATTATACCCACACAGCATCATTCCCGTTATATCCTCAAATTTTAAAAAATTAACATTTAACAAAAAAGCAACAAAATCTATTTTGCATCAATCCCATTATACCCCCACAAATGGCAGGTTTTAAAAAAGCTTTTCTGACTTTTGAAAGCTTTAAATAAGCTTCAAAAAAGCTAATCCACAAGTCATATCCTCTTTGGTGGGTAAAGAAAATATTAAACCCGGCGGCGGTAAAAAATGAGAATAGAAAAATATTTGTTTCTTCATTGGGAAAAACAGCATTCGGAAAAACAGCATTAAATACAAATTTTTGGGATGCTAATCTTTTTAAATGTGGGGTTATAACGGGAATGATACGTGTGGGAGTATAATGGGATTGACGCTGTGGGGTTATAATGGGAGAGTACCCATACTCATACCCATACCCGTAGAGTACCCGTTCTCAATTTAGGATTGAAATGTTTAGACTTAAGTAAATGATTAGCTTTTGACCAGAGAATCTATCTTATTCTTCTAATTTTTACTTGCTTCTTGGAATTCCCAAGATTTTTATTACCTCATGTTACATCATGAATTGTGTTTTGTGTTTACGCTTTAGTAGAAACTAAATGATGCAATATTAAAGGAATGTTATGAATCAAAATTCAAGAAAGTCTAAAATTTTAGAATTTTAGACGAGAATTTTAGACTTTCCTGAATTATGATTCATGACATTCATTTAATGTTGCGTCATCAATTTTCTGCTAAACATTATACACAAAACAAATCTGCAGTTGCTGAGAATGGAATGAGTTCACAAAATCAAAACATAACTCATTTTCAGCAACAAAATAGAAATTCTAAGAAGCTCCATCTTCTATTTGACAATTTCTGACGCAAAATGAGAAATCTCGCAAAGTTTTCACGTGAATGTCTTGTGTTTTTGTGCGTTCATTGCTTTATGTCTGTCTTTTCTTTTCGCTTCCTCTACACTGGGCCTCAATCGATTCACGGATGGGATAGGGAAAGGGGAAAGAGAGGCTTTTCCCCGTCACTCCACAACTTTCTGCTTTCTTTGCTTGTGTTTTTTGAAGTCATCCACTAAACGATTTGAATTATATTGTTTCAAAGTTTTTGGAAAACTTTTGATTGAAATTTTGGGGTTATTTTGAAGACAAATTCTTCATTTAAGGAAATCAAATTTTAAGCAGTGCTTTAAGCCTTTAACAATGGACTTACTTAATTTACAAAGTTGTGGCCTAGCTTTGAAATGAATAAAAATCTTTCTATATCAAAAGTTACCAACTTCACTTTGAAATTTATCGAAAGTAAGCTCGATCTGTTTTTTTAAATGAAATGATTATTTCAAATCCTATCTGTAATCAAAACTGGCTTCAAGCTTTAAGCTTATCTCCACAATTTATTGAATAACTTGAAAAAGAAAGTTTTCCCCATTCTTATTCTCATTCTCATTTCCATCATTTCCGGCATTTCATTGGGTTCAAAAGATGTTTGGTCGTGCTTTGCGTTCATCAATAAAGACGAAAGGGGAAGAAAGAAAAGGACCCGCTCTGTCTGTTCCCCACTTCCTCAGTTTTTGTGTTCACTAATCTGTTTGTCTTTTGTCTTTCATTTGTCTTTCATTGAATGAGTAGTTTATGTTATTTAATGTCATCATTGGTCAATTGTTTAGAAATAATCCAGTCAAGGGGCAAGCTCATAGATGAATTGGCCATAAAACTTTTATCATCTATCTCTGTGCATTGAAATTGAAAGGTATTCAAGCAATTCTCGTTTTCTATCAGCTTTGACATTAATTGGAATGAACTAAGTTTGAAATAGAGTTCGTTTTTACTTTTATTGAAATAATACTGACTGTTTTGCTTTCCTTTCCCCTCTTTGACGATGACCAGAACAATTTCATGAATAGCTGCCAATCTATTGATTTTCCTTTCAGCATCTTTGAGTTTTTTTACTTTTGCATATTTATTTGATAATTTTAGAATGCAAGAAACGAAGACAAAAGAGGGAAATTGTGAAGAAAAAGAATCAAATGAGGAAAAACCGCCCGGACTCTTCTCATTTCGATCTCATCGAATGAGAGTTGGTTTGAAAAAATCTGAAAAACAAGTTACCTGATTGATCACTACTTATCTAAATGTATCAGATCTAAAACTAAGTACATTATCTTAAGATCTAGCTATAGCTTTTGATGCCGATAAACCATTCGGCTCTTGCGTAGTTTCCGGGTATTTCGGGTCATCACGCTTTGATGGCCCATAACTCCCTCCAGAGATAATATTTTTGGTATCTTTTTATATCATTGTACAGAGAACATTTCAAGCTTTTAAATGATACCAAATAGAGCTTGATTGGAAAATCCAGTCCAGAAAAATCAAGTCCAACTCTGAGCAAATGAGAGCAATCAAACTCGGGTGCCGTGTTCCGGTTTGCATTGAAATGAAAAAGTTGGTCAAGCTCTATTTGGTATCATTCAAAAGCTTGAAATGTTCTCTGTACAACCATATAAAAAGTTAACAAAAATATTTTCCCTGGTGGGAGATATGGGCTTTCAAAGCGTGATGGCCCGAGATACCCGGAAACTACGCAAGAGTCAACCATTCTTGCTTAGGTATGCTTACTATTAATGGCCGCTTTTTTCGCCACCGCATCGATGAGAATCAATCTGAGTATGGGAATCACTTGCATGGTGAGAAGAAGCACAAAATAAAGTAAAAATCTTATTTTAGGTAAACTCGACAGCGTTTGCGTCCGAAGAGTTGAAATCATTCTACAAAAATGAGTCAATCGATCACTCGAACGATGTCTGCAAACCGATTGTGAACGAGAAAGTGGCGAAACAAGACGGATATGAGGTGTGTTAGATTGGATGTGTTTGGGCGTTAAACACAAAGAACTTCAAACTAAAGTCCTGATTGGATAAGATTACCTAAAAGATTTTTAAAAAAAATCTATTTGTTCAGGGTACTCTTCTCTGGTCTCCGTCACGCCAATCCCTCCTTTTCTCGGCTTCATTCTATGGTGGTCTTGTCACGATGGCTTTCGCTGGATATCTTGCTGACAAATATGGGCCAAAGTTGATTCTTTTGGGTAAAGAAATACTTTTTTGTCTCAAAAAACTTGCTATTTGCAGCAGCAGCTCTGGATTGTGTGGTGTTCACAATGATGGGCCCCTTTCTAGCCGATCGATCCTATTGGTCCTTCTTTGCATCGAGAGCTTTCATGGGGATTGGCATCGTATGTCTTAGACTTGCTTAACGAGACAGAACAAAAAATCGGGGCCTGCTACTCCAGACGCTTGATCTAACCTCCAGAGTATTGGATTCCATGTCTTAGATGTCTTAGGCTTGCTTGACGAGGCAGAACAAAAAAATCTACTCCAATGCTACTCCAGGCGCTTGATCTAGCCTCCAAAGTATTGGATTCCAATAAACTTTTTTTATTTAAAAGCCAAGACTTTAAGCTATCTAATTATATCTATCACTTATATTTTTCTTTTGAAAATCGGAGTCAAAAACCTTATCGAGATTTAACGAGACAATTCCTCGTTATCTCCTTAGCTGGTTAGTCTCGATAAGGTTTTTGACTCAGTTTTTTAAAAGAAAAATTTTGTTGATTGGTATCATTAGATAGCTTAAGGTCTTAGCTTTTAAATAAAAGAAAAGTTGATTGGAATCCAATACTCTGGAGGCTAAATCAAGCGCCTGGAGTTGCGCGATCCATTTGTTTTATTAACTCTCGTTGGCCAAGTCTAGTACTTCTGATCATAACGAACTCATCAAATCAATATTTTTATTTGATTAGACAGAGTAGACAATGAAAAGTTACTAAACAAAAACAAAACAAATACTTCTTTACTATTAGGGATGCATTCAACCGTGCATAAACAGTATGGCCGCTTTGTGGTTCCCTGCTTCAGAAAAGTCAACAGTTGCTGCCTTGTACACCACCGGAAATCAGGTAGACAAGCTTTAAGACTAAGATCAGCTCAAAAAATACTTACAATACATTTTGTAAACTAAAATATTTTAGTTAGCTGCTAGTTTGACCTCATTCTTTGTGGCCGAATTGTGCTTGAGCTCTTTTGGATGGCCTTCGATTTTCTACATCTTTGGTGGGTGAAATTTTCTTTTATAAACTTTAGAAATGAAAATTTTATACAAGTTTTCAGGCGGTGTTGGCCTTTTATGGGCATTAGTGTGGTGGATTTTTGTGAGCAACGCACCGAAAGATAATCGATGGATGGGAGAGGCGGAGAAGAAATTCCTGGAACACGAGAATTCGACGAGGAAAAATAAGGACATGTTTGTGAGTGTTTTGAATGAAAAAGAATTGCTAAACTAAAGCCTTTTCAATAGCAATTAAAGTATTAAAGCTCTTAGAGACAAAACTCGCTCCCGTTCCGCCATCTCTTCTGCAACTCGACGATGCAATCAATCTATTGCTGTCAATTCGCTTTCTCACTTTGTGCAACAATCGTGCAATCTTTTCTACCCACATATTTCAAGGAGCATCTTTATCTGCCGATACACTTGGTGGGTTGCTTTGCTTTAGATTTGCTTTGCTTTAGATTTGCTTTGCTTGAAAGTTGTTTTGCTTGGAACTTGCTTTGATTGAAACTTGCTTTGATTGAAAGTTGCTTTGCTTGGAACTTGCTTTGCTTGAAAGTTGCTTTATAAAGTTTTTGAAGGAAGCCATAGAAATCTTGTAATAAAAATATTCATTTCTTTCAAGTATTGTAAGCTTTTTCGATTAGTTATTGGAAATTTGAGTTCTTTGGGTTTCAAATTAAGCACTTTGGCTTCCAAATTTCCTTGTGCATTCCCAAAATACCTCACAATATTAAATTTTCAGAATGGTCTCTACAACATTGTTCCATTTATTGCCCAAATCATTTCAAAGAACATCATGGCCGTAATATCGGATTATTTGAAAAAACGCGATCTCGTCGATGCAAATGTTCTCGTGAAATTCTTCCAAGGATTCGGTGAGTGGATTTCAAATCGATATTAGACTGAACATGTTTTAGGATCATTTGGCGTATCAATCACTTTGATACTGCTGGCGACTTTACCAAGTTGTGAGAATCCATTCGTTGCACTTTATCTCTTGGCAGCATACGGTAAGTTCATGTAAATACAAGCCAAGAAAAAGCTTATTTGTAGCTTTCATAGAACTTTTCATAGAACCATTAGATAAATGTCTTAAGCTTTTGAAACCAATAAAGAAAAGAAAACCAATAGAAAAAAAGGAAAATGATCTTTTTTGTGCCTTTGAGGGAAAACGAAGATAATCCTTGATGTTTTCCTTTCACAAACTTTTACACATATTAGGTTGAGTACTATACAGGATGGCTCACAATTACCCGCACTCAGTTCAGATTCTCCAGCCTAGCGAAGAGTCAAACAATCGACCTAATTCTTTTTTTATTATCAAATTGAATATTTCTCCTTCAATGCGTTTTCTGGATTTGATCAGAAATGTTTCTAAACTTTTGCTAGAGCGCTGCAAAGTTGCGACATGCGTTTTCGGCTGAGCCGCGATTTTCTGGTTTTTTTAACTAGTTTCAATGGCTCAAAATCAAAGAAAACCAGCTTCAACTATTCCTTTTTACTTATTATTTCCAAAATCTAACTCATTTTTACTAGAAAACAATGAATTTCGATTAGGGATCAAAGTTCAAGATGTGTATTTGAACTGAGTGCGGGTAATTGTGCGCCACCCTGTAGATTGGGATCCTAGCTTTATTATCTTATGAAATGAGTATCAAATCATCAAATAAACTTTGGTTTGCTTATGCGTGGATATTCATCATTACTTTAAGTTGTTTTTAAGCAAATCTGAAATTATTTCAAAACAAGTTTGAGCATAAATTTATTTTTCCTCTCTAGAGCTTCGAATAATACGTATTGTAATTGTCAGACGGCAAAAGTCGAATGGATTCAGTTGGAATTTTGACTATATGAATACATGCCTAACTTGTTGTGCCTTTCGTTTTCTTGTTGACATCAAAATAGGTCCTGTGGAAGAAAGGGATCAAATCGCAACTTCGAGTTGAAATCCTTTTTGATTCAATGAATCAAAAACATTTGTTGTTGCTCCGTTTGTTTGTTGATTAGCTAAAATCCCGAAACTTAAACGAAACAAGGCCACAAAAAAGCTTTTTATACAAAATTTCTTGATCTATTCTCTAAAAGCCGTAAGTTATTTGAGGATTTGATATTGATTTTATAAAATAATGACAACACCATTACATAGTACTCAGCCTAATAGCACTTTATTCCAGGTTTTTTCTTTGCCGGTGCAATTCCCGGTTTCTTCACAGCTCTGATGTCGGTGGCTCCTCCATATGCGGGAACAATTTCCTCGTTCTCAACAATCTACGCCACTTTAGCTAGTCTCGCCGGGCCGATTATCATCTCAGTCATTGATGCTTTAGTAGGTTATATTACATTTTCAGAATTTTAAGCTACTTTAAAGTTTCTGAACACTATCGAAAAACCTTTCAGGATTGGCCTAATAAATGGATGACGATTTTCGGGTTTTGTTCCATTGTGCAACTTTTTGCGGGTTTTTTCTTTGTACTATGTGGTGAAGGTGAGTTCAACACATTCTAAGAGCTTAAGAAAGAAAAAAGAAAGAAAGATAAAGCTGATTCCATTGGGTTAGTGAATTGAAAACTGCCGGACTTTGAACTAAAATTTATTCAACATAAAACCATAAATTCATTCCAAGTAATTTCCATTATTATTGACGACTTCTGCCCATTTTACAGACAATTTGCGGATTGCTCTTTCGTAGTAGGATTTTGGTTTGTGTGTGAGACAAGTGTGAGACTCAAAAATGGAGGACTAGAGATGTCCCAGTTTGAGCACTTTCTTCAAAAGAAACCCATTTTGGTGTCAATAGAAAAGTTGTAGAGAATCAAAAATTAGGCTTATAGCCAAATTTCCAAAAAGATACACTTAGTAGTTTCGCTTAAAATGCAAGTTTTGTGGAAATTCGTAAATTTGGCATTTCTTGAAAACCAGTTTTTGAATCGTTCTCTCTGTAAAATTCTACTGTTTTTCTCGTTTTTAAATGTAAATATTGATGCGCTACTCTTCTGGAATTTTCGAATTCTTGACATTGAAAAATCTTTAGGTATCAGTGCTTTTTTTTGATTGGCAAAAAGCACAGACAACACAATGAACGAAAGCTTTATTTTTGATTCTCTACAACTTTTCCATTGACACCAAAACGGGTTTCTTTTGAAGAAAGTGCTCAAACTGTGACATATGACGATAGCCCGCAGTTTGCAATTCACCAACCCAATATATTCGATAAAAACTAAATCAACTTCAATACTTAAAACCAATATTCTTTTAGCCAAAGTTCAATCCTGGGCCAAGCCAAAGGATTCAATCGATCTCACCGCTGCTGCTTGCTAATTTTTTTTGGTGCTTTTCTGCTCTTCCTTTATCATTTTACATGTCATTTGTTCAAATTAATTGCAAAAAATGTGATTCCCGTAGGCTCAATTGATTCTTTTTGTGATAGTAAGGGTTGTCTCAGAAATTCGGAGAAACAAATGATCTCACTTATTGAACTTAGACAAAATCTTGGGAATTTTTGCAAGTTTTTTCTTTCTCATTATTCTTTTCTTACAAAAATCGATTCGCAGACCATATCGGCATAGAAATATGTGGCTTTTTTCGCTCGTTTCCGTTATTTTTTGGTCAAAAGTCCGATAGACGGGGTAGTTTGCTCAGTTTTCACACAATTTCCCATTGATTTATTAGTTTTCTGGTACACTTTTATCGTTTGTTCAATAAAGCCTCTTGTTTTGATCTTCGGAAATCAAAAATGCTAATACATTCATAATCTTTGCATGGTTCATTGGATATTTTGAGCCGAAAATTTTGCCAGAAGCCTGACAATTATATTTGAGAAAATATTTGATGTAAAGACACTTTGGAAAGACATTTCTATTTTCCTAAAATCAAATTTCAATATTCAATTCAATTCTAGAGCCAACAAAATGCCCCAAATCAGGCCCTGGTCCCGTGCCGAGCGCTTCATTTTCTACGGAGTCATCGGCTTTTGGGCAGAAGTTTGCTTTACTGCAAGTTAGTTAGACAAATTTTGATTTATCAAGAGTTTTGACTTCTAAAAACTATCTATTGAGTTGGTGGAAAAGTCCTTTCCGATTTTTTGGGAGGGGCAACTCTGAGGGTCGCTGGTTCGACTTCCACCGGTGACAATATTTTTCAAAAATTTTTTGCTAAGATTCTGAAAATTTGTGTCTAGGGGTTATTTTTGACGCTGATCACGAAAAACATGTTTTTAGCCTAGGTTTCTGCACGGAAAACTAACGAAACGTGAAAACAGCCATTTTTTGGCTCTGCCGCCCTTTACTAAAATAGCTGTAAAAACTTTCAGAAAAGAGATATCTCAAAACGGTTTTTACCAATCGATCCGTCTTGAATTCAGCTTTAGGATGAGCTATAAAACGTCAAAATTCGATAAATTTAAGGTACTCTCCCAAAAATCGGAAAGGACTTTTCCACCAACCCAACAGTATCAATGTTAACATCTATTTTAGCCTGGGATGCTGTTGAAAATGGGAATCGAAAGCTGATCGGTGTCACTTCAATGTACGTCTTCTTTGTCTATGGAATCGCCATCTCAGTTCTCGAGATTCTCTACAAATTGATGAAGGTACCCTACATGATACTTAGATAAACAATTTAGATCAATTTAACAACTTCCAGCACCGAGTCCCATTGTTAATTCGAGCTCTAATCTATATGGTCTTTTGCTTCACTTGGGAATTCTCCTTCGGGATGTTTTTGAAGCGTTGGGATGCCTGTCCTTGGGATTACGCGTCTTATTTCACAGTGAGTTCAATAATGAGATCATTCTTGTTTAAATCAAGTCATGAAGAAGCTAAGTGCTTTCATGTTGCTCACAAAACACACCACAAGAGCAACTCCAATTTCAGTATCATTTCATGGGCGCTATCACAGCCGAGTACATTCCTGTTTGGTATCTGGCAACGATATTCTGTGAAAAGGTAAGATTTTCTGTCAATTACTTTATTAATAACAATTATTTTGATAACAACAATGAAATGAAATTAAGCAGTGATTTGTTTAGATCATTTATTATTTAAAATTTCTTTAGGTTGTCATCAAATGTATGCTACAGGCTCGATGGGAAGTCGATAGTGATCAATTCAAGAAAAGGAATTAAAAGAAATTTGATGTACAGCATATAATATATGAAATATTGCCCAAAAAAGGATACTAATAAAATCTTCAAACTGTGAATTTTAAAAGACGAAAAAATCAATTTAAAAGTTGAAGTTGAAGACTGGCAAAGAATTCTTTAAATTAGCAAAGAAGCTAAGAAATTTTAACGCTCTATACACGCATTCAATCAGATAACAGAAAAAGAATCGTCCAGGGGTAAACAAGTTCTCAAAAATAGATAGCTTTCAAAATTACGAACGACAAACCATTCTGTCTCCCTCCACTCCAAAAATAGCTCTTAAAATCGGATTACATTATGCTCCTTTGGGCTCCGGCTTCCGTCAGCTAGCCTAGACGACTGTCCGCTACCCGACAGTCGTCTAGATGGCAGAAGTTTGGACATCCCATTGGAGCAACCGTGAGGTTTATAAACCGACTGAGGATCTGATCAATCACTTTTTGCATCAACAAAGCGTAACTTCGGAGCCTTCTCCTACTGCAGGCACCCTAAAAGCTGAGGATTCTTTCAGTGGGAGTCGGTGCCATCGCCAAGGGCCAGATGTAGACCTCTGCTCTGTAAGTTCCTCGGCTGATTGCTCCGTAAGTTTATTTACAGATAGAAATCGACATTTTCAGCTTGTAGACAAAATTTCAGAGCAATCGGCCACGAAATGGAATTGGGAAAAACGAAGGTGGAATTTGGTTCGGGTTGGAATTTTCTCATGTCTAGCACACAAGTAGGTCATGTCAAGGTCTGCTCAAGCTTTCTGCAGGTTTTTCTTTAAAGAACCAATGCTTTTATGGAGCTTCTTACAAGATTTTGTCTCAAGGAAACAGAAAAATCCATCGGATTGAGATCCGCGGAGCTCGGAGGCCATTGATCAAATGCAGTGAAGTTCGGAAAGCTCTGTCGCTACCAGTCTTGGACAAAACGAGCTTGATAGGCAAGCCTCATCCTTTTGGAATGTCCAATGTCGAAAAAACAACAAATCAACAATCCCAAATTAATACAAGAAAAATGCAAAAACTCGAAACGCGACTGGCAAATTCATGAGTAATTATGACGTACCCTGTAGGCTTTAAAGTTTCCTCAGGCTCCAGGCATTCGCTCGATCTCTTATCCTGGTCTTTTTTGAATCCAATTTCTTTGGTTTTTGCTTTGTTGAAAACCAGAGCTTTGTATTAATAATATTTTAAAAAAAGGAAATTTTTTGTAAAAAAAATGACTTTTGGTTGATTGAAGATAAAGAAAAGCTGGAATTGTATCCAAAAAATACATTTCATGACTCAAGTAATTTGATTTTTTGATGATAAACTTCGAGAAAACACAGCCAAGAACAAAAGAAGATGTTTACTTAGCAGAGAAATACAATCGCAAGTATTTTTCTTCAAAAATTACCATTTAAGTCTTCGAGCAAGTTGTTACAGCAAGAATTAAAAGTCAATTTTGTAAACATCGTGTTTTTTTGAGAGAAAGATTACAAAAGAATTAGTCATTTGCGTGTCTTTAGCGAAAAAACTCTTGTAACTCATTTTGTCAAACATTTTTTAACATTTAGATAATAAGATTGATGGCTTCAAACTTTTTTGTTAGCATTTTGTAAGCATCGCGTTTTTTTGAGAGAAAGATAACAGAGAATTAGTCATTTGCGTGTTAAAAATATCAACAAGCATGTTAAAAATATCAACAAGCATTGATCGCGTTTGAGTCATGATATTTGATTTAGAGTTTTTTCTCCTTTACATCTAAACGCTTGCGTCAACCATCCATTCAATTTTTTTTCCCGATTTGAAAATTCAATAAAAATTCAATAACGATTTCTAACTAATCCTTAAAGTGTCAAAAACACCTTTTCACTGAAAGCATTAACGATTTTTCTGAAAAGTTTTAAAATAAAATGGCTAAAGTTTCTAAAGAAACTGTTCTGTATTTAAAGAGATTTCTTTTTCGAAATGAAAACAAGCTCTTACCATGTCGAAAACTTTGTTCTTTATGTTGGCTTTATTGGTTCTTTTCCAATTGAGTGTTGCTTTCAATTCGGAAAACCATGGACATCATCATGATGAATCGACAAATACGGTAATTGTTTTAATCAGCAGATTCGGCAATCTGCAATCTAGACATGGTTTTGGATCGGTTTTGGACCGTACCCCTATTACCTGTATTACCCAGGTCGATCCGACCTGATCCTGACCCAGGTCGGGTCAGGATGAGGTCGGATCGGATCGCAATCCGATCCGAAACCATTTCTACTGCAATCTGCAGATCAAGGCTCAAGAATTTCACGTCACATTTGCCAGTTTACTATTAGGCTGTTCAGAAAGCCTATTAGGCTTCTTTTTGTTCCTTTTCAGACTTTTGAAGAATAACAAATTCACGTATTTTCACATTCATTAACCTATAGTTTGCTCAAAATAAAAAGTGTTTAGTGTTCAATTTCAAGACAAATAGACATATAATTTTACATACTTAGTGACTTGTTCAATGCTCGAAAACATCAGCAAAACATTTTATTGACTTATAGAAACTTTTGCGTTCAATTTCAAGACATGTAGAGTTTTACCAGTAACTTTTTCCATATCCCAATACATAGCTCTTTGTGCTATTTAGACGACACCTCGGCTGCGCGTGAAACGGAGTGGTTCAAAGCCGTGTAACACTTGGATCCCGGGATGTCTTCAAGCAATGTGCAATGAATGCTGCAATTCAAAATGCTCCGGAAGTGATTGCTTAGGAGTGGCTTGTCATATTTGCTGTGCTTAACATAAACTGCTAATGTTTGCATTCAATAAATTCATCAATTAATCAAAGGTCATAAGCCAAGCCACCTATGGTCAATGCTAAATAAAGCAATTAAAGTCAGAACCAGATCAAGAAACCTTATCTGACTTAACCCAGATCAAATGGTTTGAAACAATCCTGGTTGCAATTGTAGCAATTGTAGCAAATGTAATTTTAAAAAAACCAATTTCGAGGCATTTAATTGAACAAGAGACTAGGATTTTACAGTTTTTATAATTTTACATGCTTAGTGACGTGTTCAATGCTCGAAAACATCAACAAAACTTTTTATTGACTTATAGAAACTTTTGCAAAAAATGGAAACTGTCTCAACTTCCAATAATAAGTGATGAGGGGGTTGCTGTTTTTTCTGAAACGTTCTTGACTAAGAACTCTTTAAAATTTTCGTACTTGCAAAGCGGTTTATCGACGTATTCCCATTGTGACCGATAATTCTCAAAATATATTGTCCTCGCTTTTTCCTCGAGATTTATCAAATTGTTCGTTTTCGTCATTCGATTTTTCTCGTTTCTTTCCACAATCCAATGAATAATCCATGGGGAAATCATTGTGAAATACATGGGACACTGAAAATAGTTGCACTCAATGCTAGTATTATGAAATTAATGGCCAAAATACTTCCTCCAGCGTTGCATTACTCATTTTTTCAACTTGGATCTTGGTTTGTTGAGTAAATTTGAACTCAACCTTTTGCTTTACAAGTCTGATTGTTAAAAAACGATGTATGTTTACAAAAATAAGATTTCTTTTGAGTGCAAAACGCTTCCAAAGCTTGTTTATGATGCGATTACCCTGTGAATTCAATTTCCCAGTCTATTTCTTAGGCAAAAATTATTGATGATCTTTGGTTAAAGATTGATTTGGCAAACAAAACAACAAACAGATTATAAAGGTCTCAAAAGCTTACAAAAGTGAATCCACTGATTGCTGAGAAATACGGTTCAGCCACTTTGCTTAACAAAGCTCTCGATATTGGACCGATTAGTGTGAAAGCGAGGAATGAACCGGCATGGAAAACACTGAAAGAACAGCTCGTGAATTTGTAATAAACTCGACAAACTTGTTTTCTAATTTTTACTTCAATTAGCACAATCTTTTTAGAGCATTTAGTTTTTACATTTCTCCTTGATAATGCTAGAGTCAGTTTAACCTATCATAACAAAAGTAACATCAAATTTAGCTCTGAAAATTGATTTCGACTGAAAATTGATTTTGATTTCGACTGAAAATTGATTTTGATTTCAATTTCGACCTCATTACCGGGGGAATTCTTAAATTTGAACAGATGTTTTTCAAAGATCAGAAACTTTGCTTTAATCTAGGGTCAAAAAGTGGCTTGACGGATTTTTGGTTGTAAGAATTGATGTGTTAGAACGATTAGACTTTGCTTTTGACTATGGTTTATCAATAATTTATCAGTTATTCAAATCAAATTGCAGTTCGTTTCAACCATGAATATTTCAACTAGTTTGGTTTAATAAAAAGCCGAAATTCTAGCGAAAATAAAGCCAAATTTAAGGCAGAAATTGGAACTTGAGTTTAATTGGTTTAAACTTTGATAGGTACTCGAAACTTGTTCACCTATCTTGGAGAAGAGAGAACTTTCAAATGATAAATGATAGGTCTAAAATCAAATATCCTTAGAAATTCATCTACCTTACAGTACAAATAAATCAAATTACTAACCTATAGGGTAGAAAGAGTCTCATTGTTGAGATCAACTGCCGCCTTGTTAGATTCACCGAGATATTGAAAGATCGATTGATGCTAAACACTCAACGATAATAGAAATGCTCTCATTTAACTCACCGATTTTCTCTCTCATACAAATACATAAGCAATGTCGAACTAATCAATGTAATGATCTCAATAATGCCTGTCATCAAAGATTCGGTGTTTGCTTTTGAAGTGAAGCTTTTGCAGTATGCAACCTGGGTCGGAACAATCACCGCATCTTCTAATTTCCAGTAAAATTCAAGGCCACAAATGAAGATCTAAAAGATTTTTAATGATCGAAGCTTTATGAAAAGCAAACAAGACTAGAAAAAGCTAAAAATTCTCATCTCGTCTCGTCTTCAAACAGCTTTCAGCTTCGTTAGTGTCATGTCAATATAAGGTGCGTGAAAAGTTCTGTCCTCTCCTAAAAGACCACTTTTACGACCTTTTATAAAGTAAAATGAACAATACGTAAGCATTTTCTAGCGTAAAAATACTTGAAAAATCTAATTTTGTAGATTTTGAGTCTTGGAAACTTCATAAAACATCGTAAAAGTGATCATAAAAGGAGAAGACAGAGCTTTCACGTACCCTGTAGAATGATTCACTTATGAAATATCTCAATGTAAAACTGGTAAAGCCATTTACCGCTGTTGAGGTCAACAATCGTCGTAGAGTGGTTTCTCTTCTCTGTACACGAGATCCTCCAAAGAAAGAGAGAACTCGAAAAACAGCCAGAGTTAAATTAAGAAATGGTAATGAGAAGATAGAGAATGTGACTGAGAAACGAAGATAGAAGCAGAATGTCGATGAGATTGTTGCAAGACATGGCGGTTGGGTGATGTGTAAGAAGAGGAGAAGACCCTGAACTTTAGATTTGGATGATTTCGCATCAAATAACCTTTGAGCTTTGAATGAAGAGTTTTGAACTCTTCTTTGGAGAGCTTTGAAGCTTTGAAGCTCTGCAGAGCCTTTCTCTTAAGTTGGCTATCATTTGAATTCACTAACCATTGAGGAAATGATCGAAAGACTTTGCAAAATGTGAACTGTATAACAACATATGAGATGCTCCTTGAAAGCCGAATCTAATAAAATCGATGAAAAAGTCTTTCGACGAGTGCACAGAATGCCCAGTATTGCTAGAATTGCAATTGTAATCTGTGCCGAGAACATCACTTTCAAAAACCAATTTGTCGAGTAGATCGAAATGGCAGGACAGATTGAATCCATCTGATTTCAGGAGAAAGCTTTCCAGAAATACTATTATTTCCAGAAATACGAAATTTTCCTTCTTGTGTCTTTGATAGGTTTTTGAGAAAGATCACGAAGTAATTAAACATTTTGATATTTTGCTGAACAATCTACGGCTTTCATTCTGTTTTCTTGATTCTCAAGGGGCATTTTGAAAAAGAAACACTTATTTGAATTTATCAATTTTAAAACAGCAGAAAAACTAGCAAAGTAAAAACCCTACCAACAACGCACAATCACGGGTTCAATTACGGTTTTTTTCGACTGCAATTTGTACCTGATAAAACTGGTGATGTACCACTGATTAGACTTAATAAGAATGATCGAAAAAAAGAAAAAACATAAAACATTTCCAGTAAGTCAAAAACTACATTTCCATTTCCAGTTTCTAGAAGAAAGTCGATTTAGGTACAAGTTAAAACGCACTAAACTGAAAGTCAGACAAAATAAATAAGCCGGAAATAATGAGTCTCTTATAAATAATGAGCCGAAAATAAATGAGCGTTTTCAACTCGAATATTTGAAATCCCATAACTTGATCCAAACAAACTCTATTAATCGAAATAAGAACCATTACAATTAACACATTCTTGCCAACGAGAAACAATTTGATTTATGTCGTTAGCATAGAAGTTCGGGCTTCTGGAGGCGATAAAGTCGGCGAAGGCGTTTTTGGCATTGTCTTGAGTTTTGAAGCATTTCTCCCGGAGAAAGTTGTCGAGGTGCTTGAAAAAGTGATAGCCGGTAGGCGAAAGGTCCGGCGAATATGGCGGGTGAGGCAAAGTTTTGTAGCGCAGTTTGTTCAGCCTTTGCAGGGTCGGTTGTGCGACGTGCGGACGAGCGTTGTCGTGGAGAAGAATTGGACCTTTTCTATTGACCAATGCCGGGCACATTCGCCGCAATTTCTGGTGCATTTCGTCGATTTGTTGAAAAAGTGGTAGTCGGTAGGCGAACACTAAAATGAAAGTCAGATAAAACCAGCATACTGTAGCTCAAACCTATTTAAGTTGGCATTTTGTCTTTTATCATTTTGTGAGGATTTTTATGAGGATTTTTGTGAGGACTCTATGAGGATTTTTGTCACAATTTCATCAACAAGTTCCCCAAAGTTTGTTCATCACTCATCGAAGTGATCAAGTACTGTAAAAGTTCACTCTTCAAGTAGAATAAATACTAAAGTTGTGGCAACGAAAGTTATATCAAGTTCGCAAATATTATTTCACTTGTTGTTTAGTGATTTATTGGCTAACCTGCTTTAGATAAATAGTAAATTATACTCAACCCAAAGTATACGGAATTCGTAACAGAAGAGCTCAACAAATAGAATAAAAGGCAAGCCGTAAAGAGCCACCATTCAAACGTCTTTTTTATTTTGTATACAGTTTAAGAAGAACCCTTGCTTTAGACAAGATTCGCTTTATACAGCAAGCAGGATTCGACCCAAAGACACTCGAAGCTACCCGGTGTTTTTTTCAAGAAGACTGTAAGAATGATTGTTGTATGATACCCAAACAAATGCCCCTTCTTTGTTTTCAAATGAATTGTTTTAAAGAAACTTTTCAAAAATTAGTTTTATTTTGTCTAAAACGAGATAAACAATGCTTCACTTTCATAAGATAATTTTGTGATTCACTTGAAATTGCCGAAAAGAAACAAATTAATAAAACTAGGCTTTTGACTTGGTATTAAGAAACAGAATAAAGAGATCTGGATCAGGGGTTTGCGGATCTTAAAATGCCGGATCGGATCCGGATGATCCGAGTAATCCGAGTTTTAAAAAACCTGCTCCGGATTGTCCAGATGCATGCAAACTTTGACGACAATTTTGTCTCAAATGACGCTGCTTCCACAAAAAACTCAATTTACATTTGTGAAAATTAGCATACCTACCGTAAATACTGTAATAGTACCCAGCCCCATAATGTCGGTGCGGAGTGTTGCGTAGTCTAGCTTTAAACGAGTTTTTCTCGACACTGGTTTAAGCTACAATGCGCACTTAGGTATCAAAAAATAGCCCTGAATTTCAGTTATTTCAGCTAGTCGCCTAGTCGCCTTTTGCGACTGTACTAGGGGGGGTGGGGTTACAGTATTTACGGTATGTTAAAATCCGAAAATCCGGAGATTCGGATCGGATTCCGGATCGGATTCCAGATCGAATTTTCAAAAAAAGGCCTGGATTCCTGGCTTTTCGCATCCGGCTCGAATGATCCGCACATCCCTGGTCTGAATGTTGTGGAGGCTTTGATTGTACTTTGATGTATTTGTCAAGCTTCGGTATACAGAACAACTTTATGAACAATAATTGCCACTTGAACAATCCAAACCTTTTCACAACCGGAGAAAACGAAGGGAACAAGCTTTCTCACAAACAAACAAATGATTTTCTCTCAGAAAAACAGGAAATTCGGCTTATGTAGCCAAAAATGCGGCAAACTACGGTAGCTTATTGACAGTTTAGCATTAACTTGATAGCTTTTGGTGACAGTTGGCACAGATGTGCAAATTAAATCTTGTTTAACCCATTTTTTGAAAACATGCAATAGTTTGACAGTTTGCACTTATAGATTTAGCATGCCTAACTATGAAAAGTAAAAATTTTCTCATTATCAGATAGATATGCGGATTTGATTTTGTACATTTCTTTTCTATCTTAGAACAAAACATCAATTCATTTTATACATCAGCTGCTTGTCGACTTCGATCAACCAGTTCATATTTCCGATTCATTGTCGAGTGAATGGAACGATTGGGATTCCTTTTAAGCAAAAAAATCAATGTGAAATTGGCGATGAACACTGAAAAATGACTCCTCTTAATATGGTCAGCTGTCAGCTGTCAGCTGTCAGCCGTCAGCTGTCAGCCGTCAGCCGTCAGCCGTCAGCCGTCAGCCGTCAGCTGTCTTTTGTTTAGTTTTCTAGATGTTAGTATTTAGATACACAGTTTTCCCCAATCTTTTGAGCTACTTTTGAGCTACTTTTAAACAGAAGTTTACAAACCGAGAATGCTAAGTAGCATGAGATTTGCCAATTCGTATCGGGATCCCACTTGAGTGATTTCCACTTGAGTGATTTCCACTTGAGTGATTTTCATCAACAATACCGCTTTTCCCTAAACATTATCTCATTTTCAAAATGGTTACTCCCCACTTTTTGCACCATATCCTCACTCTCAGAATCACTCGATTCACTTGATGATTCGATTTCCTTTGGTTGATCAGTTTCAAGTCCAACCTCTCGTTTGAGCCTTCTCATTCTCTATAAAAAGACTTTAAAATTAAATCTTTACTTTACTATTAAATCTAATCTTAAACTTACAACTTGATTCCTCAAGAAATAATCTGCATCAGTTTTTTCGATAACTTCATAAAAACGAGGAGAATTGTGGGCTGTGGGTTGACAAGCCTCACAAGGGACAAAGCAAAAAATAAAAAAGAAATAAAGAACATAGGAATACGGTAGGAATCATTGGACGAAATGAAGTTAAAATGAAAAACTTATTTGCAAAGTTTTCCTGATATTTTCATAATGTATGAATCAACGAATGAACCATCACCAAATTTCGCAAAAATTGAGAAAAACTTTAATTAGAAAGGAAACTTTCTGGAAAAACTATGGAAAACTATGAAAAACTACAAGATAAACAATTGTTTTTGTTATTTTTTGCACAAACAGTTTTTTTAAACTGCAAAAACAGTTTTATTGAGCATAAAAGAAAGAAGTGGATCTAAGAAAAACAATCAACAAAATTTTGATTTTGAAAATAATATCTTAAAGTTTTTTGGGAGCTTAAGCTTTCATGGTCAAATTGAAACCATAAGATCAGCTAGATCTTCGTTTTCTAAACTTATAAGTTAGATATTTACAAGTTTCATTCATGATTACTAAAGTAATCCTTTAAGTTCAAAATTTGGTCACAAACATTTAAACAAGTGGTATTGTTTTATATTGGGTTGGTGGAAAAGTCCTTTCGGATTTTTTGGGAGAGTACCTTAAATTTGTCCAATTTTGACGTTTTATAGCTCATCCTAAAGCTGAATTCAAGACGGATCGATTGGTAAAAACCGTTTTGAGATATCTCTTTTCTGAAAGTTTTTACAGCTATTTTAGCAAAGGGCGGCAGAGCCAAAAAATGGCTGTTTTCACTTTTCGTTAGTTTTCCGTGCAGAAACCTAGGCTAAAAACATGTTTTTCGTGATCAGCGTCAAAAATAACCCCTAGACACAAATTTTCAGAATCTTAGCAAAAAATTTTTGAAAAATATTGTCACCGGTGGAAGTCGAACCAGCGACCCTCAGATCAATAGCCTTTCCGCCGCTTTTCGCGATTTTCCTTCGTTTTTCCCCTTTTTTTTTGTTTTATCATTTTTTTGATGTTGTTAGAAAGCTTTTTTTCAGGAATGTCGTGTCAAGTTGAATCGGAGGAGCACCAGCGACACCTGTTTTTGTATGCATTCAACCGAAAACTCAATGCCGCACAGGCTCATCGAGAGATTACTGACGTTTATGGACCCGATTTCGTGACCGAACGAACTATCCAGAATTGGTTTCAACGATTTCGGCTCGTTTGTCGAGGATCTTCTTCAACCAAATCAGCAAGTTTGTCCTCGTCGATTTCCGATGGTCTTCCTGTTTCGATGGTCTTCCGAGTAAATTCTACCAAAAAGATTTTATGGGGAATGGTTAACTCTAGGCGAAGCTACTAGAGTGCCCGTAATTCTTGAACACCCTGTAGTAGAGCATAATATAGTTTACTAGTTTAGTACCTTAAACAACGCTACAGAGAACACAACATTGTGATCTCGATATTCAATGATCTCGATAATTCTCGGGTGCGATATGTAAACCGGTAAAAAGTAGCAAAGATGCAAAGCTAGGGATCTTGTAGCTAAGATTATTCGAATCAGTCTCTAATTGTAAGACGTGTATGACTAATCTAGACCAATGCTCGGCCAGAAGCTATCCCAGGTTCAGATATGGCCTCTGGACCCAGGTGTTACTGTTTAGGAAACTTCAGAAGTCAGACCGGACCTTAACCAAGCCAAAAGCTAGGTCAAGTCTTGACTTTGACTAAGCCTAGAAAAATTGCCTTTGAAACAATTCTAGTTTCAATGTCTCTCCAAAATACCAATCTTGAGCACATTTCTATAAACTTTGAGCAAATTTTGTTTCCAGAATTTAGGTACAAAGATGCAGCGACAATTTTCAATGATTCTCATCAATCAGGGAAATATTTGTGGAACACTGTCGGCGGATTTTGACGGTTTTCGCTGGTAATTCGATAAACAATTGAAATTGAATGTAAACCTTCGCCAATCGAAATTGAATGTAAGCCTTAAATCAAGCATCTGCTTATTTTTATCATCTTCAATCAATTTACAGCAATGTTCTTTGCAAAAATCATAGTTCCCACACACCAGAAAAAGAACAAAAGAAATGCAAAACAGAGACGCAAAAAGTCGTTGTTCTCGCCACTCGTTTCCAATTCTTTCGGCTGATAAAACTTATCACCTTTCAAGTCTGAACCCAAATGGATCCTGTTTTAGGCTCAAAAAAATTCAATTCAATTCAAAAGCTGTCAAATACTCTGTACTTTGTTTTTTATTCATTGAACTTTAAAAATGAAAGAAGATGATCATCCAGGATTATTTTCATTTCGGTAAATCTTTTTTACTAGTTAAAATTTTAACTTAAATCGCATTTAGTTTAAAACAAATGAAAAAGCTAGACAGTTTTTTAGCATTTCTTTCCGGTTAAACCAGTTGACTCGTGTCGTAAAATTTGAGCTGAAAATTCTAAGTCTAGACAACCAATACTATTGGGTTGGTGAATCGAAAACTGCGGGACTTTGAGCTAAAATTTATTCAATATAAAACCATCAATTCATTTCAAATAATTTCCATTATTATTGACAACTTCTGCCCATTTTACAGGCAATTTGCGGATTCCTCTTTCGTAGTAGGATTTTGGTTTGTGTGTGAGACAAGTGCGAGACTCAAAAATGGAGGACTGGAGATGTCCCAGTTTGAGCACTTTCTTCAAAAGAAACCCATTTTGGTGTCAATAGAAAAGTTGTAGAGAATCTAAAATTAGGCTTATAACCAAATTTGCAAAAAGATACACTTAGTAGTTTCGCTTAAAATGCAAGTTTTGTGAAAATTCGTAAATTTGGCATTTCTTGAAAACCAGTTTTTGAATCGTTCTGAAAATTTGGATATAAGCTTAATTTTTGATTCTCTACAGCTTTTCCATTGACACCAAAATGGGTTTCTTTTGAAGAAAGTGCTCAAACTGTGACATATGACAATGGCCCGCAGTTTTCCATTCACCAACCCAATAGAATATTTGGTTATGCTTTCAATTTTTTGACTAACCCAAAGTCAATCCAAAACCAGTGATACTTGTAGCTTTCTAAAAAAACTTTACAAAAAGCTCATGTCAACAATTACTTCAGCTCCCACCGCCTCCGAATCAGTTTCCTCCTATCGATTGCTTTTTGTGTGACGGTATGCATGCGAGTAAATATGAGTCTTGGAGTCACTTGCATGGTAAGAACTTTCACTATTAACTGTTTCCTTTCAAACGTTAGATTTGTTTAAAGTTAGGTCAACGCGACGGCTTTTGCACCGAAATCGATCCTACTTGACAACGAAAGTTTACCGACAAGAAGCTCAGCAAGTTGTCATCCGATCAATGATGAGAAAACAGCACAGATTGATGGATATGGAGTGAGTTTTAAACAATATTTTGAAATCAAATCAAAGATTATCATTATAACTTTTAGCTTAAACTTTTCTTGAGATTTTCAGGGAACTCTCCTCTGGTCTCCGTCAATGACTTCAATTCTCCTTTCTGCTCCATTTTATGGTCAACTTGTTACAATGACATTTGCTGGATACTTAGCGGATCGCTATGGACCGAAACTTGCTTTGATGGGTTTGATAAACATTTAAGAACCCACTTAATCCACTTAATTAGGATCTGTCGTGAATTGTATGATCGGCACAGCGATGGGTCCATTTCTGGCTGTTCGTTCATATTGGGGTTTTTGGTGTTCGAGAGCGTTGCTCGGAGTTGGACAGGTTTGAAAAGACAAGACAAATAGCCAAATAGACAAATAGTATTTGGTTGGGGAGAATGAGTCGGCGCCCAACTTTAAAGGGACTTTTTGCACACATAAAGCCTTCTTTAAACATACGTTTGATTTCATCAAAAGGATCCACTATTTCTCTACAAAATCACTTTTGAGAGATTCCACAAAGCTTTTCTTTCGTGGAGTTTATGAACTTCCAAACGCAGCTGGTTAAAATGGCAAAGAGTCCGACTCATCATTTGAACAGTTTCTTTCACATAAACCTTCTTTGGTGTTTATATAAAAAAGATAGAGCACATTCAATTACTTAAGTTGCCAAATTTGCAGGAAGATCCCACCAATGGTTTTTTCTAGATCACAGTTTGTAGTTTTTGTGAAAAAATGGCTTTTTCTTGAGCGGAGGCGCTGTTTGAATTTTCTTTTAAATGTCATTTTGTAGAGAATTAGTTAACCATTCTACTCATATCAAACGCATATTATTTGACGAAGTCGAATAGAAGTTTTTGACATTTTTTTGATTTTCGGCGCCGACTCATTCTCCCCAACCCAATAGTTAAATTAATTTCTAATAAGGTTTTCAGACCTTTGTTTTCCCGAGCTGCAACAGCATGGCCGCCAAATGGTTTCCACCAGAAGAGCGAGCTACAATTGGCGCAATTTACACTTCAGGAGTTCAGGCAATAGAGAATTTAGACTAGAATACTCTTCAGAATCAACTTTAGCATGCAAAACCCCAAAGAAATATTGCATTTCTAGGTTGCAGCCGGATTTACGTCGTTCTTTGTGGCCGCTCTTTGCACTTCACCTCTTGGATGGCCTTCTATTTTCTACAGCTTCGGTAAGAGCCTCTAAACTTGTGATATTGCTATAATATACAATGTATTAGTTTCTGTGAATGAAATAAATTCAAAGTTATCTTAATGTTGATATCTTTTACTTAATAATTCTCAGATACTCAACCTTGCTTTAGGTCACTGTTACTTTGAAGTCTATCATTATTTTTATCCATCTTTATCCCATCATAAAGCACATACCAGACTTAATTGTGTAAAAATATAATATGATTTATAAAACCCAATGATTTATAGCTTTAATCGGATTCATCTGGCTCCTCTTCTGGAAATTCTTTGTCACTGATTTACCCTCTGAAAACAAATGGCTCTCCGAAAGTGAACAGCTCTACATAGAGAAATCGACAAACTCGAAGAAGAACTCACAACATTTTGTAAAGAATTCAATTAGCACAATACAACAAAAGCTTTAGAAAGAACAAGTCTTCCCGTGGAGAAAAATCCTGCTCAGCCGTGTCACTCAAGCTGTCTATGTGTCCCAATTCGCGTTCGGTTACTGTGCGGTGCTCATTCAAACCTATCTACCATTGTACTTGAAAGCAGAGCTTTATCTACCGATTCACAAGGTAGAATTAGACCAAAAGATAAAAGATTTAATAACTAAATCTTGGAAAAACTGTAAAATTTCAGAACGGAGTCTTTATGATCACTCCATTCCTCTCGCAAATCATCTCAAAAAACCTTTTTGCATTGATCAGTGACTATTTGAAGAGAAATGGTTATTTTGATCCGACCAGTCTTGGAAAAGTCTTCCAAACATTCAGTGAGTTGTTTTTTTAATGTGTTGAACAAATTGTTGTCATCAGGTTGCCTCGGGGTAGCTGCAAGTCTCCTCGGAATGATCTATCTTCCATCGTGTGAGAATTCTTGGGTTGTAATCCCAATTCTGACTCTTTATGGTAAGCAAATTCTATTTTAAAGATAAACTGAACTTTAGGTTCTGCATTCTCGGCTTCAATCCCTGGCTCTTTTGCCTCATTGTTGACTATTGCTCCACCGTACACTGGAACTGTTTCCTCGATCGCGATGGCCTATTTGACGGTGGCTGGGATTGGTGCCACGCAATTAGTGACGATTTTAGAGTTTCTCGTAAGTTTTGATTGCCTGCATTAGCTACAATGGTAGAAATGATATGTAGTTGTAAACTTAGTTTTCTAAAGTGCTATTATAAGTCAAACCTACCGTAAATACTGTAATTGTACCCCACCCTCTTCGTACAGTCGCGTAGTCGCAAAAGGCGACTACGCGACTAGCTAAAATAACGGAAATTCAGGGCTATTTTTTGATACCTAAGCGCGTATTGTAGCATAAATCAGTGTCGAGAAAAAACTCGTCCAAAGCTAGGTTACGCAATACTCCGCACCGTCATTATGGGGTTGGGGTACTATTACAGTATTTACGGTAGCTAAATCACTGCTTAAAACTCGATCAATTCACCTGAAAGTGTCACTTATCCTTATCACTTCTCTTTTCAAGGAATGGCCAAACAAATGGACAATTGTTTTTGCCACAGGAGCCGCTTTAAATGTGTTTTCTTTAATGGCGTTTTTATTATTTGGAGAAAGTAAGTCAAAATTAGTTTTTGAACGATTAATCCATTTTTTTTAGTCAAAATCCAAGAATGGGCAGAGCTAAAAGAAGTTGACGCGGAAACTGCCGAATTGAAAGGATTAGTTCACAGCTGATACGATTCTTGAATTTGATTAAGATTTCAAATTACGGGTTTTTATAAACACTTTGAAAAGAGATTGTTTGTGAAAGAAGTATTTTTCAATGGCATACAGAGAAAGCAAGACAATTGGGTATTTATTGGATCAATGCAGTTGAAATAGCTAAATGTTTAAAGCATTTATTGGCGATTAACCACCAAACAATCTAAATCTTTTTCCCATTTTTTGGCAGCTTTTGGCAGTTCTCGGATGGCCTTCTCATAAAAGACCTTCGATTTTCCAGCAAAAAAAAGTCCGACAGCCACTTTTTGACGTCATCTTCGGAATTGAAGTGCTGCCCAATTAGCTCGTTGACCGGAATAGATGATAATCACCTGGGGCAAGGTCCGGGCTATATCGAAATGAACCATTACTTTTAATCTGTTTACTAGGGACCAACGCCAAGTCAAGGTGAAGTTTCGAAAGGAGAGCTAGTGTATCTAAGAGAGTTTTGAATGCGAAGTCCGAATCTGCATTCACTTTTTCTCCAAAGATCTCTATGTCGCAAGATATCTGACATAAAACTTTTCGTTTTTCGTTTTTTTTTGGTTCTGTTATAGGCCTTCTTTCGCTATTCTCAAGAAGCGCTTAGTTAGCTCAGCACTAGTAAACTCGGAGAAAAGTAAATGCAGATTCGGATTCCCCATTTAAAAATCGATCAGATAACTTAAGTATTTCTTATTTCGAAACTCCATTTTGATTTGGTGCCTTTCACTAGTTACAATCGATAACGGAACTCTATATAGCGGAAACGGAACTCTATATAGCTTCTCTCAACAACGGAACTCTATATAGCTTCTCTCAACAACGGAACTCTATATAGCTTCTCTCAATAACGGAACTCTATATAGCTTCTCTCAATAACGGAACTCTATATAGCTTCTCTCAATAACGGAACTCTATATAGCTTCTCTCAATAACGGAACTCTATATAGCTTCTCTCAATAACGGAACTCTATATAGCTTCTCTCAACAACGGAACTCTATATAGCTTCTCTCAATAACGGAACTCTATATAGCGGAAAACTCTATCTAACGGAATGAAATTTTGGTCCCGACCGGACGCTAAGCTATTGAAAACGGCATTCTATATAACGGAAACATTTTTTTGGTCTCTTCCATTCCGTTAGAGAGTCGACTGTAGCTTGGAGATATAGAGAACCCAATTTATTGTTGTTATCCTATTTTCAGAAGCAAGCTTTGATCAAACACTTGCCACGTTTCAACTCCATAATAAAGATCTTCCCGAAATGATGGTTACATTCTGCTTTCATTTTACTTATCTTTTGCCTTGTTTTTATTATAAAGAACTCTTTTGTCTGTGTAATGTTTGCAAAGTTGTTACGTAAAATTTCGCTTGAGCTTTAGTTAATAAATTTTAAAGCTGTTCATTTCTTCTTGCACACCAAATATGACAAATTGAGAGGCTCTGCGGGTTCAATTGGAATAGTCACCCATGAACCCTCGGCACAACAGCCTTTATCATCGCAATTCGTTATCTGAAACTTGATGTTTTGCTGAAAACATTTTTTTTGCAATAGTTAGAAGTGTTTCTAAGGTTCCATTTCTAGAACAGACTAATTGTAAGTAGATTTTCAAACAATCCTTGTGCTGTCATTGTTTGTTAGAGCGTTCTGATATGATCAAAATTTTACTTACACTGATGGCCGCAGTCACATTTTCATGATCGAAGCAGAAATGATGCTCGTAATCAAACGGTGTCCCATCGGTCCAAGAAAACGTTTTATTGTCCTGAACAATAAAACAAATTGTTCAGAACAATGTTTACTTGTTCAGAAAAATAAATAAAATGAACGTTTTATTGTCTTGTTTTCAACTGTTTTCATGCGTAAGTTGTAAGTTGATTAAACCAACCTTTCTTCCACCAACAATGTACGCCGAATAATAACCATGATAATCATAGTGAGAAGATGAAGGACAGCACAAACCTAAACAGAAAAAGTCTTTTAATTAACAATAATTCTTGTAAAATTCTTGAATGATTTGTTGAAATAATTCAATTTTTTAACTCAACACCAACTCGTGATCCAATCATTTTCCTCTTGACTGTGAATTGAGGTCAAATGCCCGCCTTGACTCACACAATACGCTTCTCCATCTGTGAAAGTGCTGTTGTAAAACACCTATAATACGTATTTCAGTATTGTATACTTACAAACCAAGTACTGATATCCGGTTATCGAATTGTATTGCCATCCTTGGCGACAATTGTACATTGGTTGATGATCAGCTGTAAAACCGGTAAAGTGGTTACGGTCAAGCTTTAAACTGATCAAATTTAAAGCTTCAAGAGCCATAATTGGCAGCTTTACTAGCACGAAAAACACCCTAATTTGCCAAAGTCTTATATTAGGTATGGGAGTATGAAATGGCTCCGACTTACAAAAATTTTTCTGCAACTCATAAAAAGCTATTTAATCCATTGTTTGTATAATCAAAAAGTCTATCATTGTTCTACAAAATGGCTTTTGAGAGATTCCAAAAAGCTTTTGTTTTGTGGGGTTTATGGGCTCCTAAACACAACCAGTCAAAATGACAAGAAGTCCGATTCGTCGTTTGACCGTTTTTTGCATATAAACTTAACTTGATTGCAAAACAAAAAAGTTAAAGCACATTTAATTACATAAGGAGCCAAATGTTTGTAGTGATCTCGTCATTCATTTTCTCTAAATGATGCTTTATAGATTTTCTGCAAAGATGATCTTTATTGAAATGGGGCGCTTTTTGAGTACTATTTTAATGATTTTTGTAGAGAAATAAATGACCTTTCTGATGAGACTAATGTCATTTGATAAAAACTACTCTTATAGAACTTGATGTTATAGAAGTTTCTTTGAAAGTAGGCGCAATTTCAGACTCTCCAACCCAATATCAAACTTTAAAGTACCCGTCATTGGTTTGGATCGGAAATGGATAAGAATCATTTCTAGGACTTATAGTTAGAAGGGATTCTTAGTATTTGGACTTTCTAGGACTAGAAGTCTAGATAAAAAAGGAGATACTCCAATCAAGTACTTAAATTGAAGTTTCCCTAACAGTAGTGCCCCCCCCGGCGAGCCGAGTTGATGACTATTTTACGGTTTTCAAGTTTTTACAGAAGCACAACATTCTAATCCCCCCACTAGATCTCATTGTCAGCTACATTTTCCGACCCCACATCGATAGGTTCTGATAAGCAGTTTTCGAGATTTCGAGCAATTTAGGCGAAGCTTACGGTGCACTACTATTAGGGAAAATATGGTAATCTAAAGGAAATACCCTGTAGTCTTTGATGCTAATAAATGTTTTCATACAACAAACTGATGGAAAACTCTTTAGCTACCCAAAAAAATATGAACTACTCCTCCATGATCAAGGCACCCGAGGGAGCAAAGACTACTCGATATTCTAGAAGTTTATTTGAAAATCGGCGCAATTTGATACTCTCCAACTCAATCTCTATCTCCAACTCAATATCATGGTAGGCTTTAAGTGTAAGACGTTCTGTTAGCTACTGGTACTTACAAGGCAAACAATTCAATCCGTTGGGATCTGTCGTCGTGCTGAATGTTGCTGGCGTCTGAATTCTTAAAATTAACATTCTAAAGATCTAAACACCGTTTTCGGGAGATTTCCACAAACATTGATTATCAACTGAAGTATGTTGATATAATCAGAGATCGCTGGGCTTGGATAGTTTGAAATCGAACTTAAATCGACTCCATCTGAAATTCGAATAAGCGTTTTCAAATCCGTTTTATTTTTATCAAGGTTTTATCTCGGAAACGAAAGCAAATGTAAGATCATTTTGACTCATTTTGAAGAATTCTATATACTTTTCATAAAGATCTCCATCAGTTAAGCCATCATTTTTCATCTAATCCAATTTACCATTTAAATGCACAGCTATCGTTCTTGCTTGTTCTGTGTAGTTGGCGCCAGCAAGGGTGATGAAATTTTGCGGACTAAAGCAAAGGCTTTAGGTTTTTTGTTTCTTATGTAAACATTTCCCAAACCTAGCTGTATAAATGACTACCACAGCATCATGAATTTTCCATTGATTGAGCTTCGATGTGGCACTTAATCACGTAATTATTGAACCAAGAGTAGATGAATTTAGAATAAACAAGAATCAATTCTGTTTTTCTAAATTAGCATTTCAAGAGTAAAAACTGTACCCGAAAATCGTTTCGCTACCACCATTTTGTTGCAATTCTCGTACATTGTCATCAAAATCGTTGCTTGCCAAAAAGAAACTATCCGGAAATTCTTCATCATTATCACCGGCTCCGTACACCCAAAAATTTGCCGAGAACGTGATGTTGCTTGATGAAAAAGCGAGACTAGCTGTAGTAGCGATTGAGGTGATTTCACCGCGAAAAGATTGCTGAAATATTTATCCCACTACTCAATAGAAATCCGTGTTTTTATATTTGTTAAACTTCTAGAATACTCACAGAATAACTCGATCCATCGATCACAAAAAGTGTTTGACAGTTATCAACAGCTAAAGAAGAATTGAGGAATAAATGATTCTAACGCTCACAGTTTGCCGACTTGAAGAATAAAAGTAAAAAGAAAAGCATTTTAACACTGAAAGCAATCGATTCTTCATAAAAACCTTGAAAATAATTTGCGATACGGGAACTTAATCGCCTTTGCAAAAAAAAGAGAACTAGAGAAGACTAGAGACGGTTAATGAAATTGACTCAAGTCGGTATGGTTACCTTTGTTTTGTAAATTGTGCTTAAAATTGTAGAAAATTCTTTCTAGTGCTCTCAATTTTACATTTTTCTCGCAGCAACGATGAAATGAAGAATTGAATGCACCAAAATGCATTTGTTTGCACTTTGATCAAGGCTTAGGCTTAGGCTTAGGTTTAGGCTTAGGCTTGGGTTTGGGCTTAGGCTTAGGTTTAGCCTTAGGCTTAGGCTTAGGCTTAGGCTTGGACTTAGTGCGAAGGCTAGCGGCTAGCGCCTCACACTAAGTCTATTTGGGTTTGGGCTAAACTCCCATTTTCTGGATCTCAGCTTAGGTTTAGGCTTAGGCTTAGGCTAAACTTTGCTGGTTTTTGGAACTACAGCAAACTGTAATCACTTACTATTAGAGACAAATAAATGAATACATTCAAATATCTATGTCTATTTATATAGAATAAGCCAGAAAAACCTGGTCTTCTGGCTTCGTGCAGGCGGATTTTATTTTCTTCACCCTTAGAGGAATCAAAACCCTGACCTTTCTCACTCAAAAAGTGTAAAAACAACAAAACCAAAAAAAATTGCATCTGGCAGAGATCGAACCCGAGACTAACCGAGCCCAACGTTGCTCAACTGGCAGATCGGACACCGGAATGCACTACCACTTGGCCACGTGGTAGCATGTATTCTTTAATTTCGCCTTTTTTGGAAAAAAACGGTCAAATTATGTGTCAAATATTATTAGATTTTTGGAAACTACATAAAAATTTAGGTTTATAAAGTCAAACTTCAAATCGATTGGTTCAGCCGTTTTTTTCTAAAACAGTGGAACAGACACACAGACATACACGCTTATAATACGCTTACTCTTATAATATGTAGGATATCTACCGTAAATCCTGTAATAGTACCCCACCGCCCTCGTACGGTCGCGTAGTCGCTTTTTTAGTATTTCATTTTTTTTAAAGCGCCGGTACTTTCAAAAAATGCGTCTTTGGTATCAAAAAATAGCCCTGAACTTCAGCTATTTTTTGATACCTATGCGCGCATTGTAGCATAAACCAGTGTCGAGAAAAACTCGTTCAAAGCGAGACTACGCAACACTCCGCACCGTCATTATGGGGGTCGGGTACTGTTACAGTATTTACTGTATGTCTTTTAGAAATTGTAAAATTAGAGAACTAACTACATTTGGATGTTCAAAACTGTTGATTATCAAAGAAGAGTTATTTTCTGTAATTGAACCAAAAAGTTTTCATGTGTTTGTTGCGTTTCCATTCTAGGAAAAAGCAAATGCAGCTTTTTCCAGAATTTCTCTATAAGTCGAGTTTTTTAAGATCGTTAAAAATGGATGTCCATTCGGCTCATTGAAGGAGATGAGGCGCTGAAAATTGCGTTTACCCAATTACAGCATCCAGATGCCTTTCAATGGATGGGCTTGGGGGGAAAATGATGATGAGAGGTCTTTCAGAAATGAAGAATTGATTACAAACCGCAAGCTTTTCAAACTTTCAATATGGTTTTTGTTTTGGTCTTTTGTTGCGAATAAATAGTTTGATTTATAAAATCACTTGAAAACGCCAAAGTTTTCTTTTGTTCTTCATACAACTTCATGTAAATTAGCTAATTTTTAATTTAAAACTCATTTTCCAGAGATTAAACCATGCATAGCCAAGATTTGCTTTCTATTTTGCACTAGAGGAAAAAGTGAAACACATTCTATACTCTAACTATCATATTGTCAATGTAAGAATGTTTTAAAATTAGTTTGAAGATAAAAAAATAGAACTTGTAGCTTTTTATAGAGATATTAAAAGGTTTTTAACTTATTAGCCCTTTCTAAAACCTGCTAATCATAAAATCAAAGTTGTTTACATAAAAATTTCTCTCATTCCTTTGTCGAGTATCTTCAAAAATTTCGACGAGGTCTGCCCCGCCGAGAAGAAGAAATGCATGTGAGGCCCATTTAAAGACGGCCTCGATTCGGGTGCTTTCCCCTCACTGAGATCTCTTTTTCTTAGAGAGCGTGAGAGAGACGGGGAGAGCTCTCTAATGCAATCCCCTCCTCGCTCGAGTGCCCACAAAAGGCCTAGCAAAAGGACAACAAAATCTATCGAAATGAATCCGAAAAGTTGAAATTTGGCGACGACGTGTTTTTTGATCCGATAAAAAGTAAAGGCGTAGAATTTTAAGGAATTTTTGGCTTGGCTTGATCTTGATCTTGGTTTAAATCACTTGAAAATCTAGGATTTGAACCTTGATCTTGGTTTAAATCATTTGAAAATCCTCTTTAAGTGAAAATCTAGTATACTTTTTAATTTATCGAGTTTGTAGATGTAGAATTGTTTCTAAAATATATTTCTGATCTATTAAACTGTCCAGAAAGACTTTCGCTTATTGTTAGTTCTATAAAAAAACTAGTAAACGTCATTCTATCTCTTCATTGCAACAAATCATGAGTTCAACTCCTTTTCTCATTTGTTCATCACCAACTTCTCTTTAATAATCTCCCCTGGCTCATTTTTCTTCCTAATCCTCACCGGAAGCAGGAAAAATGTAAATTCCCCTCCAATTTTTCTCTTCTGTAAGAAAAAAGAAGATATTAGTCAATCTCTTCAGGATTTCAGCCCCCCGGGTCCCATGGGTGTTCGGTGGAAGGAAAGGATGGGGCAAAAAGAAAAGATTCTGCGCGAGAACTCGGGCAAAGCTTAGCGCCAGCCAGCCTTCTCTTTCTCCACCCGCTTAGTCATTTGCGTGCACGGGGAGACAATTTCCTCTTTTGCATATTCTCTCTGTATATTTCTCATCGCTCCCTCCTCTTCCCACCCAATTTCCTAATATGCCCCTTGCGTCTTTCTTCTCTTACTTCCCCCACTCCACCCTCACATTCTAGACACACATTTCCTAATAATAGTGTCCACAGCTGGATTTGCTAAGTGTCATCTGTGAGAAATATTGGAGAGTAATTGATTCTTGTGTAGAAATGAATTAGCAGCTTTGTTCTTGGTTTTTAGGAATCGATTAGGTTGGTCTAGGTTAGAGTGGATTGGTTTGGATTAGATTGATCAGTTTAGGCTGACTTAGCTCAGTTCAACTGGTTTAATAGTCTAATTTTGACTGACTTGGTGATCTAGTTGTAGGTTTGATTAACTTGGTACTTGGTAATCCAAGTTGGCTTGACTTGCCTTCAGTCAATGTTTTACCTGTATAGGATGAGGCAAAAGTTCTGTTCTTTTAGAATTCTCTCTAAAAGCTTTTAGTTGATTTTATTTCATATGTTTTCGCCAAAAGATAGCCAATCTTTTACAGAATTAAAATCTTATTACAGTTTTTAAATAACTTCTTTAAATAGCTTCTTAAATACTTCCTAACTTCTTAAATGACTTTAGAGTTATCGCTATTCTATGCTCTTCGAAAAAAGTATCTGTGATCGCATCTATTTTAGATTTGAACTTTTATCTCAAATTGTTCCATTCATGAATCTATAACGTAAAGAAAAGAAAGCTCTTTTGATCTTTTTTTTTGAGCTCAAAGAAAAGCTATCAATAAATGGGATCATTAGTTAAAGTATGATATGGACAATCGAGCCATCTCCCTTTATTAAGCAATCAATTTTGATTTAAAACTTCTGCAGTTTTTTTTCCATTGTGCCAAATTCGTGCAAAGCACCTTTTCACACTTGAAACAATACTTTTTTCAAAAAAAAAACGGGGTGTGGGTGTTCAGAGAAGCATCACAGCAAAGAGGGATTCGTGGGGCATTTACCCGCGACCAGAGACTGACGTTTTGCCTCGTCGCCCCTTTCCCCCTTCCCAGCCCTTTCCCATTCCATTCTTTTCTTTTCCTTTCTCCATCCTCTTTTCATCCTCTTTTCTGGAAGGCACAGGGGCCATCGATCGGCCTCCGGGGCCTTCCCCATTCCCCTTTCCATCGCTTTACTTCCCTGGACCCTGTGGCCTGCCCCACGAATTCTCTCTCCCTACTGGCTTCCCCCACTCATTCTCACTTCTCTTTATAGTTATTTGACTGGATTTTTTTGAGAAACTTGAATCAGTTCCTCTAGCAATTATCCTGAAAAAACATTTTCCTTCTATAGAGTGAATTTTTCGATTTCTTTTGCGTGGTTTTCTTGAGTCAATACTCCCCCGCACTAACTTTTCTTTTAGACTTCTGGTTATTGAACTAAAAAAGTAATTCTTTTTAAATATTATGTAGAAAACACGTTGACTTACATTAGTATTAGATTTTACCAACTTTTTAAGCCTAAAATTGTTTTATTGATCCGCATGTTTTAAAGCAATTAACACTTCTCTAATAGTTGACGATTAGAGAAGTGTATTAGACCTAGATACCCTAAAAATACATAGTCAAATTTAGAGCTGCCTAGTTTTAAGTTTACAAAACTTTCTAAAGCTTTTCATTGAAAAATTTTGATTATAAAGTTGTTGCAATGTTCTACTGTGCTGATTTCAATCTTTTTTTTCATTCAAGATCTCCATTCGAATTTTTCTAATTAAAGCAAATACTGAATGGATTCAATCTCATTAACGATTAGATTGAATGCTAAATGAATTCTTTATCTTTTTGATTTTCCTGAGAAATGGGCTTTCTCTGCTTTGTTATTGAAAATGAGTAGAATTTCTGTTAGAAGCCATACTTGAAAAATGGCTTGGTTAATTGACTCAGAATCGATTCAGATTTATGTCGGGCGAGAGAGGATAACAAGAAGAACGTTGAATGAGTCTTTGAATGTTTGAAGCGCTCAAAGAGGTGCTTGGAGAGATCAACAACAAGCTCACACAGGTTTGGATGAGAGATTCAGTGGATTGGAAGTGGACAAAAGACTACTGAAAATGATTAGCCATATATCTAACCAGCTAAATCTAAATCTGCCTAACGCGGGATTTTCCTAGCTGGATGTTGTCGAGCCGTTTTGTCAGGCTTGTCAGGTTTTGTCGAGTCGTCAGCGCGCAGTCGGTGGCGCGCTTGTCCACGACCCACACGATCCGGGTTCGACCCCCGTAGTCCCATGCAATCTTGACTTTTTTATTTTTTATTTAAATGGTATAACTTTATTATATTTTGAGACTTTTTAAAGAAATTTCAGTTCTTTGGCTTAAAGATGGCTGAGAAAAAGTCGTAGATTAAGCCGATACTTTGATGGTTGGCAAAAACCTCGAGCCTGACTTGCTCGGCCTTGACAATTGGTTCACCCAATCTTGGTTACAAGCGTCAAATTACCTTTGTCTAATAGTTTTATGAAACTGTTACTAGATCCAAATCATTCAAATCATGTCAAACTAAATCCAAATAAACCTATCCAAATAAACCTATCCAAATCAAATCTGTTGCATTGCTTATCTAATGCTTGTTCCATTTGTTCGTTGTTTAGATCATATCAATGCTCAATTAAATCATCAAATTTCTTACTTTTCACGTAGATTAGATTAAATCCTTAATCTCCAGCCGATTATCATAAATCTTTTTATCTTTTTATTATATCCTTTTCATTATTATAGCTCACTAGTTACAAATCAATCACAACAAACCTTTAAATTCAGCGCTGAACTTTAAACTTATTGGATTGGTGAATTGAAAACTGCGGGCTATTGTCATATGTGACAGTTTGAGCACTTTCTTCAAAAGAAACCCATTTTGGTGTCAATGGAAAAGTTGTAGGGAATCAAAAATTAAGCTTATATCCAAATTTTCAGAACAATTCAAAAACTGGTTTTCAAGAAATGCCAAATTTACGGATTTTTCACAAAACTTGCATTTTAAGCGAAACTACTAAGTGTATCTTTTTGCCAATTTGGCTATAAGCCTAATTTTTGATCCTCTACAACTTTTCTATTGACACCAAAATGGGTTTCTTTTAAAGAAAGTGCTCAAATTGGGACATCTCCAGTCTTCCATTTTTGAGTCTCACACTTGTCTCACACACAAACCAAAACCCTACCACGAAAAAGAAATCTGCAAATTGCCTGTAAAATGGGCAGAAGTCGTCAATAATAATGGAAATTATTTGGAATGAATTGATGGTTTTATGTTGAATAAATTTTAGTTCAAAGTCTCGCATTTTTCAATTCACCAACCCAATAATATTCCCATCATTATTTCTCTGAACCGTTTAATACAAGGAAAATGCATAAATGATTCATTCATTCATTTGAGAATCATGCGCGTTTTACATTCGGATTGCATTCGAGTATTTTATGGGAATTGATCTCCCCTGCAACCACTGCACATTTGTTCCCTTTCCCATGCAAAAGAGGGCACCACCTGCGCCCCCAAGGGAGAAATTTTGGGGGAAATGAGTGAACAGGGAAAAGTGGGAAATAAATGAACACCACTAGCTTTTTGGAAGAGTGGAAAGTTGCAATTGGTGTTCGGATTGATGTTTGGTTTAAAGTTGAAGTTAAATGGATCAAAACTTACAATACTGAAGCCTCTAGTCGTTGAAATTTAGCCTAACTGAGACAACTACTAGCTTTTGAAGAGCTGGTCGCCACAACTGAAAATTGCCCACAATGGTGGCTAACTTGTAGTTGTCAAACTTTTATTGTGTTATATTTGATTGTAAACAATTTTTAATACGAAACTGGACACTAGTTCGTAATTCAAACCCATTTCTTTGACTTGCAAGAGTTACAAGTGTTTAAAATCTTGTTTAAAACATTAAAACAAATTCCTAATTTCCATTTTCAGGTAAATGATGAGCTGAACACCCGAATGGCAACCGAAAACGGCGGTGCGACACGAGCCGCGCCTCAAGTGCAGTATGTTGGACCATACAAACTTGAGAAAACTCTTGGTAAAGGGCAAACTGGTGAGTACCAAGCTTTTTATATTCAAGATTTCTTTATGTTAATTATATTTACTCAAAAGAATCGTTTTGAGACACGTCGTTCTTGGAAGAGCTTGTCAAAGAGCACTTGTCAAAGTCGTCAAACTTTTTGCTTTTCTTTTGTTTTTGATTTATGTCAGTAATTCGGAGAACAAGTTCTGATAGCTGGAATAATTTAAATTGGCATCAAACATTATAGAACACCTTGAAATTAAAAGAATAGTTTCTTACTAAGCCCATAGTTTTTAATTTCAAAACTTCCATAAGCCGGTTTAATTACCCAAGTGCCAACTCTGGGAAATCTTAATTTCAACTTATTTTGTCTTAACTTTGTAGGTTTCTCTCTTAGAAAAATGTGAATCTTTTGCTAATTTTTATAAAAATGATCTAAACACGATAATTATCGTAGTGGTGTACTCGAGTGAGTTGGGAGCGGAAATCGCGGTAGTTCTCCCAAGGGGCACATTGTTCAACTTGAAGCTGGAAACCCTTGAGAACAAGAGCCGTTGGGAACAAAATAGAGCAAAAACTGAAAAAAGGATTTTATTCAAAAAGCTTTGAAATCGAAGGCCATAAATCTTTGGGTTTAAGTCGGATTTGGTCCTCTTTTTGCTGATAGTTACGGGGTGAGTGAGTGAGAAGTTTTGAGTATTAATAAAGAAGTTGTCTGGGACCTCTAGAAAATGAGTAATTATACAGTGCATTTCAAATTCTTAAGCGCACCCTTCAAAATCAAGATTTTTACATTTTGAACAACGCTGCAACTATTATTCCTTTTCTATTGGAAACCTTTCTAACCTTAGACCAATCCTGGTTCATTTGAGCCTTGACGAACTCCAATCGGGCTCTCTTGTGGCAAAAACGTCAAATCCAGTTGCTTGTTCAACAATTGTCAATCGATATGTGGGTTTCCCTGACGGCTCGCCAAATTTTTGCCTTTGAAGCGTCGATTTTCAGTTTCGTTTTCACTTCATTGATCGTTTTTCCATGGATGTTGTTCACAAATGGCATCTAGCTCGTGGTGTAAGCTAGCTTTGGTTTTGGTCCTGGCTTCTTCTTTGATGCAGAAACGAGCATCGACTTGATATAAATTCGGATCACAGTCGGATCGACCCAAATCTTTTGCGATTTTCCTTATTGAGTTTGCTTCTCCGCCAATCTTCAAACGCGCATCAATCTGACCTTCCTTATAATCCGTGCAGTTTTCCGTGCAAGCAGCTTTCCGTGCAAGCAGCTTTCCGTGTGCCATTTACCTGGAAATTAACAAAAATTATAAATTTAATAATAAAATATGCACGACAAAAGGAAAACTTTTAAACAACAGTAAACACGGTGGGCTTAAGAATTTGAAACGCACTCTATAAAACCTAAATAAATAGGCTTTGGTTAAACGTATAATTTTAAAATTTCAGAATAGTTTCAGCTATCTGTCCCTTAAACAATTGGTTAAGCAATGGGTGAGAGTCTCGAGAGTTTGAAATTGAGTAAACTGTGATTGGAATCCAAAAATTTCCATAACAACTATAGCTAGACTTGTAAAACATGAAAATTATCAAAAATTCGATTTCAGGTCTTGTGAAAACGGGAACTCATTGTATTACGGGACGAAAAGTCGCGATCAAAATCGTGAACAAGGAGAAACTCTCGGAATCTGTTCTGCAGAAGGTAAAGTTTTTCAATTTTTAGACTACAGTCGATTTTCCTTGAATCCTACTTGTTTTCAATATATTTTGAACACTCGACCACTTTCCATTTTTTGCTGGGGATTAGTTGGGCAAGCGACAATCCATCAAATGGATCCAAAGAAGGAAAACAAAGCACTGATTAGAGCATGGAGAAGAGAAGATTTGAGATTATGTTTGAAATTGTTTGAGATTTGAGATCAGACAATGTTTCGAGGCTTGTGGTTACAAAACATTATAGTTTTACAAAAGTCTGTCAATTTCAGGTGGAACGAGAGATTGCCATCATGAAACTGATCGAGCATCCAAACGTTCTTCATCTCTACGATGTCTATGAGAATAAGAAATATTTGTAAGTAATTTTCATTTAGGAATAGTAGAAGAATGTTAATAGCATTCTTCTACTATTCCTAAATCAATTGGCCTTATAAAAAACTAGTTCTACATTTGAAATGACAATTGGGCTTTGATTGTACTCGGGCTCAGATCAAGTACAGTGAGTTCAGAGCTACAGGTTCAGATCAAGTACAGTAACATTAGTCTACAGTAATGTACAATGTACATGTAACATTTGATCTGTCCAAGTCAGTATTGTTAAGCAGCCATATTAACTCCGCCCCTTTTTCGGTCCGTTTGCCGTTGGCAATCTACAAATTTTGCTCGTACCTTGACTGGGTTTGTTTGAAAAACGTTGAATTTGCTTTCAATCGATAGAAAATTTGATTTTGAGTCGAATGAAAGCAAATTCAACCTTTTTCAAACAAACCCGACTAAGATAGCTAAGCAGCTAAGCAAAATACTCAGATTCCCAACGACAAACGGACCGAAAAATGGGCGGAGTTAACAGCCCTGCTGTTAAGATACAGATACTTGAATTACTTGACTCAAATAACACCAGAACAATCCTAACTTCAACATCAATCTTTATTTAGATACCTGATTCTCGAGCATGTTTCTGGCGGAGAACTATTCGACTATCTAGTTCGAAAAGGACGGCTGATGTCAAAGGAAGCGAGGAAATTCTTCCGCCAAATCATTTCCGCTCTCGATTTTTGCCATGCGCATAATATTTGGTAAACAAATCTTATTTCTTGTCTCATTCTTGGAAAATCTATTTAGTCATCGAGATCTGAAGCCGGAGAACTTGTTGCTTGACGAAAGGAACAATATAAAGGTAGGGTTTGGAGTTTGAAACATTTGTCTATATTACAAATTTCTCCCGAAATCTTTCTGCTAATCTGATTTCCTCAAATACATTAAACAAGGCTGACAGATTGCTTTCAGGTGGCTGACTTTGGAATGGCTTCCCTTCAAGTGGAGGGATCGATGCTGGAGACAAGTTGCGGCTCACCTCATTATGCCTGTCCGGAAGTGATCCGGGTAAGCACACAATTCTAATTGCTGAAACCTCAATGCTCAACGAAAATTGATACAACCGTTTAGGGTGAGAAATACGATGGCCGAAAAGCGGATGTCTGGAGTTGTGGTGTCATTCTCTATGCTCTATTAGTGGTGGGTTTATAAAGACAAATGTTCTTCGAGCTCTATCAAACCTTTCATTACCAACAAGTTTATTTTTATTTTTGTTTACAGGGAGCACTTCCTTTTGATGATGATAACCTACGAAATCTTCTCGAAAAAGTGAAAAAGGGCGTCTTCCACATTCCCCACTTTGTCCCTACAGATTGTCAAAATCTTTTGAGGTCGATGATTGAAGTTGACCCACAAAAGAGATATTCCGTGAGTTTTTCTATGTAAAACTTGGACATTTTTTGGCAAATATAATAATAAAATCGATCCATTTAGTTATCCGAAGTGTTCCGCCATCCCTGGGTTGCAGGGAGCACTCGAAATGATCCCGAACTCGAGCTACCCATGGCCCAAGTTGTTCAGGTAACTGGATTACAAACTTTTCACTTTACCAATTGGATCTAGAGTTTTCTTTATTTAGCTAAACTTCAAGATTGTAGGACATTTCATACGCACCCTGCCCTTTTGTTATTGGCAATCCAACTTTGAGCTCAAATATCTAGGTCTTGAGCTGTTCAATTTAAATATTCTTGCTATCATTAGATGCGCCAAGTCTTTCTCTGTTGATCGGTACAAAAACTATTGGATTCAACAGCCCAACACCAAGATATTAGAGCTCAAAGTTAGATTGCCAATGACAAAGGGGCGCGTATAAAAGGTCCCATAAACCCGCCCCTTTTGTCATTGGCAATCCAACTTTGAGCTCAAATATCTTGGTGTTGGGCTGTTCAATTTAAACAGTTTTTGTACCGATCAACAGAGAAAGACTTGGCGCATCTAATGACTTCAAGAATCTTTAAATTGTACAGCCCAACACCAAGAGATTTGAGTTCAAAGTTAGATTGCCAATAGCAAAAGGGGCGGGGCTTATCAAATGTCCGACAACCAAACTTTAAATTTAGACCCACATCATTCCCTCTGAAGACAGTATAGATCCCGATGTTTTCCGACACATGTCGAATCTCGGATGCTTCAAGGATAAAGAGAAACTCGTTAGGGAGCTCTTGTCTACAAGGTAGAATTGTTTTAAGACTTGGCAAATGGTGTGTTCAGACATAATACGGAGAAAATGGTCTACTTTTTGCTGTTGGATCGAAAAAGGAGGAGACCGGCACAAGAAGATGATACGGAAGTGGTGCTGAGGGGAGCCACTGTGAATGCGGATCCGCCAAGAAAAAGAACGGATAGCAGCAGGGCGAATAGGTAAATGATTAAACATTGGTTGATTGCGATTCATAAATCTTTTTCTTAGCTTTTAAACTTACTGAAATTCGACTTTTCAACTTCCAGATATGCTGTTGGTAGCATAGCCGATGGTAGCCCGATCAACCCGAGGAAAACCTATGGGAGATACAGAAGTGGAAGACACTCCTCACTTGGTGGCTCACCCAATGAGTCTCCACGATCTTCTACAAGAGATCTGTTCAATTTCTCCTCTTCAAGCAACAATAGTTTCTCTGCTAGAGGTTTGAACAGCTTAAATTACAGTAGACTTGTAGCAAAAACATCTGTCGGTCCTTTGCCATTGGGAATTTAAGGTTCCTCGTGTTTTTCTCAGCCCCAACCTTTCAATTTTGACTATTTTGACTATCATTTGATGCAGAAGAAGATCGCTCGTTGAATAATATCAAATTTAACTCAAAATATAATATACATGCAAAGTTACGGTTAATTCCCGCCCATAATGGGCGGGGTTTAGGATTTGAGCCAAAAACTTTGCATATATACTATATTTTGAGTTACATTTGGTATTATTCGACGCGAAATTTTATTCTGCATCGAATGATAGTCAAAAATAGTCAAAATAGAAGCGTTGGTGTTGAGAAAAACACGGAAAACGAAGTTATGGGCGGGACTTAGCCTTTTGTAGCTGGCAATTTAAGGTTTTCTCAGCACAAACGCTTCGATTTAGCCTATTTTGATTATCATTCAATGCGGAATAAAATTGCGCGTCAAATAATACAAAAATTAACTCAAAATCCATACAAAGTTGTAGGCTAAAATCCTAAACCCCACCCATTATGGGGGGGAATCAACCTTTTGCCTCGTAACTTTGCATATATATTACATTTTGAGTCAATTTTGGTATCATTTGAAGCGCAATCTTCTTCTTCATCGAATAATAATGATGATCAAATGATCAAAATAGTCAAAATTGAAAGCTGGGGGTTGAGAAAAACACGAAAAACCTTAAATTGCGAACGACAAAAAGGACCCACAGATCTTTTTCCGTTACAAGTCTAGATTACAGTAAATTCAGGTTTTGAACCAGAGCGAAGTCGTTCGACGACCAGGAATCAGAACAATTATCACTATTACACGCAACCGGTCGATCCACAAACTTTGGCTGAAGCTGCAAGACATGTGAGACAAGCGAGGGAACAACAGGTGAGAACTGGAAGATGATAGTCCTTAGAAACAACTCAACTCTGAGTCGTTTGTGTCAAGAATTCTATGAAATAAAAGTTATTTGCACAAGGTGGAGCGGTAGTTCAAAGCCCAACTTGTACAGCAAATCATTCAATCCCAGGAGCGACAATCAGCCGACCGACAACCATCGTCCGATCCTACAAGAACTTCTCCTCCATCCGGTGTCCCATCTCCATCATCCTATACACAAACAGTCAACCCAATGACTGAATCGACACTCTCGATTGGAACTGGAATCACTTCGAACGCTTCTAGTACAAACAGTCTAATCACAGGTTTTTTCAAGCCTTTAAGTTTAGTTCTAATTCTTTACAGGAAATTCTCAAAATCAACTTGGCTCCTCATCAGGTCCTTGGAGAATGAAGCTATCGAATATCAAGAATTCGATCATGGGAACACCGAGATTCCATCGGAGAAAGATGAGCAATGGACAAGAAAGTGATGGGGAGGATTCACAGATGTTGGACACTACTGAGTAGGGAGAATTGAAACTGAAAAGTCTAATCATTATTCAGCTTGGTGAAAAAGTCATGGTTTGGCTCATTGACATCGTCGATGAGTGTGGAGAGGGATGATACTCATTGTGTGCCTGTACAAGGGAGAACATTGAATGGGATCAAAGCTGAGCTGATTAGAGCGTTTTTGACGGTTAGTATTGAAGACAAGCTTTGGTTTTAAAGTTATCAAAAAGTTATCTTTCTAATGAAACAAACTGTAGCTCAATTGGATCATTTATTGGTTTTAAGCGGAAGTATGAAAAGGAACGAAAAGACTTTCTAAAAAGCCATTCAGATACACGAGTTGTCCCACTCGGTTGTCGGCCAAAACTGTTTCCGAGTCGAGTACAAAAGAGGACCAACGTATGGCGGAAGTGTTTTTAGTCGAGGAGTCAAAATGAATGTGAGTCTACAAAATCATTCTCATCCACAAATTATCTAGGTCGACATAATCACAAGCCCCCAACAATCACCAAGCGAACCACCAATGTACGTTGTGCAATTCTCTTTGCTAGCAGGTGAGACAATCTTTATACTTTTTTCAAGCAATATTCAGGTCCCGTTCGACGATTCAAGCGCTTGGTTGAGCATTTGAGCTCAATATTGCAGAATGCCACGCAGCAGAGGTTCAATATATATAACACCGTTCGTCTGTCTGTCTGTCCGAGACTTTTATTCGGGAAATTGAGCTAGAGGGCTGAAAACTCCCATTTTAGGGTAAAAAATTTGCTGATTCCGAATCTGAAGTCCGTTTGTAAAATAATTCATTTCCCGCTGAGTTATTTGACTTTAAACTTTACAACAGCCGCCCAATTTGCACTTAAGAATCGATTCAAAGCTCAACAACTGTTTGATAAACTAAGACAAGACAAAAAGATCAACCAGCCTTGTCATTGTACTGATTTTATTTGCTATTGCTTTTGAAATAAAATCAAGCCAAATTAAGTCTGAATTAGTTGAGCATGGTTAACTGATGTTAACTGATCTAACTGACTCGAACCAAATCACTCTAGATCGGAGCGTCAAGCCGCGCAACAGATGATGGTCCGTCCTCGTCGTCTCTCCGACTCGTCGGTGAGCAGTGCATGCAGTGATGGTGGTGGAGGATCGGAGGGACTTTCCATCCCACAAAGACAACCAGTGCATGCCACCTCGTCAATGGGTCCAACGGGGAGCTCTGGGAGAGAGATGACCACCTCATCTCTCTCCTCTCATCTTCCCTCCCATTTGGTGCATCAAGGATCTTCCGGACTTCTCACTCATGCGGTTCGTGTCGGGAAAAAGTAGATTTACCCGACCAATCTTTAAGAAGAAGAAGTGCTTTCAAAATCTGTTCTGTTACAGTGAACATTTGAATTTGTCATTTGAATTTGCATTTGAACTTGTCATTTGAACTTGTCATTTGAATTCTAATCTCAAAATCTATTTGAAAGCATTTCTTGAACCTCAATAGACCGTAGATGAGTAGAAGTAGAGACAGATCATCGATTTCGATGAATTGTTTGAGATTGTGATCGAGATTTGGTCAAATACCTGCTTGCAATGTGATTTGTAGGGTTACTGTGACTTTTGCGCATGTAAAGAACGATACTGTACGTTGGTATTTTTGAGTTTGAGTTTGATACGAAAAGTTTGTCAAAGTATTGTCCATTAAACTAGTATGATTCGTTTACATTCATCAATTTTAGGACAAGATCGAGTCGCAAATCCAAGTGGAACCGGTTCAAAACTCGTACAATCGTCACTCAAGCTCGATGAAGTCCGTTGGCTCAAAGAGTAAGTTCAAATTGTAATAATTTCTATCAAAAAACATTCCAATTCAGGCTAACACTTAAAAGAAAAAGGTGAGTTCAATGCTGGGGTTGCACGCTTTTTTTTAGACTTTCATTTCGCCAATCTGTAATTTTCAAATATCATTTTGAGGCTTTCTAACAGTAGAAAAGTTCTTGATCTAACCAATATTTTGATTGCTTTTACTTTTCCAATCTTTACTTTGCTTAAACTTTTTAAAATGAAACGATCTTTGCGTTAAAATTTGAGAAAAACTTCCAGAGCGCTTGAAAAACGTACCTTTATCCTATAGCCTTTCATTTGCTGTGTAAAAACTGTGCAAAGTATCAAATCTCTTTATATAATATAAAAACTTTCGATACACTGTACAGATACTAATCAATTCTTGAAGTACTCTCCTCAAATTTCAGGCCAGGATTATGGTAAATCCCCGATTCCACAGCGACGCAACACCACCGCTGTGATCATTCAATCGAGGCAACAATTGTCCCGATTTGCCTCCAATCCAGTGGCCACTCTATTGGGCAAATCCGGGGATTCTTCTACAGCTAAAACAATAACATCCGATTCGAATCCGAGTTCTCCGCGATTCACCAACGCTCACCCATTTGCCCATTCCGAGCCGACGACCCCAAAGTGGTGAGTAACCTTTGAAAGGGTATAACAAAGTCGGTACTTTCCTGTTATACCCTCGCAAAATTTCTTCCTCCATCAATCCTGCAAATTTTGCATTTTAAGAGCTTCAAAGTAACAGATTCCAGTTTGAAGATATGCTAATTTTAATAATGCTAATTTTGCGGAGATTTAACAGGATTGTACCCGAGTTTTTAGGTAAGCAATGAAATCAAACTTTTAAAAACAAAACATTGTGAGCTCCTGGGTAACTTGGATCAACCGTACACGAATGAAGGGGCCTAATTGGTTTCCGCTTCTAACTCTAACTAACTTCTAAACTTACCCAAGCTTTGAAGGAACGGATATACCAATGTTCCCCATAAGATCTCTTTAGTTTTACTTTTTAGTCTACAATATTCAAGACTTCAGATTAAGATGTAATTTGAAAACAGAAAGACTTTTTCTTCTGAAATTTCTCATCAAAAAGAATTTATGTGTTACACTCGATTTTCAAAACTTTTTAACAGAATAATGTTTTTATATTAAAATCACTAAATTAATAAACAAATTATAGTTTTGCATAAGTTCTTTTAAAATAAAATAATGCATTTCTTTTGTAATATTTTTGATAAACTATTGTTTGAAATTTAATTAATCAATAAAAAGGGCTTGATTGCGATATCTTTAAGATAAACCTTTCGTTAAGGTACTAAAGAGCTGAACAAAATTAGATTTGTCTAGATTTGGTTTAAAAATTTAATTAAATTCTTTGTAAAATGATTTTTCTAGGTAAAAAGTGATTTCGAAGATAAAGGTTTCAAAATCGGAAGATTTTCAAAACAAAACTATTTTCAAATCATAGCGTAAATATTCTAATAGAAGAGCCAGCTTCTTGCTCCGCTAAAGCCAGCGTCCTGTTCCTCTAAAACCAGCTTCCTGTTCCTCTAAGCTAGCTTCCTGTTCCTTTAAAGCCAGCTTCCTATTCCTTTAAAACCAGCACCAGCTTCCTGTTCCTTTAAAGCCAGCTTCCTATTCCTTTAAAGCCAGCTTCCTATTCCTTTAAAGCCAGCTTCCTATTCCTTTAAAACCAGCACCAGCTTCCTGTTCCTGTTCCTGTTCAATGTTCCCCTAAAATTCTTTATCGTGTCCTAGCTACAGTATATCCAGATCTTCAATAGCTCAAAAATGGCTGTCTTTGTTGCATTGTCATCCGGTTTTCGACGTCATTAAGCTTTTTTAGTCTATAACTATTATTGGAGCTTTGGAGGCTTTAAAAAGTTGAACATTTTGCTTGAGAAAATTGACAAATTTGAAAAAATGAAAAACTTCGTTTAAAGGGCACTCTTCTAGTGGAATAAATAGGGTATGCATAGCTACGAGAGAATAATAACGTACAGGCATCGTTGAAAAATATGTATGTAAGCAAAAATCGCATTTTACTGATTAAAAGTCTTTAAATTAGCTACAAAAAAAACTTATCCTACAAAAAACAGGCTAAAAATTACTACAAAATACATTCTAGTCTGAGTCATTGTTGAATTTGATACTTTTTAATTCATTTTTCACAATAAATCAATCCTTTTCAGCCTCACCATGCCCTCTTCTAATCCCTACTCCGGCCGACCGAATCTTTCTATTATGGGAACTCCTGATCATGTTTAGATTTATAATATATATTCCTTTTTTTTCTTTAATGTTTAAATCTATTCTTTATTTTGCTTTTTTTTTTTGTTGTTGGTTGATTTCCAGGTAGGATCTCCACCCGTTTGTGTTACCCAAGTTTGCCCCGAAATTTGTCTGATTTTGCGAAAATCTTTCATGACTTAATTGTGCTTTTTGATCATTTGTAGTCATTTTAAGTATGCCTCTTGCATTTATGCTAACTTCTTTTCATTGAATTCATTTTTCCCCATTTGCCTCAGCTAGTCGCAAATTTTCACTATGTTTACTCAAAAAAAAATCACCAGAAATTCCGGGTCTATCCCAATTTATTTTCGATTACAGTACTCTTGTTTAGTCTCAAAGTTTAGACCAATTCTGAAATTTTCCTAAACCAATGTCAGAAAATTTTTCTCTTTGATCAGTTTTGAATATGTTTTCAAGATTTTGAATAAAGATTTTAAAGTTGACAGAAGGAATTTGAAAGTTTTTGGAAGACTTAATAGCGGCTTATAATCGCAGCCTTTAAAAATCGCTGTTGGTTGATTTCCAGGTAGGATCTCCACCCGTTTGTGTTACCCAAGTTTGTGTTACCAAAAGTCGCTGTTTTGATCTTTTGAAGCTTGAATTATGTAAAAGCTTATAACTCTTTAACTCTAACAGCTTCCTAATGTCCTAAAGGTAAAAGATAATCTATTTGTACCAAAGGATTTATCAATTTTTCAAACTTACCCGAATTTCGAAGGAACAGATATACCCGTTACGTCCCAATCCGAAAGCTATTTTTTAGTGGCTCAAAAAATAACCAAAAATAACGTGGAATAGCTTAGAGCAAGATATGTAGATTCTTAAAGTAAAGCTACATGTGAAAAAAGTTAATTTAGTAAAAAATATGGAATTATTTCGGATTCGGATGTCCGAATCCGAACTAACCTTTTTAGGCGTCCGAATCCGAACTAATTTCATATTTTTCCATTAACTTTTTCCAAAAATAGCTTTATTAGAAATCTAAAAATAGAATCTATAAGTCTTGTCCTACAAAATGACACCAAAATCATCACAACCGGCCCACTAGTTTTGGAGATACAAGCACGCAAAGTGACCCAGTCAAGGATTTAGTACGGTTTCGGACCTAACATATCAATGACTATTCCCCGTCTCAAAGGAACACTTTGAACCTAAAAAAAGCATTTCTATTTTGTATTTAAAATAGTACCCAAATACCAGTTGATTAAAGCCTTTCAGGGTATTCATTTTTCACTTTTGCTCAGTTCAACCTGTTAACTCAATGCCGATTCAATAATTTTTTCTTGTGTTGACTGAGGAGCGAGGGTAAAAAAGAAATATTGAGTCAGCTGGACAAACAAAAATCGACCTATGTCTTTCTATTATACTCTAATCTATAGATTTAAAAGCTAAATCGGGTCAATAAAACCATCAAATAAGTACATAAATCATAAAGCTTGATTTGAGCAAGCCAAAATACTGAAGCCAAAAGATATTGGACAAGCTCGACAGATCTGTCTTGAAAAGAACAAAAACTTGGCCAAACCAGTTCGGAAATAATCTTATGTTCCTATTATTATATTTTTATATTATATTTCATTTTAATAGCATTTCCGTTGTGAACATTTCCTCAACTTCCCCTTTTTTCTTTCTGTGACTCACCTCTGTGCCCCGATAAGTCAATCGCTTTTCGAGCTCTTTCTGCTTATCAGTCTTCCCTCACTTCGCACTTCTCCATTCATTTCTGTGTTCAGAGATGGGTGCAACAATTCGCTTAATTCTAAATCTTATTTTACTAATTTCAATCGTTTATGGCTCCTACTTCAATGAGTACTCCGATCGGGTAGGATTTCGGAAAAACAAATCTAGTACAAGCAATCAGGAGCTATTTCAAAATTAAAAAGAACCTGGAAGTAAAAGTTAAATAAAACCCGAGAAAAGATTGATAGACGCAACAAAATGTATAACTCCAATCGATTCCCTGATCCCGAAAACCTCCGGGTACAAATTTTCAGCTCAAAATCTTCCTTTGAGGCCATCTACAAAGCAAAAATAGAAATCCCTATGTAAATGACTGACAGGGTGTTCTTTGTTCAGCCACGTAATCGCTCGCCGCCTGGCATAAGCCTCGGGTATAAAGGCTTCCCTTTTTGAGATTAGTAAAGGGGAAGGAGCGGTGAGCGACTGAGCTTTTTCACTTTCTCGGCGTCATGATTTTTGGGATCAATTTTTGCCTCAAATTTGACTGTATTTTTCTTACAAATTCTACATCCTTTCAAATAAAAACTAACTGATATACTCAAGGTTGAAACGACCTGCAAAACTGATTTCATCCGTTAACACTCGATAAGCTATTGATAAACCGATTTACTTTAGTCATCTCTACATAAAACTTCACCAGAAAATTATATTACTACACCTATCTGCTGGCAATTTGGGTTTTAGTGAAAATCGATCCTAATTTGGATTTCTCCTTCAATATTGATTTTTAGTTTGCCAGAAAATTGGTAATCGCGGCGGCAGGAGCACGAGCGGATGACCCGATGCAATGTTTGAACCAGGCGTTTCCTCAGGATTTCTATCGTTTGATATCTCGTGATGTGAGTCTGATACTAAAAGGCATATCTAATCAAAAGTGGTCCACAAAAGTAATGCCCCATTTGCAAAGAAATAAAAATTTTTTAAATCAATACTTGGTTGGTCCTCCTTTTGCTTTTATTACTTCATTGAGTCGATTCGGCATGGAATCCACGAGATTCTTCAAAAGACTTTGGGCATGGTGACTCAGAGACGTTGAATGTGACGCGAAAATAAAGAGAATAATCAAAGTAAGCATCAATGGGGCATTACTTTTGTGGACCACTGTATTATATTATACGGTGTCCAATAAAAAAAACGTTTTCAAACCGGAATTTCTTAGAATTTCTCGTGGCTAGAAGTGGTCGTTGTGGTGTCATAGTGAATCATTTGTGCTCTAAAATTTTTCATATTTTTTCACGAAAACACTATCACTCGATAGGAATGGAATATCAAGAGATTATGGGTACCACCATGGTCACCACCATGAGACCATCAACTTTTCGATAGATATTTGGTTCCTTTCTCTACAGATTTGGTTCCTTTTCTGGACTTTTCTGGTTCCAAATTTTTACCATAGAGTGAAGACTTTCTACTGGCATCATGGTGTCATATTAGAGCTAACATATAAACTAAGATTTCTAACCAAACATTTTCTACATCTAAATAATATGTTAATCTCTCGTACATAAGGTTTTCCCAGTTTGCCGCCTTTAGAGAGGTGCCCAATTTTTTCAATGAACTGTCGATCAAAAAAAGTATTTGGTTAGAAAACTTAGTTTATATGTTAGCTCTAATATGGCACTATAATGCTAGTAGAAAGTCTTCACTCTATGGTAAAAATTTTGTTCTGTTGATGGTATCATGGTGATGACCATGGTGGTACCCATAAATCTCATGATACTCCCCTATCGAGACATAGTGATTTTATGAAAAATATGAAAAATTTTAGAGCATAAATGATTCATTCTGACGCCACACCGACCACCTCTAGCCACTAGAAATTCTGAGGAATTCCGGTTTGAAAACGTTTTTTTAATTGGACACCCTGAAGAGATAAAAGTGGTTTCATTGAATATTAATTAGTGAAAAGTGCGATGAGCAATTCTATTATCAATTCATTGTCTCATTGTCAGGTTTACTCAAGAAGCTAAAGCTTGATCGTTTAATCTTCAGCCTTATTGTTATTCAAGACTCATTTCTTTTAGGAAACCATTTGTGACGCAAAACAGAACACTTGTGCCTGTTACACGGCTGTCAGCACACACACTCAAACGATCATTGTCGCTTTCCGGGGAACCTCGACACAAAGCCAGATGAAAACCGAGATGAGCGAATCATTGAAACCGAGTATTGATTGGTATGGATATGGGCTCATCGACAAGTACTTCTACGATGCCATTGATAAATTGTGGTACGAGTTTGGTTTGTCAATCATTGAGTACAAGCTTTCAGGCCGTACATTCAACCCGCACTGAATGAGACCTCATCGTCTCATTTTGAAGTGATTTTCACTGGTTATTCTCTGGGTGGAGCACTGGCTACTCTTGCCGCAATGAAGACACATGCAATGAATTTACGAGCCAGTGCTAAGGTAATGAGAAAGTTGTGCTTTGCAATGATATTAATGTCTTTGTTGAGAGGCAAAAGAATTGACTCAATTATTTCAGATCAAACTGCTCACTTTTGGAGAGCCTCGAGTCGGTAACTCAATCTTCGCTACCAATGTCGATCGAGTGATCAATGATGGATATCGAGTCGTTCATAAAGCTGATATTGTGCCTCATTTACCCCCGTGCAAGTAAGCCGCACAATTCTTGATACTAATAAAATCGCATAAACCAAAATCTTGGTAGTAAGGGCAAGTAGCGTTTGTCCCAGCGCAGTTTATTAAGCTGTCCAGAAAGTCTTTTCGTTTCTTCTCGTACATTCGTTGAAAAATAACAATTTCATCAATTAACCTATGGTTTACTCTAAATAAAGAGTTTTTATTGTTCAATTTCGCATCTTTTTAAGTCAATTTCGATTCACTTTCAAGCAAATTCGAGAATGAAAATCGCGGGAATGGTCATATCAGTAAGATTTTTAGAGCGCTTTGTCTGAAACTTGAGTTGAGAAGAAGCTCGACGGCCAATCGTTTCATTTTCATTTTCATTTCAATACCAAGGCTAATTAGGCGCAAATAAAAATCGCAAACATTTAAGAGATGCGAAAACGGATAGACGAGCCTGTGATCGCGGGGATTTACGCAGAATGTATCATCACGGAACAGAAGTCTGGTATAACAATGACATGGGAGAGAACGCGGACTATCATGTGAGTGAGCTTTGCTTGAAGCTTGAATGGCTTGAATGGCTTGAAGCTTGAATGGCTTGAAGATAAACAATTAAACAATTACAGAATTATAAATCTTTATCAATTTAATTATCAACATAATTTAAAAGCCTGTACCTTTAACCAATGCCCATTCATGAATCCAAAAAGGTTTACTTATCCACTTTAGTTATGCACTAAAGATGATGAAGACCCGGAATGCTCTGATGGATTGAAAAAATACGAAGCCAAGGATCATCTCAACTATTTTGGATGGGATGTGGGAGCGTATGGTGCCTCGAATTGCACATCAAATGTCAGAGTGAAAGCGGGAACGAGAAGACAATCAAGTGTTGCATTTGGATTGCTTTCCCTGTTCATTTTGTTGATCCGCTAGTTAGTTTTTGGCAAATAAATTCGCAGTCTTAATTAGTGTCAGTATTGAATTCCAATCAGAAAACACACAAGATTCTGTAACCATTTGTAGCATGTTTCATTAAATTTTTTCATTAAATTCTCATTAAACCAGTCTTAAAACATTTTCAATTGAAAAAGGATCCTTTTTGAAAAATCAAAACAAAAAAGCGCTTGTTTGGAACGTTTGAAAACGATTGTTTATCAAATATTTTGATGTTTTGACACAATGTGACTTTAAATCGATTTCATCAACAAAAAGCGGGTATTTATCGAATGTTTATCAAAAGCTGGTTTGATTCCAACACACTTTTCAAGAAAGAGTTCCAATTTTGACTATGATTTTTACAATATTATCAAGTTTATTATTTCTACAGATAAGTGGTGAGTAAAGTAAACCCTTTGCGGCATTGGGATAGCGAGGGGACGCGCGTTTGAATCCCAACACCGACAAAACTGAAAACATCTTCTAAATTTTCAATTTACCTAAACAATTTTCAATGGTTTTACAAAGCTTAAAATATTCAGGACAATGCTTTGATAAGCGTAGACAAATTGTCTTCAATGCAAGCGATGATGAACCGGTGACCATAAGGACTCCAGATTACCCGGAATTCTATGATCAAAGAGCCAATTGCGAATGGACGGTGCGTTCCATTGAGACTAAACTTTCATAGGGTATTCGTTAAAGCTCCTTAAACCAAACCTGATCAAAAAAACAATCAAGAAGCTACTAGATCATTGGCTCCGTGTCAAGATACACCAAACTGGTGACAAGGGGCCAGTTGGTCAGACCCGGAGTGGCCACTGACCCGGAGCTGATTGGACTTGATCGACTTTTGGCTTGGGTCCAAGCTAGTCTAAAATGTCACAGAATGTGCCCTTAGTCTGGCCCCGCTCAGGCTTGATCAGATCTTTTGCCTAACATTATAGTCAGTCTCGTCAGTCTCGCCTTTCTATAAATCATTCTGATTAAGCTGCTTATGTACCCGATTATTACAAAAGTTTCAGTTCGAGGCCTCACCAGCTCACTCATTGTCCTTAACAATTTTGAATTTCGAAACGGATTATGAATACGATTATGTGAAAATCTATGAAAGATTAACGTTAAATGAAAAGAATGTTTTACTTCCAATACAAAAGTGAGTTTAGTTTAGTTGATTTTTGCTTATTTGGTAAGTACATTTAAGACTTACGCATCAAAGCCAGGATAATGAGAACGCGAACTTTTATGGCCGTGCTTTTCAAATTGTCTTGTACAGTTCATTTTACAATGACGAGGGATTTAAATTTCAGCTGATCGTGCGTCAGGAAACTGGTAGAGTTTTGAGTTTTTGGGTTAATGTTAGGCAATTCCATCTTGTTTGACTCACCTACAAATCCACTATTAATTTCTTTCTAAAACAGAGATTTGGTTTATCTAGTTAATCTAGTTGTTAATTCTAATCTACTCCAAAATAAGGCTCGTTTTTGTTAACAAATCAGTTTAGCTCAACAAGCAAGGCAAAGGAATTGTGGTCTCGATCGCGTTGTTAACGTTACTGATAGTTTAAAGAAAATAAGTTCCACGTTTCAAGAAGAAATGGAAAGCGATGGTTAACAAATATTAAGTACTCTTAAAATGTCATTTTCAGAATGCTCGGTCATCTTTGTGGCTCCGCCAAAAAAGTCTATTCAATTTTCGTCGAGCGATTGCTCTTCCAATGATTGCAAATGGATTTTAGGCAAAAAATATCGGCTTTTGGAGATGACGTCATCTCTAATTGACAATTTGGCACTCGTAAATGAGCGTCCTATCTGTGATAATGGGCCAGAAAAAAGGCATTTGTTGGAAAAGTGTTTGAAAACTGATTCAATTTTAGTATCTATGCTTATTTGTTAGCTTTGGCAACATCCCAAAGCTATCACAATATAGTTCTACTGCAGCTTTGTCGCAGGTCGCAAAACTCACTAGAGTTTTCAGTACAAACTCATCCCGATCGTGGGTTTCGAAATTTTCAAAGTGTTGGAAAAGTTGCAATTTTCTTTTGAAAATGAATAACGTTTTACTTTTTTTAACTTAGGCTGTGTTTGCATTTGGCCAAAAATCACGCTGACTTTTGATACTGGAATTCTGATGCCGGGGATCCCAATAGGTGCTTGTGATCTAGTTCCTTGTGAATCTGAAGTCACCGCAGTCGAGAACAACAACGAAACTCATTATGAGAGAGTGCGATTGGAATCAGGGGTAAGTCAGAGTAATTGATCTTGTCAGGAATTCGAAAATCTATCTTAAAAAAATCTGAGAAGTCAATCTGCATCTTTTTAACTTCTCAAACCTTCAAAATAGCGGAGCTCGTGAGGTAATTGATTTGAGAATCAATCTAAACGTTTGATTTGTTGACCTTCAAAAAATTTACAGTTTATTTTGGATTCTTTCGGATTTGTGATCGAAATGAAAGGTTTCGAAACGAATGGTTCGGCAATTATGACGTATGTTTGTGCTTTCAAATATAAACTAACAAAATCTTCAAAAATTTCACCTAATGTTCACCGTTTGTGTTTCAAGAGCAGACTTTTAAGGCTTTTAAGCAGTACCAAATTCAGAGGTGACTTTTAAGGTTTCAAAAAAAGATTGAGACAATTTTCAAGTATAATATTTCAAAATATACTCACTTAATTATAGCCCCAACTCTGAATTTTGTAGAAAGACGATTTCTGAAGTTATAAAAGAAAAAAGATATCATTTTTGAGCACTAAAAAGTGTATTAAAACCAAATTTGAATAGAAATTAGCACAATTTTTTTTGTGCGTTTTTTTCAAAAAAACTACTTTGGAAAATCCACAAAATTATAGCCGCATTACTAAAATTGCTTTATTAAACAACAACAAAAACAATAATTGAGCGACAATTTCTAATTCAATAATCAGTAGCAGCCCCATGCCACTGAATTAGCTGAAAAATTCGATTATCCAAGTTGTGGTAGAGGTTATCAATCAGCTTTTGGTCGCTGTAGTTGAAGAAAAGAGTTCAAGGATAATTTTGATACCTTATGTGGGCTGAGCTGGACATTTTTGACCAAGCCAAAGCGTTTTAAATTTCAGGAGACGAAAATTTTGCCTTTTCCTGTGTTAAAAGGGTTACTTTATGGGTATGCTGGCTTCACGCGCTTGTAGCTCGGTCAAAAATGTTCAGCTCGGCCCACATAAGGTATCAAAATGATCCTTGAACTCTTTTCTACAACTTTCAATCAGAAATCCTCGACAAAAATTGGTTTGAGTGAGCTAAACTTCGGTCAGAAGGCGTCCAAAAAACTACTTTGGAAAATCCACAAAATTATAGCCGCATTACTAAAATAGCTTTATTAAACAACAACAAAAACAATATATGAGCGACAATTTCTAATTCAATAATCAGTAACAGCCCAATGCCGCTGAATTAGCTGAAAAATTCGATTATCCAAGCTGTAGTAGAGGTTATCAATCGCTTTTGGTCGACCAGGTTAGAATATACCAGCTCGATCTGTATTTTGAGTTTTTTCACAAAAATCTAAGTGTAGGCTACTATTATTTTGTGTAATACTTCTTTTTTGATCATAAAAATTGTTTGAAGCAATAATCTATCGCTAGAGACGTTGTCGAAATCTCGCTTTTGAGGTGGGAAATCGATTTGGATGCCTTCTGACCGAAGTTTAGCTCACTCAAACCAATTTTTGTCGAGGATTTCTGATTGAAAGTGGTAGAAAAGAGTTCAAGGATCATTTTGATACCTTATGTGGGCCGAGCTGAACATTTTTGACCGAGCTACAAGCGCGTGAAGCCAGCATACCCATAAAGTAACCCTTTTAACACAGGAAAAGGCAAAATTTTCGTCTCCTGAAATTTAAAACGCTTTGGCTTGGTCAAAAATGTCCAGCTCAGCCCACATAAGGTATCAAAATTATCCTTGAACTCTTTTCTTCAACTACAGCGGCCAAAAGCTGATTGATAACCTCTACCACAGCTTGGATAATCGAATTTTTCAGCTAATTCAGTGGCATGGGGCTGTTACTGATTATTGAATTAGAAATTGTCGCTCAATTATTGTTTTTGTTATAATTAAGTTAAATTTTTGTTTTGCTATAATTAAGTGGAGCGATGTAGATTTAGTCCAATTATTTAGCTCGAGTTCCCGAGCTTTTCATTCTATGTCACCGGTGTGGACGCTTCCCACCTCTTTTGTGATCAAATATCATCGAAATCTGCATGAGATTAATTTCACCTTAATCCACGTTCCAAAAGGTAAACCAGATGATTTCTTTGTTATTTTGGAGCAGACTTGTTTGAGCATTTTAAAAGCTTATCAGACATTTGATGCCCGCCCCTTTTGCCATTGGCAATCTAACTTTGAGCTCAAATATTTTGGTGCTCAATTGTCTAATTTAAATGTTCTTAATATTATTCGATGCGCCAAGTCTTTCTCTGTAGATTGGTACGAAAACTATTTAAATTGGACAGCTTAACACCAATGTATTGAAGCTTAAAGTTGGATCGACAATGGCAAAGGCGGCGGAGCGTTCCACAATCATTTTCAAATAACTTTAGAATGCAAATGTTTCCCAGACACAACCGATGCATTTCTTATTTTGATGGAGTCATTTGAAAATAAACAGCTTTTATTTGATATTGGAGAAGATTGCCCACAACTCGATTGCTTCATCAAGATCAGAAATGATCCGAAAAGACATCTATCGATAACTTGGGCTTCCGACGATAAAAATTTTTCAAAACAATGGAGTCTCATATTTGCGATGGATCAAGAAATTAAAAGGTTTTTGTTTCTTCTAAATTGACATTGATCTGAAATCTTCAGTTCGTTTCGCCCGGGTAACTCTTATGTGAGAAAATTTGCCACCGACGATTACCCCACTCCCAAGAAGCCGTAAGATTCAAAAGCCACGTTGAATCATTAAACTTTAACACATTCATGGTACACCGATGTACCATGGATGAATGCGTGAACCAAAAATCTTAAGAATTTGTGAGGACATGTCACTTTTTGTTTTCGATTAAAATCGGTAAATAAACCGGCTTGAGTATATAGATTTCCACAAAGGAAATCTCTAGTTTATAAGCTTGAAGTTATAAGAAATCTCTAGTTTATAAGAATAATTTTAGTGCCTAAATGACTTCTAGAACCAGTATTAAATGCCTAGAAAATGCCTGGATCTTAGCAGCATTTAGCACATGCTCAAAATCAGCAACATCAGCAATCAAGCACTTTTCTAAGCAAACAAGCAAATTTTGAACTTTTTGCTGACAAAAAATGTTTTTGCATGAATGTGTTAATAGAGTCAACTTCATTTATCTCCATTTTGTCTCAAATCCATCTGTGCTAGTGTCGAAGAAAGCTTGGAATGTCAATGTTACAATGCAATGGAAAGAGGGTAAGTGTAGTGTCAAATTTACGTAGATGAAAATTATTTCTTAGCAATTACTTGTGGACAATCCGAGTTTTCTCTTGACGAGAAGCCGATTTTCATCTCGTCTCCAGGTTTTCCTAAAATGTAAGCTATCAAGTTTTAAAGTACTCGTCATTGCTGTAGATCGGAAATGGATACGAACCATTTCGAGGACTTATAGCTAGAAGTAATTCTCAGTATTTTGACTTTCTAGGGCTAGAAGTCTACATACAAAAGTTAGATACTCCAATCAGGTAATTAAACAGAACTTGCCGAGGCCAGTCAGGGTCTGACTTCTGCCAGAGTCAAGATTTTTTTGACTTACGATTAGTAGCATACTACTAATAGACAATTAGTTAGTAGACTTTGACTTGGCAGACTTCTTGACTAGTCTCTGTTTTGTTTGAGTTAGATGGCCTTAAAGTCAAACCTATCTTAAGCTTTGTGTTTGGTAGTTAACTACCGTATTTTCCCTAATAGTAGTGCACTCCGGCGAGCCGAGTTGATGACTATTTTACGGTTTCCAAATTTTCACAGAAGCTCAACACTCTAATCCCCCACAAGTTTTTATCGTCAGCTACATTTTCCGATCTCACATTGATAAGTTCCGATAAGCGGTTTTCGAGATTTCAAACAATTTAGGCGAAGCTTAGGGAAAATACGATAATCTAAAGAAAATACCTTGTAGTTTTTGACGCTAACATACTTTTTCATACAAAAAATCAAACGTATGGCAAACTCTTTAGCTATCCTAAAAGTATGAACTGCTCCTATCTGATCAAAGCACCCGAAGGAGCAAAAATAAGATTCAAAGTGATGGTTCGATCGATGAGTTATTATGATAGGCTCACATTTGAGGAACATGAAGTTATTTACAGGTACATAAATAAAGTTTACTTCAAAAGAGTTAAAACGATGACCGTTTTAGCATCGATTCCACTTCAGAGATTCGAATGACTGAACATAATGAAGTGCTATTTCGATTTGTCAGCTTCACCGGATATTCAGCACCATATAGAGGCTTTCAAATCAAACTCGAATCTTGTATGCTGAACAAATGTATCACTTGAGAATCAGACTTTAGATTGGATAAATGGAAAACCGACGTCACACACTGGAACTTACATTTCATTGTTCACCTTGGGAGTCCTCTTGCTTTTTATCGCTTCCTATGTTGTATATGAAAGAAAGAAAAGAGAAAATCTTGCAGCACCTAGTACAATAATTTATTATTCAGCGGATGATGATAAAGAACAAAGTTGACCCGATGAGTTTTACCTACTTTTGTGATAAATCTAGCTTTTTCTTTGCTACTTTGTTATCTTCTTATTTGTTCTTGATTCTTGTTCACTAAAGTTTATTTTTCGTGTCACAAAGTGTCTGTATGATAAAGTTTTCACAAATTGGTTAGAATCAATAATGTAGTTGATGAGATTAAGCCCTTATCAAGATACAGGGCTCTTAGCCAACCAGATTGAAAAAATCTGACGTCAAATGAACCCAAGTTTAATGCAAAAGGTACAAGCTGCTTACTAACAAAGCTTAACTATACACAAATGTTTTTGTACTTTAAATTTACCGTTTTTTTCAATTTCCACTGTTTTCGTACTTTCAATTTATTTCTACATCTTTCTTTGCGAGCCAAAACAACAGTTTAGCTGTTCTTATCCTTCAAATTTTCCTAAATTTACCGTTTACATAATTTTAAATCTTTACTCAATCAAAGCTCGTACACAAAAATAAAAGAGAGCAAGGAAATGAAAGCTAGCCAAGAGAGATTCGCAAGTGTCGACACGTTACATTTATCTTTGTTACAACGGTAGAGAGTGTCCGTACTTTTACCATCCTGAAATAGAAGTTTTCACCAAATTCTTACCAACTTTATTTGCTAGCCAATTCACCAAGCAAAAACCCTTATCGTCTGGGTGAACCAAGGTAACATTGATCGAGCAAGCACACCCCCAAAGCCAGACCCCACCCTAAAACATTTAGGGTTAAAAATTGCTAGCAACCGACCTCGAGTTTCGCTTTATAGCAGTAATCTCCACAGCTGCAAGTGACCTCTTTTCTCTGGAATTTTTGTGTTTATTCTCTAGGGTTAGGTGGAGATTCTATGTTGCTACAAGACCTAGCTTCATTGCTGGAACAACTAGGGTTTCTAGAAGTTTCTAGAAGGAAAGCCCTAGAGAGATCATAAAGGCCACCGAAAACGAGTGCGAACAGTACGTTTACATAGCGAAGTGCCAGGGCTTCTGCCTCTCGATCAGAAGATGATGGGTTCGATCCCGTCCGAGGCCCATTGATTTTGCGGAATGAAATGAAAAAAAATGAAATGAAAAAATGAAAAAAAAAAAAAAAAAAATTTGAGGAATCAGATCTCAGGGCATATTTTTTACGACCAACTAAAAGCTGAAAGTTTTAAGCTGTCTTTTAAACTCGCTTGGCAAGGTTGGTTTCTAGTATAACACAGGTATTTTTCTAGGCTAAGGCTTCATTAAAACCAGACCGGACAAAGCCAAAGTCAGAGCAGGACCTAGGTTCTCATCAGAATAATCAGTTTCTCTGGGTAGAAAATAAATTAGCCGCTGGGTATAAAGCTGTTTTTATTGGACTAACGAAAGTCTTGAGTCCATGAATCGTTTTCAAGAGAGTCACTCATGTTTTTTCCCGAAAAGCTACCTACATTGAATACTTCTCGGGCATCTGCTCCAGCACTTTCGAGCTGAAGCTTTCGTGTGTGTGGAAACAACGAACAACATAAATATCGCAAAAACTGCTTTGATAATTGTGCTGAAATTTTGAAGCTTTGGAAAAACAAGAAGTATACAAAAAACAGAACAAACGTCAAGAAAAGGTAAATGTAAAAGCTATTTTTTATAATAATCGATATATCTTTTGTTTTCAGCAAATTTTTGATAAGAAGTGTTATTAGAATCAATGAATCTTAGCTCGCAATAAGTCAGAAATTTGTGATAACACTGGATTTTCTCGTTATTAAGAACCATTCGAAAACAAATGAGCAAATTCCTTCATTTTCCCTCTAAAGAAACAAGAAAAACTGGAATTTGACTTTTTGAGATTTGGAGAACTATTATTTAGATACAAGTCTGTTATTGGATCGAAATCCTGTGCAGAAATGTCCTTTCCTTTCTTTTCTTGTCACTTTCAAACAGTTGACATTCGCGGCTTTTAGATTAGAATTTCTTTAATTTTTGTCTATGATATCTTGCTCTCTCAGCTAGAAAAGCTTTTCCGATAGATCGGCACTTTAAATATTTCTAATCACTGAACCACAAGATTTATCGTTTATTGAATAAAAGCTTTTATATCGATATTATCATTTTCTTTCATGGCACGCAGGCCATGAAAGAAAATGATATTACAAAGTTGTCAGGTTGAAGTTTTTTTTAGGTTTTAAGCTCGGGAAAAAGTTATTTACATATTCGGAATCAGCGAAAAACTCCACGGAGGATCAGGGTTTCTCTCCGGAGAGGATATCAAAAAGTTCCTGGACTCCAGTCATTTTCGAACTTCAGCCTGGCAACCTTCCCTTCCCCGGAAATTATGAAGATAATGAAGAATTGATAATCAAAAGTATTTCCGGATATCGGGAAATGGATAAATAAGCAGAGTTATTTGGATTTTGAAGTTAATTTTGCATAAATCTAAATTATCCACACAACCCAGATGATCATGTGCTTTAATCAATAGAATTTTTTAAGGTCCAGTTATCAGAGTTCCTGTCTTCTTGATTAGACTTCTCTAAATAAAAAACACTTTTATGAGTGCACACATATGGGTGATTTCATCGCAAAGATAAGGCACTTCGGGGAACAAAACCTGAATTGATTGATTGAAGACCGCGAAATTCAGAGCCATGACCGATTCCATTCAAAATCTACCCCCACCGCCAGCTTATGATGAAATTGGTAAGCTTTTTGCAAAGAAATAATAGTTTTTTTGGCATTAGCTGTAATGTTTCAATTACTAACTTAAAAATCATCGTAAAGTTTCCAAGAGCAATCTCTGTTTTAGACAAAACCACCGAATATTTTCCGGCAGGCCCTGGTGGAGCTCGATTTCAACAAAATCAAGTGTGAACTTTTATTTACTTCTTTTTTTCTCTCTTTCTTCCTTTCTTCTTCCCCTTGTCTTTCCTTCTTTCTCTTGGCAAATTAAGGTACAGGATAGCTCAGTGGTTAGAGCAAAAGCAAAAGCAAGAGCAAAAGCAAAAGCAAGAGCAAAAGCAAGAGCAAAAGCAAAAGCAAAAGCAAAGGTCGAGGATTGAATCCCCTCTCCGGAAATCTACTTTTTCTTGCCAATTTCATTACTTCTTTATTTCTTACATTTTCAGAAACTAGTCTTTTTTCAGTTTCACCCACCCCCACCTTTTGATCCACCATCAAATGTTTCCACACAAGTGATCATCCTTGAACATCGAGGTAAGTAACAAGAATCGATCAAAAAATGTGGAACAGTGTGCAATAAAATATTGAAATTTCAGCCATCACTGAACCGGACTACTTGACACCCCGTCAGAAGCTAATATTGATCATTTTGATGTTCATTCCAATTACTTGGCCATTTTTGGGTGAGTGTTTGATCAAGTAACAAAGAGTTGATCCAGTTTAAGTTTTTGATGTTAAGTTTTCAATGGCTATTGTGAAATATGCTTAAAAGACCTTAATACTCAGGCATTTTGTTATTAAAAATACACTTTGTTAAAATTTAACTACTTGACATTGCTAACTCGGTCAGAATAACTATCAAAATTTTATCAAAATCAATAACTATCAAAAAATAACTCATTTTAGGTATCCTTCTAATGATTTTGGCTTGTAAAGGAGATCAAAATGGGAAATTTATGAGAAGACCTTTCATTCATGGACTTTTTCTTATCAATCTCACATTAGTACTTGTTGCCATTGTTGTTTTTTCTGTAGTCAGTTCTTAAAATAATTGATAGAGATCTTATTTTTACTTTTATTTTCTTACAAAACTTTCTTGTCTTTTTGTGAAATCTTTTGCTGTAATTTTGCAATCTTTACAAAAACAATGAATGCTATAAAATCATTGAAATTTCATTGAGCTTGTCCCACTCTCGATTGTCGCTTGGCTGGCATCACCCGAGTCAAAATCGAGATATCAGAAGCACTCCGGGAAGATTTTTCTAAAAAATTGTAGACAAATCATTATGATGAGTCCACTTTTTATCATTAGCATCCATTCAATGAGTTCTTGTAAATGTAGCCGATAAGTTCTGCTAAAGAAATAACCAAAAGAGGCACCAGTGCTTTGAAAACCCGCGAACATTGTCAACCAAAAGCTCATTCCTAAAATAGGATGTGAATCAAGTTATTGCTTGAACTTTAATAAGATTGTGAGAGTGTGATCTAACCTGTAAGCTTTACATCATCCAAAACTATAATCAGTCCAAATACCGCTGCCGGAAAACATTGAAAAATGAAAATGATATGAGACTGAAGGAAAAGTTTGGATTAAACTTGAAATTTGACTCAAACCTGCAAATAAACTTGCTTCAACCACAATTTCTGTATAGCCAACGTTTTTGGACTCATGAATTTCTCAAGGGATTTCACTGCTTTGATGGTGGTTGGGACAATGACTGAATTTTGAGAAGAATAGTCTAAACACTATAATAAATAAACACTTACCACAGATAAATAAGCAATGAAAGGCGAGGTTCACTGAAAACACAATGATCGCTTGCATGCCATGTGTCTCCTCATATGCATAACTTGACGTTTGATTGAAAAATGGAACCAGTGATGGATAGTTCTAAGCTTTCCTGTATTTTACTTTCAACTCCATCGAAGCATGGATGCTTCTCAAGGTCTTTAAGCCAAATGGCCAGGTCAGGCCGAAGTCTGAACCTGGACCAGATCTGGGCAAACCGGGGTGCTTCCCTTGTGAGCCTGAGGCCGAAGTCTGAACCTGGACCAGATCTAGGCTCACAAGGGAAGTACCCCGGTTTGCCCAGATCACCAGACACTCATGGAGAGGCTATAGAACCGACTAAGCTGATCAAAAAAGCAAGAAATTTACGAGGCGTGGATTCGAGCCCGAGCAAAAAATGTATAGCTCGCTTTGTATACAAGCACCTTATCCTCTAGGCCACCAGCTCATATTGACGCGAGAAAAATCTTTTAAACGAGATCTTGAAAACTTTTATGTCAAATATCTCACGTTTGTGTGAGTATAGGCAGCTGATTGCGGCATTTTGATCAGCTTAGTCAGTTCGATAGCTTCTCCATGGGTGTCTGGTGATCTCGGCGAACTGGGGTACTTCCCTTGGCAGAAACGTTTCGTGGCCACGTTTCATGGCCACTTAGATTGCGTTAAACCTAGGCCAAACCAGCTAACTATAAGGTCAGAAGGAAGTTCAAGTTTCGCAACTTGTCACAGGGCTTGTTAGACCTATAGAACTACTCCGAAAGCCAAAACCTACCCGTCTTTGCTTTGCCAGCGCCGACTGATAGTCGTTCGACCAGAGTAAGACAGCGATTATCAAACTGGTGATTCCGGGCATAGCATAGAGTCCAAGGATTAGATTGTCTTTCAATCTAAAAATCTAAATAATTATTTTACAATCCAAGCGAAACCGTGTATCTAGTTTAAGCCAATGATTTGGCGGCAAGACAGCTTGCTGCCGATTGAGAAGCAAAACTTGCACCGAACCGTTCATCATCAATTGAATGAAAGTTGTAATTTGCTGAAAGAAGAAAGAGTTCTAAATTTTGTAGAATTGGCAGACAAACATTTTGTGCTTTAACATTTAAGTTTATTTCCAAATATAGCTCAAAAAATATTGTACCGCCTACCTTCTGTCCAAAGATCTAAAAATTCAAAAAACTCACAGAATTGGAGTTTTTTGAGTCTGAAATCACCTGTGCAAGGTCAGCTTTTTACATGATTAGCTAACACAAAACGGACTTCCGTCTCAAAGGACTTTGTTTTTGAAATTCCAAAACTTTTGTCACGACAAAATCAAACTCACAAGTTGCCAATAGACTCCAAAGCCGATTTCAGAGAAAATCCCAATTGTATAGCCGGCAATTGCAGGAAAAGCCATCATTGGGAAGTGAAAATAGGCCATCAAATATTCAAATAACATTTGAAAGATCTGAAACAAAGAAAAATGAAAGTTTAGTTTGATAAATAAAATTTTAGTCCATTACAATTCAATGCATTTTCAAATCGATCGGATTGGGTTAATCCAATTCCCACCTTGGCTAGGTTTAAAGACGCAATTTCGGTAATTGATTTGACTGCTCTGTGATTCTTTCTTGAGGTATCTATTTATCTTTTGGGTGTGTTTTGAATGGTGTCCCAGCTAATTATTGTGATTTTGTTTTGTCGCTATTCAACTGAATAAAGCATATATATATTTGCAAATCGATCGGATTGGGTCAATCCAAAAATCCAACCAGCAGTCTCCAGATTCCACACCCGCGCGAAAAAGTGTTTTCTATAGGTTTTTAACGGGCAAGGTGCCAATCGACGTAAAAAAGCACCCTGATTTCAAATATGAAACTTTTTTTGAAATCCGTCTGACTAACTTGGAATCTAACTGGCTTCCTAGGTAGAACAGGTGCAAGTCTTGAAAACAGTTTGCCTGTAAACTAATGTTAAAAAAATGCTCAGTATTTGGGAAATATCACAGGTGTTTTTTGAGAAATTGTAAATCCAACTCTTGAAAAACTACGTGTATCAGAAGAATTTGACCAGACTTTTGGTGATTAGTCAAATAGCGCTATGGGTTATTGTTTCAAAATAGCTCATGTATTGGGTTGATGAATTGAAAACTCCGGGTTATTGTCATATGTGACAGTTTGAGGACTTTCTTCAAAAGAAACCCATTTTGGTGTCAATGGAAAATTTGTAGAGAATCAAAATTTAAGCTTATATCCAAATTTTCAGAACGATTCAAAAACTGGTTTTCAAGAAATGCCAAATTTACGAATCTTCACAAAACTTGCATTTTAAGCGAAACCACTAAGTGTATCTTTTTGGAAATTTGGCTATAAGCCTAATTTTTGATTCTCTACAGCTTTTCTATTGACACCAAAATGGGTTTCTTTTAAAGAAAGTGCTCAAATTGGGACATCTCCAGTCCTCCATTTTTGAGTCTCACACTTGTCTCACACACAAACCAAAATCCTACTACGAAAGAGGAATCCGCAAATTGCCTGTAAAATGGGCAGAAGTCGTCAATAATAATGGAAATTATTTCGAACGAATTTAGGGTTTTATTTTGAATAAATTTTAGTTCAAAGTCCCGCAGTTTTCAATTCACCAACCTAATATATTAGAATTAACAACTAGATTAACTAGATAAACTAAATCTCTGATTTAGAAAGAATGTTTTTTGAGAAATTGTAAATTCAACTCTTGAAAAACTACGTGTATCAGAAGAATTTGACCAGACTTTTGTGATTAGTGTAAACAAACAAGTTGAATTCTTTATTGAACGAAATTGTCCAAAAACGGGTTTTCACTTTTCTAAAACAATAAGTTACCTTTGAAAAACCCAGATAGTTTTCAATTTCAATTCCATTATGCACATTTTTTGTGCTCAGAAACCTGTCCTGTCTTGGTTTTAATATTTACTCAATAGTCATCGATATCCTTTGCCGTAAGGAGAAAAAAGCACATTGTTAGCAGGTCATCATGTCTATCAAATGCTAAATTCAAAAAACCAAATATTTTATATTTAATAGCAAAACTCACTTAACATAGTAGAAGAAACTGCAGGCGAAATTGACAATTTTACCTTCACGATTGAATAACAAAAATTTAAGGCAATTAAATTGAACTTGGATAAAAATCTGAATGCTTTTTACCGTATATGGCTAGATAGCTGGGCATATGGCTTTTGGTAAGTACAAAAATCCACTCGGGAGTTGTTGCACATTTCGTGAAATAGACGAACGGCCATTTAGTGTCCACTGAAAATAATATAAATTAATAATAGAAAAGCGTCAACTTTAATTGACCAATCGGAATGATTTGTAACTTTGTATATAGACTTTACCAGTTCTCCCTCTTTTGCCATGCCGTGAAAAGTGAATTTCTTTCACAAGAATACATCAAAACTTGCATTTCTAGAATAAAAAGTGTAGCAAAAGAAAAATGGCAATAATTTTTGTTGAAAAACTCTTTAGAATGCGTTTTTAGCTTTTAAGCGCCTTTTAGAGAGCTTGAGTTTGGGTATTGACTTGAGTCAATACATAACTCAAGATTTCATCTTTGAGACTTAATCGGCTAGCCGAAGAAGTCTGAGACTTCTTCGGCTGAAATCCTTCATCGGCTACGACATATATATGTCGTAGCCGATTATGAATGAAAGTATTAGGTTGATGCAAAAGTCTTTTTCATTTTTTTCGTACTTTTGTTAAAAAGCAACAAATTCACCAATTAATCTATAGTTTGCTCTATAAAAAAAGTGTTTTTTTGTTCAATTTCCATCTTTTTAAATGAATTTCGGTTCACTTTCAAGCAAATTCGAGAGTGAAAAACGCCTTTTTCGTAAAAATCTATAAAAAACTCTACGGAAAAATTGGCTGAATGAATTTCTCTGAAATTTTGGCGAAATATCAAACTTTTTTTCTCTATCTTTTATCTATTGACACGAAGATAGGTTTTCTTTAGCTAAGGTGTCTAAACCGCATCATCGAGTTAGCCCTTTTTGACTACCCGACTTCATACTCTCAAGAAAATCCAGGCATAAAATATTTTTAAACCCGTTTTAATGTTATTTTGCAGCAAAATAATTGGTTTTTCTAATGAAATCAACCGTAGTTTAATTGGTGCATTTGTTGGCTTGAAACGACAGACGAAAAAAATGAAAAAGACTTTTGCATCAACCTAATAGCTTTTTCTAGAAATTTGCCGTCAAATTCAAATTATTATGTTGATATTTAATTGTTTAGTGCTGTTGTTGTCAAGGTAACTCCTGACGTTTTAACCACGTTTATTGAATGTAAACGAAAACATATTAACAAATTACCTAGAGTTAAACAATAACGGACAACATAACAACAATAGCAAAAACAAAATTAACAAGCTAAAAGGTTAACAAAGGTTTACAAAATTATCCCTTGTTCAAGCAGGAATTGCTATGGTGACATCGGCTATTACAGAGGACATTGGCTTTTCGACAGGCACACCGTCCATTCAAACATCTTTGTTCCGTGACTGTAGAGATTCGCTTGGTCCTGTTCGTACCGAAGAGAGAAACGATTTAGCAAGTTGACATCATCGTATGATTTTTTCTTTTTATCGTTTCCCTCGCTGAATTCTTTGATTTGCACAACGATTTCATTGTGTTTTTCAGCAGACGGTATCAAAATCTTCTTTCTTTGAGATTGATATTACGTGAAGGTTTCAGCAAATCTCCAACCTAAAAAGAAAATTTAGTCCGATGAAAATATAAAAGACAAAAAGTTAAAAATGTGAAAATGTGAAAACTCTGAAACAGATTTGACATGGCAAATAAGAACTAATGCGTTTACAGATACTTTCAATTTTCCTACAGACGAGATATTTAGATTTTACACAGCTGTAAAAATAGGATATAGACATCAGTCGGATTTTTTTGCAGCTATTTTATAACCACAACAAAGTAGCTTTTGTCCTTTTTACTATTTTTGCCAAATCTTGCGGGTGGCTACCTTGCACCAAATTTTTTGCGCAACTGGGTCATTTGCGCAACCAAGTCTTTTGCGCAACTTGCCATAACTTTCTTCTAAGTCGGCCAATTTTTATGATTTTGGTGTCATTTTGTTACACTTGTTGAGATCTACAAAATAAAACCAACATCATAAAGATTGGTCCACTTAAAAGAAAGTTAGGGCGAGTTGCGCAAAAGACCTAGTTGCGCAAATGACCCAGTTGCGCAAAAATTTGACGCAAAGTGATGACCCCCCAAATCTTTCCATTTTGTGTCTTGTTTCAAATTCGATTATTTTGTCTTTCTTTTGCTTCTCAATTACCGTAAAAACTCTTTATTATATTACATATATACCCTTTATTATATCAAATATATTTTTGCTTCCCAACAGCTCATCGACTGAATTGATTGCTTTCATATTGCTTTCATATTTCATGTTTCCACTTCTCATTTGATTGTTTTTTAATTTTCTTATGTATAAATAAAAAATCAGATTTTTTTATTTTGAAAAAGATCAAGAATAAAACAAAATTATAACAAAAAGTTTGATTTGAAAAAGGATGTTGCTCATAAATACTCATAAACAGCATACTCATAAAGTAACCCTTTTAACACAGCAAAAGGCAAAATTTTCGTCTCCTGAAATTTAAAACGCTTTGGCTTGGTCAAAAATGTTCAGATCAGCCCACATAAGGTACCAAAATTATCCTTGAACTCTTTTCTTCAACTACAGCGACCAAAAGCTGATTGATAACCTCTACCACAGCTTGGATAATCGAATTTTTCAGCTAATTCAGTGGCATGGGGCTGTTACTGATTATTGAATTAGAAATTGTCGCTCAATTATTGTTTTTGTTATAATTAAGTTAAATTTTTGTTATGCTATAATTAAGTGGAGCGGTGTAGATTTAGTCCAATTATTTAGCTCGAGTTCCCGAGCTTTTCATTCTATGTCACCGGTGTGGACGCTTCCCACCTCTTTTGTGATCAAATATCACCGAAATCTGCATGAGATCAATTTCACCTTAATCCACGTTCCAAAAGGTAAACCAGATGATTTCTTTGTTATTTTGGAGCAGACTTGTTTGAGCATTTTAAAAGCTTATCAGACATTTGATGCCCGCCCCTTCTGCCATTGGCAATCTAACTTTGAGCTCAAATATTTTGGTGCTCAATTGTCTAATTTAAATGTTCTTAATATTATTCGATGCGCCAAGTCTTTCTCTGTAGATTGGTACGAAAACTATTTAAATTGGACAGCTTAACACCAATGTATTGAAGCTTAAAGTTGGATCGACAATGGCAAAGGCGGCGGAGCGTTCCACAATCATTTTCAAATAACTTTAGAATGCAAATGTTTCCCAGACACAACCGATGCATTTCTTATTTTGATGGTGTCATTAGAAAATAAACAGCTTTTATTTGATATTGGAGAAGATTGCCCACAACTCGATTGCTTCATCAAGATCAGAAATGATCCGAAAAGACATCTATCGATAACTTGGGCTTCCGACGATAAAAATTTTTCAAAACAATGGAGTCTCATATTTGCGATGGATCAAGAAATTAAAAGGTTTTTGTTTCTTCTAAATTGACATTGATCTGAAATCTTCAGTTCGTTTCGCCCGGGTAACTCTTATGTGAGAAAATTTGCCACCGACGATTACCCCACTCCCAAGAATCCGTAAGATTCAAAAGCCACGTTGAATCATTAAACTTTAACACATTCATGGTACACCGATGTACCATGGATGAATGCGTGAACCAAAAATCTTAAGAATTTGTGAGGATATGTCACTTTTTGTTTTCGATTAAAATCGGTAAATAAACCGGCTTGAGTATATAGATTTCCACAAAGGAAATCTCTAGTTTATAAGCTTGAAGTTATAAGAAATCTCTAGTTTATAAGAATAATTTTAGTGCCTAAATGACTTCTAGAACCAGTATTAAATGCCTAGAAAATGCCTGGATCTTAGCAGCATTTAGCACATGCTCAAAATCAGCAACATCAGCAATCAAGCACTTTTCTAAGCAAACAAGCAAATTTTGAACTTTTTGCTGACAAAAAATGTTTTTGCATGAATGTGTTAATAGAGTCAACTTCATTTATCTCCATTTTGTCTCAAATCCATCTGTGCTAGTGTCGAAGAAAGCTTGGAATGTCAATGTTACAATGCAATGGAAAGAGGGTAAGTGTAGTGTCAAATTTACGTAGATGAAAATTATTTCTTAGCAATTACTTGTGGACAATCCGAGTTTTCTCTTGACGAGAAGCCGATTTTCATCTCGTCTCCAGGTTTTCCTAAAATGTAAGCTATCAAGTTTTAAAGTACTCGTCATTGCTGTAGATCGGAAATGGATACGAACCATTTTGAGGACTTATAGCTAGAAGTAATTCTCAGTATTTTGACTTTCTAGGGCTAGAAGTCTACATACAAAAGTTAGATACTCCAATCAGGTAATTAAACAGAACTTGCCGAGGCCAGTCAGGGTCTGACTTCTGCCAGAGTCAAGATTTTTTTGACTTACGATTAGTAGCATACTACTAATAGACAATTAGTTAGTAGACTTTGACTTGGCAGACTTCTTGACTAGTCTCTGTTTTGTTTGAGTTAGATGGCCTTAAAGTCAAACCTATCTTAAGCTTTGTGTTTGGTAGTTAACTACCGTATTTTCCCTAATAGTAGTGCACTCCGGCGAGCCGAGTTGATGACTATTTTACGGTTTCCAAATTTTCACAGAAGCTCAACACTCTAATCCCCCACAAGTTTTTATCGTCAGCTACATTTTCCGATCTCACATTGATAAGTTCCGATAAGCGGTTTTCGAGATTTCAAACAATTTAGGCGAAGCTTAGGGAAAATACGATAATCTAAAGAAAATACCTTGTAGTTTTTGACGCTAACATACTTTTTCATACAAAAAATCAAACGTATGGCAAACTCTTTAGTTATCCTAAAAATATGAACTGCTCCTATCTGATCAAAGCACCCGAAGGAGCAAAAATAAGATTCAAAGTGATGGTTCGATCGATGAGTTATTATGATAGGCTCACATTTGAGGAACATGAAGTTATTTACAGGTACATAAATAAAGTTTACTTCAAAAGAGTTGAAACGATGACCGTTTTAGCATCGATTCCACTTCGGAGATTAAACTGACTGAACATAATGAAGTTCTATTTCGATTTGTCAGTTTCAGCGGATATTCAACATCATATAAAGGCTTTCAAATAAAACTCGAATCTTGTATGCTGAACAAATGTATCACTTGAGAATAAGTCTTTAGATTGGCTAAATGGAAAACCGACGTCACACACTGGAACTTACATTTCGTTGTTCACCTTGGGAATCCTCCTGCTTTTTATCGCTTCCTATGTTGTATATGAAAGAAAGAAAAGAGAAAATTTTGCAGCACCTAGTACAATAATTTATTATTCAGCGGATGATGATAAAGAATAAAGTTAACCCGATGAGTTTTACCTACTTTTGTGATAAATCTAGCTTTTTCTTTGCTACTTTGTTATCTCCTTATTTGTTCTTGATTCTTGTTCACTAAAGTTTATTTGTCGTGTCATAAAGTGTCTGTATGATAAAGTTTTCACAAATTGGTTAGAATCAATAATGTAGTCGGTGGGATTAAGCACTTACTTCTTGACCAAGATACAGGACTCTTAGCCAACCAGCTTGAAAAAATCTGACGTCAGATGAAGCCAAGTTTAGTGCAAAAGGCAGAAATTGCTTACTAACAAAGCTTAACTATACACAAATGTTTTTGTACTTTCAATTTACCGTTTTTTCAATTTACACTGTTTTTGTACTTTTAATTTATTCCTACATCTTTTTTTGCGAACCAAAACAACAGTTTAGCTGTTCTTATCCTTCTAATTTTCCTAAATTTACCGTTTACAGAATTTTAAATCTTTACTCAATCAAAACTGGCACACAAAAATAAAAGAGAGCAAAGAAATGAAAGATAGCAAAGAGATTCGCAAGTGGCACACGTTACATTTATCTTTGTTACAATAGTAGAGAGTGTCCGTACTTTTATCATCCTGAAATAGTAGCTTTCACCAAATTCTTGCCAGCTTTAGTTGCGAGCAAATTCACCAAGCCAAAACCCTTATCGTCTGGGTGAACCAAGGTAACATTGGTCGAGCAAGCACACCCCCAAAGCCAGACCCCACCCTAAAATATTTAGGGTTAAAAATTGCTAGCAACCGACCTCGAGTTTTGCTTTATAGCTTTATAAAGTTATTTACATATTCGGAATCAGCGGAAAACTCTTCACGGAGGATCAGGGTTTGTCTCCGGAGAGGATATCAAAAACCTTCCTAGACTCCAGTCATCGAACTTCAACCTGGCAACCTTCCCTTCCCCGGAAATTTGCGGATAATGAAGAATTGATAATTTAAAGTATTTTCGGATATCGGGAAATGGATAAATAAGCCGAGTTATCCGGACTTTGAAGTTAATTTTGGATAAATCTAAATTATCCACACAACCCAGATGATCATGTGCTTGAATCAATAGAATGTTTAAAGTTCCAGTTATCAGAGTTCCTGTCTTCTTGATTAGACTTCTCTAAATAAAAAACATCTTTATGAGTGCACACATATGGGTGATTTCATTGCAAAGATAAGGCTTTTTGGCGAACAAAACCTGAATTGATTGATTGAAGACCGCGAAATTCAGAGCCATGACCGATTCCATTCAAAATCTACCCCCACCGCCAGCTTATGATGAAATTGGTAAGCTTTTTGCAAAGAAATAATAGCTTTTTTGGCATTAGCTGTAATGTTTCAATTACTAACTTAAAAATCATCGTAAAGTTTCCAAGAGCAATCTCTGTTTTAGACAAAACCACCGAATATTTTCCGGCAGGCCCTGGTGGAGCTCGATTTCAACAAAATCAAGTGTGAACTTTTATTTACTTCTTTTTTTCTCTCTTTCTTCCTTTCTTCTTCCCCTTGTCTTTCCTTCTTTCTCTTGGCAAATTAAGGTACAGGATAGCTCAGTGGTTAGAGCAAAAGCAAAAGCAAGAGCAAAAGCAAAAGCAAGAGCAAAAGCAAGAGCAAAAGCAAAAGCAAAAGCAAAGGTCGAGGATTGAATCCCCTCTCCGGAAATCTACTTTTTCTTGCCAATTTCATTACTTCTTTATTTCTTACATTTTCAGAAACTAGTCTTTTTTCAGTTTCACCCACCCCCACCTTTTGATCCACCATCAAATGTTTCCACACAAGTGATCATCCTTGAACATCGAGGTAAGTAACAAGAATCGATCAAAAAATGTGGAACAGTGTGCAATAAAATATTGAAATTTCAGCCATCACTGAACCGGACTACTTGACACCCCGTCAGAAGCTAATATTGATCATTTTGATGTTCATTCCAATTACTTGGCCATTTTTGGGTGAGTGTTTGATCAAGTAACAAAGAGTTGATCCAGTTTAAGTTTTTGATGTTAAGTTTTCAATGGCTATTGTGAAATATGCTTAAAAAGACCTTAATACTCAGGCATTTTGTTATTAAAAATACACTTTGTTAAAATTTAACTACTTGACATTGCTAACTCGGTCAGAATAACTATCAAAATTTTATCAAAATCAATAACTATCAAAAAAATAACTCATTTTAGGTATCCTTCTAATGATTTTGGCTTGTAAAGGAGATCAAAATGGGAAATTTATGAGAAGACCTTTCATTCATGGACTTTTTCTTATCAATCTCACATTAGTAATTGTTGCCATTGTTGTTTTTTCTGTAGTCAGTTCTTAAAATAATTGATAGAGATCTTATTTTTACTTTTATTTTCTTACAAAACTTTCTTGTCTTTTTGTGAAATCTTTTGCTGTAATTTTGCAATCTTTACAAAAACAATGAATGCTATAAAATCATTGAAATTTCATTGAGCTTGTCCCACTCTCGATTGTCGCTTGGCTGGCATCACCCGAGTCAAAATCGAGATATCAGAAGCACTCCGGGAAGATTTTTCTAAAAAATTGTAGACAAATCATTATGATGAGTCCACTTTTTATCATTAGCATCCATTCAATGAGTTCTTGTAAATGTAGCCGATAAGTTCTGCTAAAGAAATAACCAAAAGAGGCACCAGTGCTTTGAAAACCCGCGAACATTGTCAACCAAAAGCTCATTCCTAAAATAGGATGTGAATCAAGTTATTGCTTGAACTTTAATAAGATTGTGAGAGTGTGATCTAACCTGTAAGCTTTACATCATCCAAAACTATAATCAGTCCAAATACCGCTGCCGGAAAACATTGAAAAATGAAAATGATATGAGACTGAAGGAAAAGTTTGGATTAAACTTGAAATTTGACTCAAACCTGCAAATAAACTTGCCTCAACCACAATTTCTGTATAGCCAACGTTTTTGGACTCATGAATTTCTCAAGGGATTTCACTGCTTTGATGGTGGTTGGAACAATGACTGAATTTTGAGAAGAATATTCTAAACACTATAATAAATAAACACTTACCACAGATAAATAAGCAATGAAAGGCGAGGTTCACTGAAAACACAATGATCGCTTGCATGCCATGTGTCTCCTCATATGCATAACTTGACGTTTGATTGAAAAATGGAACCAGTGATGGATAGTTCTAAGCTTTCCTGTATTTTACTTTCAACTCCATCGAAGCATGGATGCTTCTCAAGGTCTTTAAGCCAAATGGCCAGGTCAGGCCGAAGTCTGAACCTGGACCAGATCTAGGCTCACAAGGGAAGTACCCCGGTTTGCCCAGACACTCATGGAGAGGCTATAGAACCGACTAAGCTGATCAAAAAAGCAAGAAATTTACGAGGCGTGGATTCGAGCCCGAGCAAAAAATGTATAGCTCGCTTTGTATACAAGCACCTTATCCTCTAGGCCACCAGCTCATATTGACGCCGCGCGAGAAAAATCTTTTAAACGAGATCTTGAAAACTTTTATGTCAAATATCTCACGTTTGTGTGAGTATAGGCAGCTGATTGCAGCATTTTGATCAGCTTAGTCAGTTCGATAGCTTCTCCATGGGTGTCTGGTGATCTCGGCGAACTGGGGTACTTCCCTTGGCAGAAACGTTTCGCGGCCACGTTTCATGGCCACTTAGATTGCGTTAAACCTAGGCCAAACCAGCTAACTATAAGGTCAGAAGGAAGTTCAAGTTTCGCAACTTGTCACAGGGCTTGTTAGACCTATAGAACTACTCCGAAAGCCAAAACCTACCCGTCTTTGCTTTGCCAGCGCCGACTGATAGTCGTTCGACCAGAGTAAGACAGCGATTATCAAACTGGTGATTCCGGGCATAGCATATAGTCCAAGGATTAGATTGTCTTTCAATCTAAAAATCTAAATAATTATTTTACAATCCAAGCGAAACCGTGTATCTAGTTTAAGCCAATGATTTGGCGGCAAGACAGCTTGCTGCCGATTGAGAAGCAAAACTTGCACCGAACCGTTCATCATCAATTGAATGAAAGTTGTAATTTGCTGAAAGAAGAAAGAGTTCTAAATTTTGTAGAATTGGCAGACAAACATTTTGTGCTTTAACATTTAAGTTTATTTCCAAATATAGCTCAAAAAATATTGTACCGCCTACCTTCTGTCCAAAGATCTAAAAATTCAAAAAACTCACAGAATTGGAGTTTTTTGAGTCTGAAATCACCTGTGCAAGGTCAGCTTTTTACATGATTAGCTAACACAAAACGGACTTCCGTCTCAAAGGACTTTGTTTTTGAAATTCCAAAACTTTTGTCACGACAAAATCAAACTCACAAGTTGCCAATAGACTCCAAAGCCGATTTCAGAGAAAATCCCAATTGTATAGCCGGCAATTGCAGGAAAAGCCATCATTGGGAAGTGAAAATAGGCCATCAAATATTCAAATAACATTTGAAAGATCTGAAACAAAGAAAAATGAAAGTTTAGTTTGATAAATAAAATTTTAGTCCATTACAATTCAATGCATTTTCAAATCGATCGGATTGGGTTAATCCAATTCCCACCTTGGCTAGGTTTAAAGACGCAATTTCGGTAATTGATTTGACTGCTCTGTGATTCTTTCTTGAGGTATCTATTTATCTTTTGGGTGTGTTTTGAATGGTGTCCCAGCTAATTATTGTGATTTTGTTTTGTCGCTATTCAACTGAATAAAGCATATATATATTTGCAAATCGATCGGATTGGGTCAATCCAAAAATCCAACCAGCAGTCTCCAGATTCCACACCCGCGCGAAAAAGTGTTTTCTATAGGTTTTTAACGGGCAAGGTGCCAATCGACGTAAAAAGCACCCTGATTTCAAATATGAAACTTTTTTTGAAATCCGTCTGACTAACTTGGAATCTAACTGGCTTCCTAGGTAGAACAGGTGCAAGTCTTGAAAACAGTTTGCCTGTAAACTAATGTTAAAAAAATGCTCAGTATTTGGGAAATATCACAGGTGTTTTTTGAGAAATTGTAAATCCAACTCTTGAAAAACTACGTGTATCAGAAGAATTTGACCAGACTTTTGTGATTAGTGTAAACAAACAAGTTGAATTCTTTATTGAACGAAATTGTCCAAAAACGGGTTTTCACTTTTCTAAAACAATAAGTTACCTTTGAAAAACCCAGATAGTTTTCAATTTCAATTCCATTATGCACATTTTTTGTGCTCAGAAACCTGTCCTGTCTTGGTTTTAATATTTACTCAATAGTCATCGATATCCTTTGCCGTAAGGAGAAAAAAGCACATTGTTAGCAGGTCATCATGTCTATCAAATGCTAAAATTCAAAAACCAAATATTTTATATTTAATAGCAAAACTCACTTAACATAGTAGAAGAAACTGCAGGCGAAATTGACAATTTTACCTTCACGATTGAATAACAAAAATTTAAGGCAATTAAATTGAACTTGGATAAAAATCTGAATGCTTTTACCGTATATGGCTAGATAGCTGGGCATATGGCTTTTGGTAAGTACAAAAATCCACTCGGGAGTTGTTGCACATTTCGTGAAATAGACGAACGGCCATTTAGTGTCCACTGAAAATAATATAAATTAATAATAGAAAAGCGTCAACTTTAATTGACCAATCGGAATGATTTGTAACTTTGTATATAGACTTTACCAGTTCTCCCTCTTTTGCCATGCCGTGAAAAGTGAATTTCTTTCACAAGAATACATCAAAACTTGCATTTCTAGAATAAAAAGTGTAGCAAAAGAAAAATGGCAATAATTTTTGTTGAAAAACTCTTTAGAATGCGTTTTTAGCTTTTAAGCGCCTTTTAGAGAGCTTGAGTTTGGGTATTGACTTGAGTCAATACATAACTCAAGATTTCATCTTTGAGACTTAATCGGCTAGCCGAAGAAGTCTGAGACTTCTTCGGCTGAAATCCTTCATCGGCTACGACATATATATGTCGTAGCCGATTATGAATGAAAGTATTAGGTTGATGCAAAAGTCTTTTTTCATTTTTTCCGTACTTTTGTTAAAAAGCAACAAATTCACCAATTAATCTATAGTTTGCTCTATAAAAAAAGTGTTTTTTTGTTCAATTTCCATCTTTTTAAATGAATTTCGGTTCACTTTCAAGCAAATTCGAGAGTGAAAAACGCCTTTTTCGTAAAAATCTATAAAAAACTCTACGGAAAAATTGGCTGAATGAATTTCTCTGAAATTTTGGCGAAATATCAAACTTTTTTTTCTCTATCTTTTATCTATTGACACGAAGATAGGTTTTCTTTAGCTAAGGTGTCTAAACCGCATCATCGAGTTAGCCCTTTTTGACTACCCGACTTCATACTCTCAAGAAAATCCAGGCATAAAATATTTTTAAACCCGTTTTAATGTTATTTTGCAGCAAAATAATTGGTTTTCTAATGAAATCAACCGTAGTTTAATTGGTGCATTTGTTGGCTTGAAACGACAGACGAAAAAAATGAAAAAGACTTTTTGCATCAACCTAATAGCTTTTCTAGAAATTTGCCGTCAAATTCAAATTATTATGTTGATATTTAATTGTTTAGTGCTGTTGTTGTCAAGGTAACTCCTGACGTTTTAACCACGTTTATTGAATGTAAACGAAAACATATTAACAAATTACCTAGAGTTAAACAATAACGGACAACATAACAACAATAGCAAAAACAAAATTAACAAGCTAAAAGGTTAACAAAGGTTTACAAAATTATCCCTTGTTCAAGCAGGAATTGCTATGGTGACATCGGCTATTACAGAGGACATTGGCTTTTCGACAGGCACACCGTCCATTCAAACATCTTTGTTCCGTGACTGTAGAGATTCGCTTGGTCCTGTTCGTACCGAAGAGAGAAACGATTTAGCAAGTTGACATCATCGTATGATTTTTCTTTTTATCGTTTCCCTCGCTGAATTCTTTGATTTGCACAACGATTTCATTGTGTTTTTCAGCAGACGGTATCAAAATCTTCTTTCTTTGAGATTGATATTACGTGAAGGTTTCAGCAAATCTCCAACCTAAAAAGAAAATTTAGTCCGATGAAAATATAAAAGACAAAAGTTAAAAATGTGAAAATGTGAAAACTCTGGAAACAGATTTGACATGGCAAATAAGAACTAATGCGTTTACAGATACTTTCAATTTTCCTACAGACGAGATATTTAGATTTTACACAGCTGTAAAAATAGGATATAGACATCAGTCGGATTTTTTTGCAGCTATTTTATAACCACAACAAAGTAGCTTTTGTCCTTTTTTACTATTTTTGCCAAATCTTGCGGGTGGCTACCTTGCACCAAATTTTTGCGCAACTGGGTCATTTGCGCAACTAAGTCTTTTGCGCAACTTGCCATAACTTTCTTCTAAGTCGGCCAATTTTTATGATTTTGGTGTCATTTTGTTACACTTGTTGAGATCTACAAAATAAAACCAACATCATAAAGATTGGTCCACTTAAAAAGAAAGTTAGGGCGAGTTGCGCAAAAGACCTAGTTGCGCAAATGACCCAGTTGCGCAAAAATTTGACGCAAAGTGATGACCCCCCAAATCTTTCCATTTTGTGTCTTGTTTCAAATTCGATTATTTTGTCTTTCTTTTGCTTCTCAATTACCGTAAAAACTCTTTATTATATTACATATATACCCTTTATTATATCAAATATATTTTTGCTTCCCAACAGCTCATCGACTGAATTGATTGCTTTCATATTGCTTTCATATTTCATGTTTCCACCTCTTACTTGATTGTTTTTTAATTTTCTTATGTATAAATAAATCATCAGATTTTTTTAATTAGAAAAAGACCAAGAATAAAACAAACTTATAGCAAAAAAGTTTGCTTTGAAAAAAGGATGTTGTCAAACTAGTTTCTAAGGTTATGGAGATTTATCTGAGACTTTATGTGTCGATTTTTGTGCCCAATTATTTCTCTAAATAATTGTCAAAACCGTAAATCGATTGGTTTATTCTACGAGGAGAACGAACAATGCATTTGAGTCCCAAAAGCTGGGTCCCCTCTATGGGCAGATGTGCCATATAATTTTAATTTTTGATTCCAGTCCCCTAGCTGGATCGATTTTGATGTTTTTGGACTATTTTTGATAATATAAAAACAAAACTATAGGAGGTTTTCGGAAAAAAAAGAGTTTTTTGAGGAGATCCGGCCCTACTGGTCACCCTTTAAGAGCCGAAGATGGAGCTCTCTGGTTCTTCGAACACAATCCTTTGTTTTCGCTATTTAAAAATGCTGACTCACATCGCATCTATTTCAATCTGAAAAAACGTTAAATAATCTTACCTAAATCTTGGAGAGTCTTATCTTTTCTGTTGTTATTCCCTTGTGACTCGGAGGAACCAAAAAAACTGCTTTACCAATGCCAAAAACACTTTATCTGTAGCGGCTTTCAACTTCTATGTCACCAATAAAAAAAGCGGCTTTTTGAGTGGTGACATATAATTTTCTCTTTATAAACAACCATTTTCTCTTTTATTACTATTTGTATCATTCAAAAGGAGTGAATTTTGATTACAACAGGAGACAAGATGGGCGAAATCAAGAAGGACTATGGGTTGGTTTCAGATTCGAATTGTCTGTTCAGGTCGTTTAGATCTTTTAAATGTTTAGTATGTGCTTTGATATAAGCATCAAAGCATCAACGTCTAACTTTTCAGCTTTCTCGACGACTACTGTGACGAGGTCTACCCGGTGACGCACTTCTACGAGAAGGAGCCCCTCAAAACCTCGGTGGTCCTCATCCCCTATCAGGACAGGTGGATCTTTTTTAGATCCACTGCAAGATTTTATTCTTTAGATCAACATTAACTTTTTTAGCATCATCCGCGAGAGAAATTGGGCTAAAGAGATCCTCCTCGTGCTCTCGCTTTTGCTCATCGTCTTCGTGATCACGTTGAGCACAGTCGCCGCAAATTGGGACCAAAACGAGTAGTTAGTTTCCGTTTTTGGTAAAAGATCTCTTTTGAAGAGCTTTTTTGTTTTTGCATATGCAAGCAGCTTTTTGAAGAGCTTTTAACAAATATAAGCCTTACAAATACTTTTCAGCAACAACACCTCAACACCCTGTGATCGAGAGGGTTTGCTAAGCCTTTGCCGCGAGAGAGCGTAAGTATCCAAGTCAAATAACCTGTCTATAGACTTTAGGGAAGCATCTCGAGAAAAGAATTAAAGAACTGGAAGAAGCACAAAAGAAAAACCATCCTTCAGAACGGTCAGAGAGAAGCCCGCTTTCCCATGACGGGGAAAGCGACGAACTCGCTCTTCTCAAAAAGAAGTACCCACTAAAGGCTTTCAAGGTTTAATTTGTGTTTTCAGGCTGGAAGCATGTCAGAACAGCATTGACAGGTTGGTGAAACAGTTGTATACCGTTTAATTACTGGAGTGAAATGTGATACGACATTGAGTGCAAGCGTTCAATTACTCCAATACGTCAGGCCACGACTAAAAACTTGCTCCTATCAACATTTACAAAAGTTTAGCGTGGCCCAAGAGATGCTCACAATGTTAACCAAGTTGGATTCGAAGATCCAGTCCTTCGAGGGCAACCGGGACACCCCGCACACGCAGATCGTCAACCTTTCGAATGGTTCCACTTTCATCAACATTCAAGGCAACAACGTCTCAAACGGTTCTCATATCACCGTCAAGGAAGCGGCCAGAGAAAAGTTCCTCACCGCTTCCTTTTTCGTCTTTGTCGTTTTTCACGCTTTTAATCTATGAGCTTTAATCTACACCGAGTACCCATGTCTTTCATGCACATATATAACTATGTTGAGTTCTACGTGTCTCTGTTCAAAGATGTACAGTACCTATTTGCAAAAATTCAAAAAATATCCAAGATTTATCACAAATGGAATCTCAGTTATTAGAAGTTTTTACAAGATTTGTTTTTGTTATTAAAAAATCTCAATAGTTCAAAGTTTAAATATAAAATTTGATACCATACAACACAACAATAATCACTCACAATTTCAAAAGAATACGTATACGTACGTTTACTGGCATTTTCGCTTTAAAGGGAACGCTCAGTAACTTCGAGAACGACTTGAAGAACGCGACTTAAAGAACTTAAAGAAAGCAAGTATGGGAAACGGACTTTTGACCATTTTCCGGGAACGACTCGGGTTATCATTCTAAATTGTGGATAACCGCATGCTTGGTATTTTGCCAGTGAGTAGGTAATCATGCCAACAACCTAACTTTTTCCAATGAAATGGTGGTAGATTTGATACAAAGTGCCAATTTTTTAACGTTTTTTTAAAACAAACTGGATCCTAGAATACTTAGGAGTACCATTCTCCTTTTTACCTCACGGATGGCACCCGCTACAGTGGCCCACGGAGGACATCTGCTGCCAATAGAAGTTCGGTGACTCCTGCTTTTTATGATACCCTCTAGGGCCATAGGCGAGAAGTTGTCAACGCTCCAAACACAAAGTTGAGTTCTCTTAAAATGGACGGATAGGTTGACCCTATCTGAAATCTTAATGCAGGTGATAAATCTAAAAATATAGCTTGTTTTAGGCGTTTAAACTTTTTCGGAATATTCTCTAATTGTTCCGAATGTTGAAATCTCAAACTCTTCATAAAAGCACCTGACTGGATTGGTTCCAGTCGATTCACCGAAATCTTATACAAAATATGTAGATTAATCAACATGGACATTCAAAAGTTTCCCTCTCAAAATGAATTGGCTTTTTCTTTTGTTTCCTCGTAATTCTACAAGTTTCCGCCGATTCCGAGAAAAAAGCTTCATTTGAATTGTCTGATCAGCAAATCGATTTGTTCAGAAAACCTTTTCCGAACTCACCAGGTAAACAACAAAGTCGAAAAAATTCTCTAAATTTATTCAATTTCTTGATTTTCAATTGAATTATTCAATTACAACACAAATTTGATCAGCAGTTGCTCCGAATCGATACAAGTTAAGATACAGAAAGATACTTTCCGTCTAAACAATGTTTTATAACTTTTTAGAAAACACTGCTAGTAAAGGAACACTCCCAATAAGGGCAGTTCAATTGAAACATTGAAACATTGAAAAATCGTTCAATCTTTACTGGAAATCAATCTTTGCTAAAGCTTTTAAGCCACTTATAGTTAGCAAAATCCGAGTTATGTAACTTTTTACCAAAAAACCACGTTTCCCTTTGTTTAGCTGCTTAGCACAGCTCGCAAAAGAAGTTCACCGGATAAACTTTTTGGTATGAAGTCTGTAGAATTTGAAGAAAGTTTTAAGCAAAATACCTAAAGATGGCTTGTTTTTACACATGTTTACTAGTCTTATTTCTCATTGTAGTCCTTATTGAAGCTAACTAGCTAGCTAGCTAAGCAATGGAACTTGAAATCAACGACAATGGATCTTTTGAGTGGATTTTGAAGTAATCTTTACTTCTATAAATTTCAATGTACTGCCGAAAAAGTGTATTTATTTCTTAGGTTTCGAAAGAGATCATCTAAAGCTCTGAAAAATCGTAAGATCGAAAGATCCGAAGTAGCTCCGGCAGCTCCGGCTGTTGATTCACCAACCTCTCATGCCATCCAAATCCTTATTCACAGGGTGGACGATAACTTTATCTGTGAATAAATGTTTATCTTATGTTTTCAATAATCTTAATCGTTTGCAATCTTACAATCTCTTATTGTCATTCACTTGATATTAAGGCATCATTTTTCGAAGCCACTCTGAATGTAACAAAGGCATGAATAAGGGTTAGATTTATTAGAGTTTGGAATAAAAAAGACTGGCAAAGTTTTAGAATTGTTGGTGTTTAGGCCACTGTGCACTTTCCGCAAGTCTTGTAACAGCTCGAGCTCGTACTGGCGCAGATCTCAATGCCCTTGGCTGCACGTGGTCCACAGCTAAAATGATTGATAAATATCTTTCATCTTTACTTTATCTATATTTGAGTCTATAAATCATGTTAAAACCAACTTTCCAAGCGTATCCGCACAGTAGCATCCATCAACTCCATTACTGTCTGAGTAACACGTCAAATATTGAGAGCAAGCCCCATTGTTGGTGGCTAAAACAGTTGGTTTTAGATGAATTGCTTCATTTAAAAAAATTTATTTTACTAGTGTGCTTTGCTGATGTACTTTTACAAGTACTTTTGGCTCTTTCCCTGAATCGTGGTCTTTTGAAAGTTTCGTGGTCTTTTAAAAGTTTTGTGGTCTTTTGTCAAAAAAGTCCGTTTCGTGGTCTTTTGCAATTTTTTGCTTTTTTTAACCAAAAAGCCTTTTGAAATCGTTTTAATTTTATTAAGTTTATTTTATTTTATCAATTTTCACATGCACCAGTTTATTTGATCAGAATCTAAAGAAAAATCTTAGGGAAAGGGATACGCAGCCTCCATGCAAACCAACAAATGTTGAAAGAAACTTTTAGAAGATCACAAAACTTTCAAAAGACCACTTTTACGGAAAGAGCCGCACTTTTTAGAGATATAGTGCTCATAAAATTTGGGCTTTATATCGTATTATATATGTCGTAGCCAAAAAGGTTTGAATTTTCTCGGCTAGCCGAAGAGTTTTCGAACCATATGCTAGCCGATATGGTTTGAGATTTAAAAAGCCTACCATTGGAAGAAATTACTCTTTTTTGGGATTCCTTTTTGGAAAATCCAACGCACTTGCTGACAAGGTTTTCTTCATTTTCTTCATTTTTTAATTTGCCCCTTTTTTGCGCTCCCTGCGCTCTTTTCTATTCTTCAAATTACGGGCGACGTGTTGGTCTATCGCTTTTTATCGTTACAGTTTTTCAAATGTTTGTAATTAAATTTCTAAATTTTGGTTTTTTAGGTAAATAATGGTGAGCGAGCTGGAGTTAAGTCTGCATTGCATCGTTAGCAATAAATGTTACGACGAATATGCTGGCATCTGCCCAAGTGAATGTGGGAATGGAAGGTGTAGCTGCTTTAAATCAAATGTTATCTGCAATAGTCGTTGCCACCACAACAATAATTGCAAAAACAAGTGTAATCACTATATTTTAAGCTTATTAGTCGATTGTGATACGCAAAAATTTTGTTAATTGTGATTCAAGAAAATGTTTTAATAAATGGAGATTAAATATCATAATATTAAAGCATCAAGCTGAAAAGCCTTCTCGGTTACGACATATATAGATATTAAATAGTTAATAATTAAATAATTAATAATTAAATAATTTAGAAACCCACCAGAGTTTGGACCATAGGTGACCCAAGTAGGCACTGCAGGGCATGCGGCATTTACCTAAAGTATTTTATAAGAATTGAAAACAAGCTAAAAATCTTTTTAAGTTAAGATTACGTCTAAATCTAAATAATTTCTTCATTTAATTCGAATAGATTTGGTCTTTTTATGGACTGGAACTGGGATTTGAACCAGCCGACCTCTGACAATGAGCTACACGAGACAATTATCCCAATTTCATCAGGCTATTACCTCTTGCCTTACTTACCTTCTAAAAGTTGTTTACTGATTTGATACTGATAAAAGTTGTTTCTTTACTTAAATTTAAATACCTGATACAAAGTGATGCCAACGAAAAAGAAGCAAAGAACGATGAGTTTCTGCATGGCGTTTTCTTTTCGAAAGGTCTGTGTTTTGCTTCCGGCCCGCCATTCTTTTATACCCGTTTTGCCCATTCAACATTATCATTTGAATATTTGCCTAACGTTCACCCCGTTGCCATTTGAATGGTCAAATTTTTAATGGAAAATTTCAATTTTACAAAATCCAGACTAGAGCTTTTTGACTTTTGAAAACTTGATTCAAAAATCATAGCTCAAATTTTCAATGGGATCGTTTCGATGAAAAACTTTTGAAAGCCAAAAAAGGTAATAAAATTTCACCAAAGATCTCTTTCGTATGTCATTTTGTCGCCAAACGAATAAAATCCCTAGCGTTTTTAGATTTGATCTGACTGACCTGTCTGAACCGAATTAACGTCAAAGATTAAAATTTGGCTTTGGATTTCTATTAGATTTTCCAAAATTTAATAAACGCTGATTTACCGTATTTTTCCAATTAGACCAACACTCTCTATTAGAACCCAAAATTCGCATACAAAATAAATTACCTAAGTAGCATCTTTCGGAACTTTCAACTAGATGACTGAATATCTTTTTTTAGCGACGTAGGCTGACTTTCCATCTTTTTTCATTATTTTTAGCTTGTAACTTACCTACCTACCGTAAATACTGTAATAGTACCCGACCCCCATAATGGCGGTGCGGAGTGTTGCGTAGTCTAGCTTTGAACGAGTTTTTCTCGACACTGGTTTATGCTACAATGCGCGCTTAGGTATCAAAAAATAGCCCTGAATTTCAGCTATTTTTTGATACCAAAGACGCATTTTTTGAAAGTACGGGCGCTTTGAAAAAAAATGCAATACTAAAAAACTTTTGCGACTACGCGACTGTACGAGGGGGTGGGGTACTATTACAGTATTTATGGTAATTTTATTTTTGTTTTCAACCTTTTTTTGCTACAATTATTCATATTTTCTTTGTAGATGATAAAGAGAGCCGATGAGACAACGATCAAGCGCTCAAGCAATCAATCGTTGATGAAACGAGTGATGTTTTGACTAGAGTGTGCTCCTTGTTGACAGACAACTTGTCAGACAAATTTGTCTTGACAACTTTTTTGTCGGACAATTGATCCGACAAACTTCCGACAACGCGCTTTCTAAAAGGTGCCCTTTTTAAGCAAAGCTATAAAGGCCGCGCAAAAAAAAATGTGCAAAATTTTCTTAAAATGTAGTAATGGATAGTTTTATTTAAAGATTTAGGTTTTTTAGGGCGTGGAATTTGTTTTTGAATAGTTCTAGTGCAGATGTAGACAATAGGCCTGATAAATTCGTAAATATAATTTTTTAATAGTATTTCTTAACTTTTTCCGTTTTAAATATGTTTTCTTTAATTTTACATAGCATTTAAAAATTTTTAAGTTTTAGCGAACTTTTGACATGGGCTGCGACGAAAATCAAGTCTTTCGCGTGGTGTCCGACTTCAAGAAATGCGGAGGACGACCATTTTAAGGTATTTTTTTGCTCCTCTTTAGACTTTTAAAAACAAATTAAACAAAATTGTTTTACGGCTGTTGATGTGGACTCTCTTACGCTCGTCGACTTTCAAGAAGACTAGAATAACAAGCAACGGGGCAGCTTTACGAGGACGTTTTTTTTCTTGTATAGTTTCCGTAATTTTAACAAAATACCGGGGTTAATTTTGCTTTTTTTTAGTAAAGAAGAAAAGAAATGGAGGAACAACAATGATTTAGCAACAAATTAACAAAGATCAACAACTATAACAAGGTAAACTTTCTTCATAATTCCATAGATATAAAATCTTCCTCATCACTAGATTCTCCCTCAGACAGTGATTCAGCCTCCAATGAGCATCCCGCTAGGGCCATTTCCGTTAGGGCTAACTGCTTATCTTCGTACAAAATAGATGGGGAATTCTTGATGATAATGCTAAATTTTTTTTTTAAACTTAAACTGCGTAAAGTAAGACCTAGCGGAATTTGTAAGGGCCGTAGCGAGGAACAGCAATCGCCCAGAGTCGGCTGTCAATCTGCTTTTTCGAGAATCGGAGAAGATTCGTGTGACTTTGCTGAAAGTGTTATCGCGGTGAATTTCTGCCGCTGTCCACTCCACCGGATGCTCTGACTGGCTTAAGATTTGCAAAAATAAAGTAAATCTACTTTTAGATGATGTTTCATGGCGTAGAGGGCGCCAATAGCATAGTTTGCAACTGCGTTTCTGGGGCATAGATTGTATTGTGCTCGAGTCTCTTTACTGCTCACATCTACATACTTTGACATAAAATCCCAGGCTAGTGGGGGCATTTTAGGTTTACGCGAAGGGGTTGCGGAAGTCTGAAAATGATTTATAAGCGTAAAGACAACTAGCACTAGAATTTACCCTATTACTGGGAGAAACATCCATTTTCTCTCACAATCACACGGTTTTCTACGCAGTACTCTAAATAGTAGGAATTATCAATTGAACCTGTTTGAAAAAGAGAAAAAAAAACAAAAAGTTATGGAAAGAATAACAGAAAAAAAAGCGCTAGATTTTAATGTACATTTGCATTTTGAAAAATTTGCTGACGCAAAGCATAGGGTTACGGTAGCTTATCTTCGGCGCGCGCTTTTTAGAAAACGCGTTGTCTGCAAGGGACACACTCTAGTTTTGACCGAATTTCGTGGTCGTTATACCTCCAAACAAGGATCGAACCTAAGTTTTGAAGAAGAGTCAATCTCCGTTGAAAAACAAGACGGCGACAAGGCGAACAAGAACGATAGTTTTGAAACTGATAAAGTGCCGACTCGAAAAGGACAGAAGAGACAAGCTTTTAATGTGCAAAGAAAGCTGGAAATCATTTTTTTTGCGAAGAAGAACTCGAACAAAGGAGCAGCTGAACGTTTCGGAGTGCCTCTATCATCAATTCAAGATTGGAGAAAGCAAGAAGCACTCAAACAGCCCGAAAAGGGGAAACGAAAACGGTTGGATGGTGGTGGACGGCATCTAAAGTCATCAGAAGTGAATTTATTATTGGCGCAGTGGATTCGAACTCAACGAGCTGAGAAGAAGCGCATCTCTTGTCGAATCATCACGAACCAGGCTGTCGCAATGCTCAAAGTGGCTAATTGTGTATTGTATTGGGTGCTTCAATAGTTTTCTCGCCCGGCACAAGTTTTCTATGAGAATCCCAATGCACAATGTTAAAGAGGACCGAAGGAATATGAAAAAACAATCATGAACTTCATTCTCTAAGTTAGCAAGCTTCGGATTGAAAAAAATTACAATTGGACTTTTGATTGCGATGAAAATGAATTTAAATAAAACTAGAATTATCAACAAATTTCTTTGGGCTATTGACTTATCTTTTGGTGATCCTGGCGGTTCTTTCCGAACTTCATATTGAATAGTATTGAAAAATGGAACGACGGATGAAAGATCTGAAATTTACGAATTATGAGAACTCATAGTCAGTCAAAAAGGTAAACACGAATGAGAAATTTTCTCCGAGTGTGATGTAAAGACCTTGACAATCAGTATTTCATTTTGAGGCTTGATTTAGTTGTTTACGAGATTAGGGTAGTTCTTTTTAAAAGCATCTTCTAGAAAACTACATAATTAAGAGAAAAGTGTCCATTGTGATTCTCGTAAAGTATATATTATGCAAAAAAAATAGGATTCTTTTGATGTATAATGTAATTTTTTGATGTATTTATTATATATAACAAAGCAAAACTGCTCAACAATTGCTTATTTCTTTGAAAAAGCGTCAACCTCTTTGATGTGGGCCGCCACTTCGGGTTGAGTTGGCCTCAGAAAGAGGCTCAGCCATGGGATAGCTTGCGCATAGTAAGACAACTTTCCCCCGAGGTTTTGCATTTTGTGGACCTCAATCTCCCTAGGACTAGGAGATTCCTTAATGGACATACGCAGCAATTCCTTCTTAGTTATGGGAATTGAAAAGGTGTAATCTTTTGCATCGACTATTAACCCCAGGTAGTCGACTACGTTTGCTGGCTCCAGCACTGACTTCTCCCAAGTGATAGTGGAACCTAGGGACATATTAGGTTGTCAAGCTATAAACGATCGTTTTTTGGTAATGTGTTTTCTGAAAAAACGGCTTATCCAATCAAAAAACGGTTTGCTTGATTCAAAAGCCCTATCCTTAATCTACAAAATGACTTTTTTGAATTTTTGAAAAATCTTTTATTTTAGAAGTTTTTCAGGCATTTTAATGTAAGAGTTCAAAATTCAAAAATCAAAATCAAAATTTCAGAAAAATCCAATCGATCGAACCGTTCTCTTTCATTTTTTTTTATCTTGCTTAAATTCAAACGAAAATGGATTAAATTAACACAAAAGCGCATTTTGAGCCTAATTTGAAAATCAACCTTCCGAAGATTGGATTATTCTGAAATTTTGGGAAACTATGTAATCGATGAAGCGTTTTATTTTAAAAAGTATGCAATCACTCAAAAATATAATAGCTCATGAATGCTAGAAACCAGGATTTTGAACTCTTACATTAAAATGCCTGAAAAACTTCTAAAATAAAAGATTTTTCAAAAATTCAAAAAGTCATTTTGTAGATTAAGGATAGGGCTTTTGAATCAAGCAAACCGTTTTTTGATTGGATAAGCCGTCTTTTCAGAAAACACATTACCAAAAAACGATCGTTTATAACTTGCCAACCTAATAAGATGGTCCAGAGTTTGAAGAGGTTGAAGCTTTTTCAGAGAAATAAGCGATTGTTGAGCATTTTTTGCAATATAATACTGTAAACATTATGTACTTCCAAAAGGCAAAGTTTTTATTCAAGCAAAACCAAGAACAAAATTATTAAAGGTGTAAAATTAGGCGACAAAGTTTTACTTTGACAACGACAAACGGCAGCGACAAATCACCATGTTTCTACTTTTCTAACAGCCAATTTAGAAAATCGAAAACCGAGACAATATATGGGTTTTTAAAATCAATCATCCTTTTTGAAACTTTTCGTTTAATGATGTTAAAATTGTCATCAAAACAATGTAAAGTTTCGACTTTTTGAAAATCTTTCGGTAAACTCAATAAGTACTGATCTTTCTCACCAAGAACTTTTACACGACAAAATTTCAGAGTTGTTTTTCGGCAAGCTTTCTGAAAATCCAGATCATTGAGATGGCGATAGATTCTGCATTTGTAGTCTTCTTTTTCCGATAACCGTTTCCACATATTCACTGATCTCTTTTGTAAATGATACATCAGTTTACAGATTATTGTAAAGATCGTAACTTGATCAATCACAGCAAGTGTTGAACAACCGAACAATGGAATTAGTAAAGGCTCAAATTGATCTGTGATCACTTTTTCACATAATGGCTGATAAAAACGGGAAACTTTTGGTAATCTTTTGATGTCAAAATAGTCAAAAAGTGGTTTCACATCGTTGATTTCACTAATTTTCTTGTTCATCTGCTTTTCGTTGTCATTCATTCTGAATGTGATTTCTTTTTCTATTCTTGTAATCATTGTGTTTAAGTCAAAAACCTCGATTTTTCGAAACTCCATTTGCAGTCCATCTTCTTCCAGAATACAAAATTTCCAATACCTATTCTCTTGATTGTTCACCCATTCCCCATCAAACCACCGTACTTTCACTAAACTTTTCTCCAAAAATAAACTCCTCTCATCTTCAACTCTAACGAGGAACCATTGCTCTTTAGTCGAATTAAGGAAATAATTGTAGAAGTGAAAACCCTTTTTCCACATTTGACCATCTTTTAACACTTTCTGGCATTTTAGAAGATCTTCGTGTTCATCAAAGAGATCCAAATACCCGATCCATGTCTGTTTCAACGTAGCCAAAAGGTCAAAAGTCATCAAGTAGAACTGGTATTGAGCATGGAACTCATAAATCAATCGTTTCTCTAACAACTTCTCCAGGGAATCATCTCTGTCAATTGGCAGAATTGCTGGCACAAATTCATGAAAGATCAAATCATTCTTCTCAAGATTGCTTTGAACAAAATTCGTCACCATTCCAAAATATTTTTTCGCGTCATCGGATAAAGCTTCATACTTTTCAGTGAAACTTTTGCAGATAAGCTCGAATTTTTGAATAAATCCAACTTCTTGCTTTTGATCTTTCATGGAAACTGTTTTCTCGGATTCTGTTTTTTTGATTTGACTAATAGTCTCAGTTTTGAAGTGGTTCGAAGGGTTTGAGACTTGCAAAGTGTCCCAACCAAATATATCATCTGAATTCTTTCTCTTCACAATGCTTCCATCGAACTCCATTGGTCGAACGATTTCCATTTGTTTTGGATCTTCCCGTGGTCGTTGTGATTCAAATCTTTTGATGTCTTCTTCCTGGAATTGGATAAATTTAATTTTAAACAAAGCGGATATTTCCTTCTCTTACTTTCTTTTTCTTCTTCCTTGTATTTCCTTTTTCTTCTCTGGCAAGCAGATACCTCATGGCTCAGTGGTTAGAGCATCTGCCCGGAAAGTAAAAAGGTCGAGGGTTCAATCTCCTCTCCGGAATCTTTCTTTACTTTATTTACACAAAAGCTTTGCTAACTAGGAAAGGTCACCAACTTAAAGTGGAAGACGAGACCTATCCTATCTTGTTCAGTTTTTCACGGACTTTCCGAGTTAGCTTTTAGTTTTTTTTTCTAAATGGCTTCAAAGGCAAGAAGTTTGGCTTTAAAGTTTTAGTTATCCTTTGTAAGACTTCCAGCGTTTCCCAAAAATGTGTCTGGCCGAGAGGTAGTGCTCTCGGTTACAAAGTTTTTGGTACGAGTTCGACTCCCAAATTTCTTGCTTTTACAAGCCAGCTTTAGGAAAAACTAAAAGCGGATTTGGAAAGCCCATGAAAAACTGAACAAGATAATAGAAAAGTTCTGAAATTCCACCTTAAGTTGGCGACCTTCCCTAGTAAAAAAATCCCTCGTAAAAAGCAAATCTTCAACTATAATATTACAACTCTGTTAATATCTTGACTTGAATCAGTGTTACGTTAAAAAGCAAATTTCAAGGCTTTACTTGACTCACCTTTTTCAATTGCACAAAGCCATCAATGATTTGAGCAATCGAAGGACGCATTTTGTACTCAAACGAACAACCGCTAAAGAAACACGATTTCTTGACTTTGCACAGTATTGACTAAGCCGTATTACTACAATTATTAACAACTAAAAATCCAACCTGATAATCATTTCTTGAAGTTTTGTTGGACATTCGGGTTTCTCGATAGGCACGATTCTTGTTTTCTCCATTGTATTGAAAAGCTTTTTGAACATTAAAAGTATTGATTGTTGCTCCTTTAGGCAGAAAAACTATTCTAAATGAGCTTTTTGAGATGTTTTTCATTTTACCAAACCTTCTTTCTATCATTTCCCATATGCATAAGAATAAACTGTAGACATCACTCTTTGGAGAATTCTGAATTGAATTGAAAATAAAGAAAGAAGTGTTGAATTGTGTTTCAAAATTACTTTATCCTCAATGTAAGTCTCAGGCGCCATGTAGAGATCAGTTCCCGTATGCCGAGAGTTCATTGTCGTTTTCTCGTACAGCTTCGTGGAACCAAAGTCGCCAATCTTCGGGATAAAAGTGTGTGTCATGAAAATGCTAAAAGAGCACAGTACAATGAGCCAACATCTACTCATCTACTCACTTTGATGGTTTGATATCTCGATGCAAGATTGTGTGATTTTCTTGAAGATACTTCAAAGCCCGGAATAAACCCTCACTCCAATCGACCACCATCCAAATCGTGTAACTGATTGAAGAGCTCATGATCACTAAAACGGTTTAGGATAAAGGTACAGGGTGGCGCACAATGATGGAAACTCGGTTTTTGACTCTAACTGTAACGACTAACTGTACTTAATTGTAACTCGACGCTCAATCATTCAATTCCCCTAATTTCATTCAATTCAAAAGTAGTCATCGGTTTGAGTCTTGAAAAATTTTCTTGTTGATTTTTCAAGGCTTATCGTGGTATCAAAAATGGTTTTGCCTCAAGCGTCACACAACAAAATAAAATTGATTTTTTTCGATGATTTTGTGAATACGGGGTCATGCATGGGCTGGAGAGCTCAAAATTCACGTATACATGAAAAACACACTTTTGAATTCCTCTATTTCACCACAAATCTTTCTACTTTTTGTTTTTATAAAATTGTTTTGATATTAGGATCTTGAAAATAAAAGAGACCCCCAAAAAGTCGGTTCTGGGAAAGCAGCAACAAGAGGATTTTCTTGTTTAAAAATTAACCATATTTTCAAGATTTTTGAAGCAACCAATCCAACAATGCAAACTGAAAGTGTGGCTAAAACATTGAAAGAACAAAACAAATTTATAGAAACAAAAAGTAGAAAGATTTTTGGTGAAATAGAGGAATTCAAAAGTGTGTTTTTTATGTATACGTGGATTTTACGCTCTCCGGCCCATGCATGACTCCGTATTGACAAAATCATCAAAAAAAATCAACTTCATCTTGTTGTGTGACGCCTGAGGCAAAAACAATTCTAATATGACGATGAGCCTTGAAAAATCAATTGTACTGCTCGGCTAGGGTTGTCAAAATCTTTAAAAATGTTACGGTTCTTCTATTCTAGGTAAAATTACGCTTAGATTTTATGATCAATTGTTGTTTTTCAGCTTAGGCTAACGTATTGTCTTAGAAAGCCAAAAAGATGCATTAAACGCAAAACTATATATGCTGTACGCTGTACAAGAGAAAGAAGAGAACCAACTATCCTGAAGAGAACCTACCATTCTGAAGAGTTCCTCTCTCGCAATATTCGGTCACAATCCCATATCGCCTCTTCTCAGGAATCCGAATCTTGTGATGATACTGGATAATGTTCAAATGTTGAAGCTTTTTGAGTATTGCACATTCTTTCACGAAAAGACTCTCAAAATCGCTGTCATTGCTTGGCTTCAGATATTTAACGCAAACCGCCCTGAAAATCTTGATTTAAACTCTTATATCTCAAAATTACGACTTCCCGGGTTCCACCGCAACTCGATAAACAGTTCCATAGGTTCCTTTACCCAGAAATTTGAGTGAACTTTCATCAAAATCTGTTTCATCAACACTTTTTTGTTTAGAAAGTGACATGGTTTCTGAAATTTTAATGCAGGAGAAGGGAAAAAGCAAATTTAAAAGAAACATCAGAGCACAATGTAAACAAGTGATATGATTACCGATTCTGGCAAGAAATTAAAACAAATTTTGAGTCATCATCTTGTAAATTGCAAAATCTCAACTAATCCCGTGGGTTTTATCACGTATTTCTTTTGGCTAACAATCGCTATTGTCTGAGCGTCTTATCACATTGTTTACTCAGCTCTTGAAAGACCCCTTTGTTACTTATTTTTACAATCACTCGACAAAGAATTGTTTTAATAGTCAAACCACCAGGCACGATCTCAAAGTGCTGCCAGCATTCTAATTCAAAATTTATGAAAGGTTTTGCTTTCTTTATAAATTGCTACACTTCATGATCAACTGGTTTTGTTTAACTGGTGTAAACTTTGGTGGGTGAATCTTGTTGAATGCTTGTTCAATGAAGATAGAGTTTAAAAATGATCTCTCCAATGGATCTCAACAATTAAAGAAATTGATCCAATTACTGGTTAGACAAAACCAGATTTCAAGGCAAGTTTTGTTAGATGAAGGTTTTCCTTGGAAGCATTTTTGCTTGTATTCAAATTCAACTTTATCTAGCTTAACATTTCTTAAAAAATTACATTGCGATGCCGGTTAGACAATATATTAGATTGGGGAATATAAAAAGAAAAATTCCCAGGCCTCAAAGTTTTTTGATTCTATCCTGAATTTTGCTAATTTTTTGATATTTTGAATGAGAAGAGCTTCAACTTTTTTACAAATAATATCTTAGAAAGTTTTATGGTGAAACAGCCAAGAACACTTGTTGTAAAGTTGACTAATATTCAACGTCTATTCAAATCCATATTATGCCATGAAAGTTTTTTCCAAGTTTATAATTGAGTAAAGGGTACTTACCATAAATACTCTAATAGAAGTACATGCGCTTCTAATTTTTCTCTCCCCCTCTGGAATACGCTTCTATTTGAGTATGTGCTTTTAAATTTCCTCCTAAAAATTTTTAGACAACTCTGGAAGTCTTCTAGATAACTATGAAATCTAAAAGAAATTGACAAAAAAGATGAAGAATCTATTATATTTTGAATCTTCTTATATCTTCTTATCTTAAAATTTCAGTAAATTCCGTGGTGAAATAAGCAGTAAAACACGGGTAATTGACGTTAAAGTTGGGTAACTGAACCGGACGCTCGAGTCTGTGTATCAGCTAGCGCACAGGCTGTCAGATGGCGCACAGACTGCCAGATGGCGCACAGACTGCCAGATGGCGCACAGACTGTCAGATGGCGCACAGAGTCTGTGTGTCAGATGGCTCACAGAGTCTGTGTGTCAGATGGCTCACAGAGTCTGTGTGTCAGATGGCGCACAGAGTCTGTGTGTCAGATGGCTCACAGAGTCTGTGTGTCAGATGGCGCACAGAGTCTGTGTGTCAGATGGGGTACAGACTTGTGGCTGTGTTCGCACAAAGAACGTTTGTCTTTTCACGCTCTTATCTTATCCTTAAACATTTTTAAGTATAGAAGAAGCAAATTTCAGCTATTTACTGTTTATTCGGTATAACTTTCATTATTTCCCAAGCTTTGAGCCTATAGATCGCGCAAAAATGATTCCTTTTTTGGCTGGGATAAGCGCCTAAACGGTAAATAGTTAAAATTTGCACTTTTTTACAGTTAAAAGCGCTTGAAAAACAAAATAGAAAAAATGAACAATGATAGAAAAAACTAATAGAAAAATAAACAATAACTGACTCTAAAGAATCAACGGAAGTATAATCTGTAACCAAGCAAAGATAAGACGAGTTAGTCATCCACTAACAGTTATCCTAACAAAAAATAAAAGCCATTAGCAACTGAGAATTCGACCAATTTCTTACCAAACTTAAAACGAACCTCTTTTTTGCTTTTTCGTATTGGATTCATTCCAAAGACTGCCCCTTTTTGAAGACAAAAGATTGAATTCGGCTGACTGACTGACGCCTGACTCATCGCCAAATGATAACAAAACAAACAAAAGCAGTGAAAAGAGCAAAATGTTGCCAATGACGCTCAAAAATGCTGATTTTCTTTCGTTTTTTCACGTAAACAAATGACTTATTCATAAAAAACAGTGATCTTTAGAGAAAATCGCAATTTTGCAAAAGCTTTTTTGGTTTTTTTAAAAGTTGCATCTTAGATTTTGCAGATTTTTACAAATTTTGCATTTTCTTCTTTAAGATTGCATCTTAAATTGATGGAGACACAGCTTTTTCTCGACTTTTTCTAAAAAGCCAAGAAATTGTTCAGACTTTTCTAAAATTACAACCAAAATTTGGGTTACAGATGTTTTTACACACTGTTTACACAATGAGTCATTACAAAAATTGTTGAGACTAAAATTTGCTAAAGATATTTATATTAATTGTTAACATTTGGTTTTTTAAATCATTTTGTGGTCTCTGTCTTGTGCTAAAAAGCTTCACTGTATTTTGAAATCAAATAGCATCCGGGTTCATTCGAATTCTTGTTGTTTCTTTTTCGCTTTCTCTCTTTTCTGTTATTCTCGGTTCTATTCCGCGCATTTACGGCTGTTTATCCTTTCACTATCACAATATTTTGATAGTTTTGTTTAAAGCTTTAAAATATCATCTTCGTTTATCATTTTCTCTTTGTTTATTCCTACAGTACTTTCAGATTTAAACACAAGCAAACAATTTTGATCGGAAATGTCCGATGTCTTGAATTTTGCTGCAACAGAAGCGCAAGATTTCTTGAATGAGCAAAAGTTTCTTCTCTCTGACGGAGCATGGGGAACGGTTTATCGAGTGAAAATGGACACTGGGTAGGTTAGAAGGAAATTAAAAATATACCAGTCAGTCAGATTAGCATTAGAATTCAATCCAAGTCACTGAGTTTTATATGAAATTCCCGCTTGATCGTCTGCTGCTTTTATCCTTATCATGGATACACTTATCCTTATCAATCCTTATCAATGGTTATATAAGTTATATACTGTATTTTCCCTAATAGTAGTGCATCCTAAGCTTCGTCTAAATTGCTCGAAATCTCGAGAACCGCTTATCAGAACCTATCGATGTGGGATCGGAAAATATAGCTAACGATTAGATCTTGTGGGGGGATTAGGGTGTTGAGCTTTTGCGAAAACTTGGAAACCGTAAAATAGTCATCAAATCGGCTTCGCGGGGTGCACTACTATTAGAGAAAGTACGGTAAGTACCAGCGGAAAACGCTCTAACATCCGCGTTTTCCACACAATCTAACCCTCACCCCTTTTTGCCAATGGCTGCGCACAGACGGATGGACGGACAGCCGTCTCATCTGCTTTATATATAGTAGATGTTTATTGTTAAACTCTTATAGTCAAAGATACCTGTAGTTTTCTCACTACAGGACACTGTCAAGTGAAAAGATCCAGTTTGTAGAGCTCATGTGTTTCTGAAAGGTTACATATTTGCCCTTACAAGCTGATAAGACTAAACAAATTCTTGTTTTCAATTGAATTTAAAAGGTATTCGTCATAATTATCAAGACTAATTTGCTCTGTATTCCTAATTACTAGTGGGGTTTCCCTTGAATTCACTAGACGTGGCTAGAGCTATGAATGAATAATAATAATCGAATGAATAACGAAACAAAGTTTCTTTGAAAAACGTGGGGCAAAAAAATGTTTGAACAAAGCTTCAAGAAATAATGTGTTAACCCAGAGACAAAAAGGAATCATTTTACTAAAAATTGTGGAAGCATCTCGAACAAAAGAAGCCAACTTTCACAAGACCAGATGAGAGAAAATTCTGACTAAATGGGAAAGAAGGCGTCCTTTTATACGCGTGTGAGCGCGACATTGTTTAAGGTTCGGTATTTCTAGTGTCTTCTTAAATTGCGGCAGCTTTTTGGTGACTCGTCGTCACAGTAATACCTTTTTTATCATACTGTAGTGTGTGTTGCGACAAGAAAATATTGAATGCGTCAAATAAGGCAATGTCTGGCTTGAATCAAACGTGGCGTGTAAATGAAAGCTCTCGAATTGAATGACTCGTTTATTAAATCACTCTCAAACTTGGGTAATTAAACCATGGTGTAAAAGCAATGAAAGAAAGAAAACAGAAAACAATGTAGAATGATTTAAGATTACTTTACAGACTAATAATTGAGACGATACAGTGTAAGCAAATGAGAAAAATAAATTTCTTTACGGCCTATGTCGCTACTTTATTCCCACGCTTAGCTGAATAACTTTTAGTCACTTAAATATTTATCTACGGTGGTTTGAGCTTTGTTTAAGATCAAGGCTATTTGCATTGACTTGGTTGCATTTTTACGTGATAGAATTTCATAGTTTAAAAATTTAAATGGTAATATTTTCAGATTCGTTGTTGCAAAGTACATGTTGATTAACAACAACGAGATGGAGTGCGAAACTTTGAAGAACTTGAAACACCCAAACATTGTTGCTTATTTGGGAAGAAAACTGAACCTCGAAGAAAGCATTTATGCAATAATTATGGAATATTGTGAACGAGGAAGTCTTCGACATGGTGTGTGATAAAATTAACTAACAAAAAGTGTATTCAGTTCTCGAAAATCCACAAATTGTCTATTCAATTGAACGAGCCATCTTTTGGATCAAATCTTTGTTCGATGTTTTAAAATATCTCCATTCTCTTGGGTTTACACATCAGGATCTGAAACCAAACAAGTAAAGCTAGGCTGTTTATTCAAATTTTCAGATAACAAACTTATTGGGTTGTCCAGTTATGAATCCGCGTTTTTTACTATTTTGTTAATTCCTCAAGATACGGAAATCAAGAAAAAGATATATATGAGTATTATTCGAAAGCTGAAGATCTCCTCTACATTTTGATATAAAAAGCCTTTGAATTTGTTCAGCTTTTGGGCAAATTGACCGCACAGAAAAGGAGGTGGCCAAAAAATGGAAGGGTGCCTTTGGATCAAGTTTTGGCTCCGCTCAAATTGAGTTAACCGTTTGATGTTTCGCCAATAGATATATCAATACAACTTTTTTAAAAATATAACAATTTCAGAGCATCTTTACTTTTCTTTTCTATTCTGGGCGGCTATTTTACACCATAAAACTTGAGGAATAGCTAAGCTGAAATGGGTTTTTTCGAAAACGACCTCTCCCTTTGTGCAGTCAATTTCCCAAAAAGTTGAGTGAATTCATAAACTTTTTATTCCAAAATGTAGAGGAGATCTTCCGCTTTCGAATGATATATAACACTCATATACATCTGTTTGATAGCTTGAGAAATTTACAAAATAGTAAAAACGCGCATTCATAACTGGACAGCCCAATAATTGTTGCCTATATTTAGCATCTTTGTCACAACGAAGTTCGTGCTGAAAGTCGGAGATTTCGGCAGTGCAAAAATGTGTGATGCAACAATGTCCGCCGCAGATAGTGGAGGAACTTATCGTTACATGTGCCTGGAGCAATTCAATGGAAAAGTAGAAGATTTTAACGGAATATTAATTCTGTAATTGAGGTCATTAATTTAGGCTCAGTATTTTAGGTCTCAATTCGAAACGACGTCTATAGTATTGGCTTGGTCTCGTGGGAAATTGTTGAAAGAAGGTTCGGTTTATACAAGATTCGCTTTGAAAATGTTTTCAGAAAAGTTTTCTCTATCTACGGACACCGGAATTTTGAGCATCAGCGCTTTTTTCGAGAACTTGTGGAAGGAAAAGTAAAGTTAGAACAACCCGAATGCCCGAGTGATCTTCAGGAGTTGATTCAGAGGTAAATGGATTAGTTTATATTAGGTTGATGCAGATGAAACTTCCGTTGGAACCATAAACAAAATTTATTATAAAAACCCTAATACAGAACCTCAATCCAAAAGATATTTGCCATCATTATCAATGACCCTTTGCCATCTTCCGCGCAGAGAATGGATGCCCTTTTCGAAGAACTCGGGCAACTGCGACTCGAAGAAGTTGGACACCCAGATTTCCAAGTCCAAGGCTGGAACCAAGTCCGGCATTGATGTTTGGACAACACGTCATCTCCGAATGCTTTGCACAGAGCACGATAAGATTCCGCAGCCGTTCTACCTTGTTTAAAATCATACAACAAGCAAACCCGAAATTTTTGGTCAACCATTTTCTAGAAGCTAAAAATTACTTCAAATTAAGTAAAACGCATGTGTCTTAGATATCAAAAGACGCGCAAAGAGACGCTCTTTCAGATAGACAGATATATTCAATAAAAACTTTTATTAGGTCCAAAATATAAACAAACAAGTGTGACGGAAATTTCATCTGCACCAACCTAATAATTTGAATCAGCTCCTTGGATTTTAGATTAAAAAGCTTTGTAAGCAAACAAGAAAATGAATACAAAATCTTAACTTTTTTATTAGTTTTTAGGAACATTTACAAAACAAATGAGAAACTGGAGAATGATTTTAGAGCCATCGTCTTTGACCATCAAAAGCGACTTTACCCGGGAGAGCTCTTAGCAAATTTGAATCTAATCAAAACGAAGGTATTGATAAAATTGATTTCAGATTGTCTAGGATTAAAACTGATTTTCTAGGACGAACAAGACTTCATCAAGATCCTCGAGACACAAGAAAGTCTGATCCGACCGATTGGTTTCGATAAAACAATGAATTGGATGGTTTGCAAAAAGGATCCATTCGAAGAACCACAGAAAAAAGTCTCAAAAGAAGACTGGTCATTTCAACTCACTGAAAGAGATCACTTTGGACTTAAAAAGGAACTCCTTGACAAATTTCACCTCAAATTTTCAGCCATTCGAGAACTATTTGAGGCGAAGTTGTCCAATTTGCCCAATAAAACAAAACAAGAATTTTTGGCGAAAGTCGAACAATTCTTCAATGATCCAAAAGTTCTACCCACTTTTGACGGCTTTCAGGAAATTGAGCTGAAAATAGAAGACCTTGAGAAATTATCAATTTTTGATCTTTTTCAGAAAGCTTATCAAGCTGACAATCAATCAGTTTATCAGTTCTATCATCGAGCCATTGATATTGTGTTAAGTTTCATGACTCCTTCAATCGGATACTCGGATCTTTTCACAAACTTCTCCCAAATCTTGGAATTCCCAAAAATCCATCAAGCATCCCCACTTTTCACCAGAGATTTCTATTGGCGCAGTTTTTTCTCAACTCAATGGAAAGAGCTCTGGATTTTGTTGAAAGTTGAGAGAAATGAGAGTCTTTTTGTTAAGGGAAATTTTACTCAATTTGCATGGATCAAGGGGTATTGGCCCGCAAAATACAAGACCACAAAATTCTTTGAGCACAAGAATGAGAACGATTCAACGAAAGAAGTGAATGTGATGGAGTTGCATTCGGTGGAACGATTTGGATTCGATTTCATGGTGGCTCAAATCAATAAGATACAGTTCACAATGGAATTCTATTTGCGGGAACAAGGAGAATCAAAAAAGGAATCGAGTCAAATTTGAACTTGGAGGTAGGGTTGCAAATTGATACCCTTACAATTCATTGTTGCTAGTTGAATAGAAAGCAGGAGTTATTGATTGAATATTTCGGCTTCAGTCGTGAAACAATAGGCTTGTGTTGATAGTAGGACATTTGATACGCCCCTCCCCTTTTGCAATTGACAATCTAACTTTGAGCTCAAATATCTTGGTGTTGGTCTGTCCAATTTAAATATTCTTGGTATCATTAGATGGGCCAAGTTTTTCTCTGTCGATTGGTGCAAAAACTAATAAAATTGGACAGCCCAACACCAAGATGCTTGAGCTCAAACTTATATTGCCAATGGCAAAGGGGGCGGGACTTAGGGGCTTAGATACGCCCCCCCCCCCCCCCTTTTTGCCATTGGCAATCTAACTTTGAGCTCAAATATCTTGGAGTTGGCTTGCCCAATTTAAATGGTTTTTGTACCAATCGGCAGAGAAAGACTTGGCGCATCCAATGATACAAAGAATATTTGAATTGGACAGCCCAACACCAAGATATTTGAGCACAAAGTTAGATTGCCAATGGCAAAAGGGGCAAAAGGTACCGATAACCCTTGGTGTTTCCTGTGTCTTTAAAGGATTTTATAGTCTACAGTAAACCAACTAAAACATTAAATTTAATCGCTTCAGATGATCTCTATCAACTCGACGATCCCCCACACTCAATTTGCCATCATGACAGAAAATGTCCGAAAATTGGTGGAGTTCCATGGGAAAGCCCTGAAGATGCGCAAATCCCCTTCTACGAATGCACAAGTCAAGAAGATATCGATCGAATCAAAGCCTACTCATTGATCACTCAGATTTTCCATTTCAGACAACGCTATCGCTCCTTTCGACGAACAAATCTCTGTTTGAAAGGATTCGTGGAAAAAATGAGAAGAATTTCTGAAACAGAGGAATTTCAAAGAGTTCAATCAAAAGAGTTTATTTTTGCAAAATTCCAGAAGCAAAACGGAAAGATTATCGATCTTTTTCTATTAGAGTTACCGGAGGAAAAAACAACAAAAGTTTGGTGTTTTGATGAAAAGTTTAATTTTATGGGAATCGAGTGTTCAAAGAAGAGAGTAAACTTGGAGAAATTGCAAAGTTTTTCAATTCGACAATTGTTTGTAATGTTTTTCTCAAGTGTCAAAGAAAATGATGGACTTTTTGACTCTAGCAGAAAACCAAAGAAATATATTAAAAAAGTCAAGCAATTATGATCAGATTAAAGCTAATGCTTATTTAGGATTGGGTTGGTGAATTGAAAACTGCCGGCTATTGTCATATGTCACAGTTTGAGCACTTTCTTCAAAAGAAACCCATTTTAGCGTCAATGGAAAAGTTGTAGAGAATCAAAAATTAAGCTTATATCCAAATTTTCAAAACTATTCAAAAACTGGTTTTCAAGAAATGCCAAATTTACGAATTCTCACAAAACTTGCATTTTAGGCGAAACTACTAAGTGTATCTTTTTGGAAATTTGGCTATAAGCCTAATTTTTGATTCTCTACAACTTTTCTATTGACACCAAAATGGGTTTCTTTTGAAGAAAGTGCTCAAACTGGGACATCTCCAGTCCTCCATTTTTGAGTCTCACACTTGTCTCACACACAAACCAAAATCCTACTACGAAAGGGGAATCCGCAAATTGCCTGTAAAATGGGCAGAAGTCGTCAATAATAATGGAAATTATTTGGAATGAATTTATGGTTTTATGTTGAATAAATTTTAGTTCAAAGTCCCCCAGTTTTCAATTCACCAACCCAATAGAACTGATTAGTTTGATGACTTTGTTTTTGTTACTAGAGACTGATGCTTGCTTTGTTTTTTTTTGTTCAAACTTTTTATTGTGCAAAGGTTTTCATTATGTTTTTATTATTTTATTGTTTTATTATTGTTATTATTATTTTATTATTATTTTCCAGACTGCTAATAAATTGTTGATTGTATCATTTTCATGAAAATAACCAACATCTAATCAATAAACAAAGCTCAAAGTTACGTTTTAAAAGCGAGCAGATAGTTTTAAAAAGTTCAAAAAAGTGGACAAGTACTATACTCAACGAAGGTTAAAGTGTAGGATTAAAGTGGAATTTGTAAGATTAAAGTGTGATCTAAAAGTTGCATTCAAAAAGTGACCGTAATCCGTTAGGATTTGATGAGGATGAGGTCGCTTTTTGATCAATAAAACATTACAAAAAGAATGTCAAAGCCAAGAAACGAGCTCGGCTTTGATGTTTATTTGTAAGTAAGCCGCGGTACCGGTTTCAGACGTTTTTGCCGCTTTTCAATCATTTTGACCTAATAGGCCTAATAGTGAAATAGGCCGATTTTTCAATCATTTTGTTCTAAGCACTGGTCAAAGCTGAAAAGATGTGTTATATCTCAAAAAAATACCCATTTTCTCCACTTTAATTTGAGATCTAAGCGCGGAGAAATAAACGTACTAGGGCTGAGATATGAGCGTTTGTTTGAGAGTAAACCTGGACTAGAGGGGGCTCTTCTACAGGGTGTCCCAAAAGTTCTTATACTTTTTGTAAACGGACAATTTGACTTGAAAAAACGCTATTTTTGAAAGACTAACGCCGGATTATGAAAATTTATGTATTTTAATCCCAAATATACTTGTTTTTGCATAAGATTTGCAACTCTAAACAACTTTTTGATGAGGGTTTTTAAAGGTACAGCGCTTTTTTTGCTTTTGAAACCCGTAGAATCGCTTGAAAATCTTTGATTTTTGAGATATAAAGTTTTTTTGTGGCTTGTTTTCAAGAAAAAACTTAAGTCTATCAAATGCTCACAACAGTTTTTGCAAAAAAATTTCATGCTGCAAAGTTCAAGTCAACTTTTGCAAAAATTTTTAGTGACTAGACCCGGATGTAAAAAATCCTAATCAAAAGGTGGCTCAGAGTTGAAATCTTTTATGAAAATAAACATTGAGGTAAAAATATCTGAATTTCTAGAATCTGGTGTTGATTTTCGAAAATTCACGTGTTCTTCAAGTTAAAAATTACGGTTTACTTTTGATATAAGTATGCCAAATGCAGAAAAGAAAAGTGGATTTTTGATGTTTCTTTAGATTCATAATTTCTAATATTTCTAATATATAGACTTGCTTTTTTTGAACTAAAAACTTTACAGCATCGTCGCTTTGTCATTGATTTAGTCGAAACTTTCAAAATCCTCCGTTGTAAACAGATTAGCGCTTTGTTTATAGACTTTTTCAAATTTAAACCGCGGTCAGGGCCCAGAAGTGGCTCATTCCTTTTGCAAATTCCCTTTGCTTCCAATGCCTCTTTAACAAATTCATTTCCCGTTAGAGCCGCTAGATTATGGAACTTGCTCCCAAACGACATACGAGAAATTCAGTCGCTTTTCATATTCAAGAAACGTATCGATGCTTTAGATCTAGTGGCTCTTTGCCGTAAGTAATTGGCTTATTGATTTCAGTATGTATTGTATGATTAAGTATCACTGTGCATTTCTCTATGATTTCTTTCACTTTATCGTTTGAATAAAGTATTATTATAATATATATTGTGCTTTATGTGTTTAAATCTCTTCTTTTCTCTATAAGATCTCTTTGTGTAGATGAATCAGTTTCGAGTCACCGACCACTGAACTACCAGCGATGGAAAATACAGCAAATAAGCAATTATTTTTATTTTCCACAATAAGAAAAAGAGTACAAGAAAGTATAAGTATAAGTGTAAAATGTATAAGTAGAAGTAGAAGTATTTTGTAGTATAAAACTTACAGAAAAAGCATAAGAACTTTTGGAAAACCCTATATTAGAATATTTACGGTAGGACTTGAGATTGAGGTCAAACTCGTCAGTTCTTTAAAACTGTCCAGCTTCTTGCCATGTTTGCATTGGGCAGAATTCTTCCTTTATCTGATTCTAGTGAGTTTGAACTTATTACCTTTAAGTTCTTTTTTTATGGTTTATTTTCATTATTTTTATTTATTTAATAATTTATCTCCATCTCCCTCGTCAACTGAATGTCGTCGTTTGTGAGAGTATCGAGTGGATTTTCTCCTTTCGCTTTCGGAAACACACAGCGCTGATAATGCTAGAGTAGAGAATTGTTTTTTTTAGCATAATTTCATCAATCAAGTTCATCAAAGCGTACCTGGCCACAAAAATGCATAGAGAAAATCGATTGAAAGAAACAAGGCTCGGAAATGCTTTCTGAACATTCACACCAAAGAATCCGTACACCCAAATTTGAACGAAAAACGGGAAAATAGTGCTGAACATGATGTAGAATGAGTTGAATAACATCTAAAATTGACTAAAAGTTTTTAGAAACTAAAGTTTTTGCAATGTCAAGCAATGAATTACCCAATTCTCTCACCTGTACCATTAACAAACGCTCAGCTTTTGTCGTCTTTCCACTTCTTTTCAACTAAAACTAAAAGTGGAATCATCATTTCTTTTCCACTAACCGTTTTCATTTTGTGATTTGTTAGGAAATCCATTGCACACATCAAAAAATAAGGCAACGTGCTGACAAGCACTTGTGCAAGAGAAGATGTATCGTGATCAGATGAAAACAAAAGGGCAAAAATTCGCCGAAGACTCACCTGAAGTCATTATCTTTTAGTTTCATCTGTACTTTGACCAAAATTTTCTCATTATAACTGACTCCAATAAAAAAGGGAATCAAGAATTGAGCCCATGGAAAGCGAAGAGTCCGATGATAATATTGGCCATTGAAAGCAACAGCAAAGAAGCGACTAAACGAATTTTTTTTATTGTGAAACTGTACTGTAAGCAGGTAAGATTCTTTCTGATATTTTTGAAAGGCTTAGCTACGGTTATCGATAATTGCCTTTTGGTTATTGCCTTTTGTTACCGTGGCGCAGTCGGGAGCTCGCTTCTCTACGGCCGACACGACCCGGGTTCGACCCTCCTGTAGTGCCACTCAATTTTCATTTTTTTATTTTTTTATTTTAAATGGCATAACTATATGATATTTCAAGGCTTTTAAAAAAAATTTTAGTTTTTTTGACCCAAAGACGGCTGCGAAAAGGCTCGTACAGACGGACGGACGGTATGGTGCGGCGAAAGTTCTGTCCTTTTTAGAATTCTCTCTAAAAACTTCCTAGTTGATTTTATTTATAAGTTTTTAAAGAGAAAAGATAGCCAATCTTTTACAAAATTTAAATCTTATTACAGTTTTTAAATAACTTCTTTAGATTTTGAGTTATCTCTATTCTATGCTCTTCAAAAAAAAGTATCTATAGTCACACATATTTTTGCGCTTTTTCATTATCAAATTTCTAGAAAAATTACAAACTTACTGGAAACTGCTGTTTTATTTCCAGTTTTGAGCTGATAAACAATTTTTTTGAATACTTCTAATCGTCTGAGTTCTAAGTTTGACAGATTTTCTTAAACTGGTAATACTGATGCGAACATAGAGCTCACGCAAAATTGAAATAACTCAAAGTTTAAAGTAGCTATTTAAAAAAGGTAATAAGATTTAAATTCTGTGGATAATTGGCTACCTTTTGGCTATAAACACTTATAAAATAATAACAATCAGAGAGAATTTAAAAAGGATAGAACTTTACAAAGCACCCTGAATATAGTACAGTAAGTAAGTACGGTGGCCAGTAAGTACGGAAACTCATTTGAAGCTTTGCCCTGGACTTTAGCATCGGTTTCAAGAAGCTAGAGAGGTTCAGAAAGCTTAAGAAAGTTAATTTCGTTTTGAATAAGCTTTTCTTTGGTAAATAGAGCTTTGCCAACATCGGTTCTGATGAATTGCTGCAAAAGCTCTATTTAGCAGATTTCTGTGTTGTTTTTTGGATAATTGACGGGAACTTTGATTTATTTTTGTCAAAGATTAATAGGTTTTATATTGAGAAGAACCAACGGTCGCCTTATCGCCATTAGAGAAAAAAGTAATAAAGGCTTATGGTTGCCATACGTATTGATCACCCTGTAGCTTTCCATAAGAGTAATGTCTTAGGGTTTGGCTTGACCTAGAAACTTTTGTCAACTATAAAAACAGCCTCAATGGCTTTAGAGATTTGTAGCAGTATACCAGTATTTTGTGAAAGTGATGCATTACTCAGAGGTAAATTACTAGACTGATTGACTCACACAATTGATTTTCTTTTGCAATTACATTATATTATATAGTTTCTGTTCTTTCCCTTTCGAACTATGGCGCTAATTTTTCTTCTGGGAATTTTATGCTTCTTTTTCTTGCTTTTTTTAATTGTTCCAAAAGTTGCTATACGGCGAAAGATCGTGGGAATTTGGATCAAAAGGCAAAAAGGTTCACCTGACCGAGATCATCAATTGACTGTATTGAGCTGCATCCAAAAAAGCGAATGATGAAATATATGAAAAGACCCAAGAATATGTAGAGATGAAGCCACTTGAACACCTGAAATTTTGGAAGTTTGAGCTAAAATTTTCATTTACGAACTGCATATTGAAGTTTGACGCAATGCAAAGGTTAGGCATCAAATAAAAGATTGCAAAGAGGAATTTGCTGAGACTTTCGCCAAAAGCCAATAATCTGAATAAGATTAGATTATTTTACAAGACTTTGGATACCTAATTGGAAACGATAAGCGATCATTCGCCAATGAATAATATGCTGCTAAAATGGCGATTGGTAAGCTCAAAGCGACTGCCTAAATTTGTTAGTTAAAGATGCTGGCGCATTCGCTATAGTAAGACAAAAGGATGCGAATGAAAGCTGAATCCTTGAGCTCAAGTTAGAACACAAGGTTGTTCCAATCTACAGCCTGTCAGGGCAAACCACGGACGGATCTGCGCCTGATGCTTCTCTTAACTCAGGCTTGGTCAGGCTCAACCTACTATTAGCAGCCTGCATTAATCTTGTAAGCTAAATCAATCCAGAGTTTGACCAGATTCCATGCCCAGCCCGGTTTCAGGCAGACCCTCGAACTTTTGTGGACCAGCGGAACTGCGGAAAGCCAGACCCAGCCACTCAAGAAATGCTATCACACTGCGCTTTTAGACCAACCCTGTTAAAACCATTCAAAACTCACTCCGGCAGTAATTCTATTGAGCCAAACAATAATCCCATCTCTCAAATCACTCTCGATATCAATAGGATTTGTCAACAAAGCGAATTTGCATTTGGCAAGTATAGCAAAAGTCTCGTTTACCACTGAAAACAAATCAATTAGTAAATTAAAAAAAAATGGCAACCTGTCAGTAAAGCGGTGATGAGAAGTAGTTGAAATAAGTCAGCATATCTATCGTAAAGCTGTCTCATTGTCTCAAATTTTGTACGTTTAACAAAAACAGATATTAAAACCAAAAACTTGACAGAGCAAACTTCAACAAAGTCCGTCCAGTGAACTTTTCGCTAAATGCAGCAAGAGTCGATGTGAACTTAACAATGGACTTTCGAAAGAAGCAAATTTTAACACCGGCCTTTTTGACCGAAAAGTTCTCTTTCTCTGAAAAGTTCTCAGGAAAATTTTCCAGAGCATATAGTGGATCGCACGCGAATATTTTATACTATTAGGTTGGAAAGAAAGTTTGTAAAAAAGTTTGCACGATGATTTCTCAAAAATCAAGCCAGGAATTCTTCTTAGCTTCTTTGATAAACTTGACTATATTTCAAAAAAATTTGGACAAAAAATCAGAGTGGGGTTCAGGTAAAAAATAAGAGATTTCTTCAGCTGGATTGACTTGGTCACTTTTTGAGTCACAGCCTTTAGACAAGTTTTTAATGGGTTAATGAATAGGCAATAAGTCCCATTCAAAACCTAAATGAAGTACTTAAAATAGGGAAAATTTGTGATTAGGGCCAATTTTATGTAATGCTTCAACTTTTCAGAATCACTTATTTTAGCAAACCTTTTCAAAATGGTCAAGAAGATGACGTTAAACAATTATTTTTTGAAATACAGCTTCTCTGTAAAATTCTTTTGGCCAAAAATAGAGATTATAGAGCGTATTGCTCATTTATGCTAGCTTTACCTCATAAGGAATCGTTTTTCTGGTGCAAAAATTTAGCTGAATTTAAGCTGGAAAATGGGTCTATCCCAAAACAGCGCCGCCAAAACAGCGCCGACCAAAACAGCGCCGCCAAAACAGCGCCGACCAAAACAGCGCCGCCAAAACAGCGCCGTACCCAAAACAGCGCCACCCAAAACAGCGCCAATGCAAAAACGCCCAAAACAGCGACGAGCAAAAAAAATTATTTTTTTAGATTTTTGCTTTTGCTTTTTCTTTGCTGTTTTTAACTTTTTCTGTCCACTTTTTGTGTTTTTAGGGTAAAAAATGGCGGAGAATCCGATTTTTTTAAGCTTTACGCATAGAAACCTGCGATAGCGTTTATAAAATTGATTTTAACCAAAAATAACAATTTTTTTCCTTTTATGGTCTGTTTTTTAACGTTTTCACTAACTTTTTATTTTTACTACAGATTATAATAATACTTTATTCAAACGATAAAGTGAAAGAAATCATAGAGAAATGCACAGTGATACTTGTTATGAGGTTTCAGAGTCTCTTGGACTATTAATTTGATGCTATTTTAATGTTTTTTATGCATCGTTTAATTGTTATCGTTTATTGTTGTTGGTCATGTTATTTTTAAATAAATTATCAAAATTAAAAGCTGCTAATAAAAAAAATGAGTGTACATTGTAAAAGAAAAAAACTTTATTTTGCATCGGCGCTGTTTTGGGTACGGCGCTATTTTGGGTGGCGCTGTTTGGGTCGGCGTTGTTTTGGTCGGCGCTATTTTGGCGGCGCTGTTTTGGGATAGACCCTGGAAAATAATCATTTTTCAAAAATCACTAAAATTTTAAGGGAAAGCTGCACTCATTTTTTTATGAGTAATTTCTTGGAGTTGACTTGTAAATAATACAACAAAATGTTCTTGAATTGGTGGATTCGTTTTTAAAAAATACCAGCCAAACTTTTTCCGAAAACTTTCTTTCCAACTTAATACTTGTTCCGAGAATTATGACGACTCAAGTATGTAGAACTTGAGAGCTAATTGAAAATATTAACCTTGAAAGAACGGAGTTTCAACTTGATAATGGTAACTTAGATATGTTTGGGTTCTAAATGTATTGCTCAAACGGGTAATTTGAATTGCAGAACAAAGCGGAACTTATGATGCCTAATTATTACAATTTGAGTTGAGATAAAGAGGAGACAAAAGGTGACAAAATGTTCTTGAAAAAGATTGGTTGAATGGATGACAAGATTTTCAAAGTCTACAAGGTGTTCAGTATTTACGGAGACTTCTTTTTGGCCCCCAAGCGCCAAGTTCAACCCTAATGTGTTAAGTGTTATATAAGATATTGAAGCTCTTAATCTTGGCTACATTTATCTATTAAAAGTTTCCCGATTGGAGATATACAACTCATTGAATGAGGACTAGTTGATCCCTCTCCGGCAAGTTGCCATTTTTGGCGATTTTCTTCAAACTGTTCATCCAGAATGATACAATCTTGAAGGTTAGGTACTTATTGTTTATCAAATCCTTACATTCTATCCTTGGTTCATTTCCTCTTTAGATTTGTCTTTTAAAAGGCGATATCAGTGAGAAATAGTATAAGCCATTGGTACTGTGTTAATCTGATAGCCAAAAGTCTCAGATTCTGTTCAGACATACTTTTAACCCAGTTCGACGACCTGGGCCACCAGTGACCCGGGAGCTAAGCTGGAGTAACTTGGTAAAAACAATGATATCTTGAGCCACATTGGATCGTTTTTTGAGATCTTTATTGCAATTGATAGCTAGCAAGATACTGAAAAGCTTTTTGGTTTTAGTTTTTTGTTGTGGTTTTAGATTTAGTTTTTGGCAAGGTATTCAGTTTCGAGAAAGGAACCAGATCATCTAAAAAAGGCCTCGTCGCAAATGTGTTAAATTCGGGCAAACTTTACAAGCACTTACAGCTTGGTACATTTTCAGTGCGTTTCTCGAAAAGATCGTTCAGTGCTAAAATCAATCCTTTCTCCCTAGACTTTTTCCAGTCTAACACTTAAAGGAAAAATATTTGCTTTGAAAAAAGAGCAGTTCTTTTTGAGAAAACTTCCTTAGCCGTTCACACAAAAAATTGATGACAAGATGAAGAAATAACCGGCTTGAGCACAAACATCCCTTGAAACAGAGCCAGATCACCTATATAATCCGATCTTAGCTTTAGGTCTGGCTTCAGAACGTCACCATGATCTATTCTTTGGTTATTTTTCAGATATTTTTTGCTATTGCTTTAGCTAATGGGGCTGATAAAGTAAAAAGAGATAAGGACAATATTCTCAGCGATGATGAGCTCAAACATTTCAATGATTTTAATGCTAAGTGAGTGAACGTTTTTCAAACGATCTTCAAGTTTTTAAAGTTTTTTTTTCAAAAATAAGTTACCGTTTACTCTCAAAATTATGCATTTTTTTGCATTCCAGTTGTAAATTCTTAAAATCTTTTTAGGCTTGAGCTGCAGTTTGGGCAAGTTTATAACGTAAAAGCCTTTCATTTTAGATTTATCATTTTAGATTTCACCGAACTTGTGCAGATGAGACTCCGAAATGCAAGGAACAAAAGCTTAATTTTGCCAAGAATCTTGCAAAACTCAGAAGAATCAAAGAGCAAACAAAGGAAAAGAGGTAACGATAGTTTGCTGTCGAATTTCAGGCCATTTTCAGCTTTGTTGTTGGGCTCCATCCATTTATGGATGAATCGGAAAAGGAGATGAGAAAGGTGAGAATTGAATATTCAATAACATGAGAATTGCAATCACAAACTGTTTTAGAGATTGATGGACAAAGAAATCATGCCTAAATCGATTGGAATGAAGCAAATTCAGAGGTCACCGGAAGGAGCAAAGGCAAAGGTCACAAAAAGAGTGACTAATTTGTTTATTAAAATATTCAATAAATTAGAAATTTATCTAGATTTAAGCCATTTTAGCGAAATTCTGCTTTAGATTAACCCATCTTCTTTTGACTGGAGAAACACTGGAGCCGTCAACCCTGTGAAAGACCAAAAACAGTGTGGATCATGCTGGGCTTTCTCGTAAGCTTTGTCAATTCTGTTCACCAGTTTAGAATCCTGTATTTTTTGTTAAATTTATCTTTAAGTTGTCTATTTTTTACTTAATCAAAGCCTTCTACATTAACATTTCAGAACAATCGCTACAGTTGAAACCATTGATAACTATGTGCATTGCCGTGACACTACCGAAAGTCGGGTCTCCTATTCTGAACAGGTAAATGATGCATTTCAATTGAAAATCTAATCTCAACAGATGGTAATGGATTGTACATATTATAACGCTTCGGTTCCTGAGAAAGAACAATATGATGGATGTGATGGTGGTTGGCCATCATCGGCACTCAAGTGAGTCTTGTCTTAACCATTCTCACCCATAAATATTGGGTTGGTGAATTGAAAACTGCGGGCTATTGTCATATGTGACAGTTTGAGCACTTTCTTCAAAAGAAACCCATTCTGGTGTCAATGGAAAAGTTGTAGAGAATCAAAAATTAAGCTTATATCCAAATTTTCAAAACTATTCAAAAACTGGTTTTCAAGAAATGCCAAATTTACGAATTCTCACAAAACTTGCATTTTAAGCGAAACTACTAAGTGTATTTTTTTGGAAATTTGGCTATGAGCTTAATTTTTGATTCTCTACAACTTTTTTATTGACACCAAAATGGGTTTCTTTTGAAGAAAGTGCTCAAACTGGGACATCTCCAGCCCTCCATTTTTGCGTCTCACACTTGTCTCAAACCAAAATCCTACTACGAAAGAGGAATCCGCAAATTGCCTGTAAAATGGGCAGAAGTCGTCAATAATAATGGAAATTATTTGGAATGAATTTATGGTTTTATGTTGAATAAATTTTAGTTCAAAGTCCCCCAGTTTTCAATTCACCAACCCAATAGATTAGGGCTGTTGAGAGGAAAAAGCACGTAACAAGTAAGGTGAATGAATCCCTGAAGAAGAATAGGCCCTCCGAGTCAAAGATCGCTCTCCTCCACGACAACGCGCGCTCTCATGTTGCAAAACTGACTTGCTCTAAAATAAATAGCCCTGTTTGGGCGCTTTGGGCGCATTCCCCATACAGTCCGGACCTCGCCCCTTTTGATTATTATTTATTCCAGATCATGAGTAGTGAGCTTGCGGGAGAACACTTCGATTAGGAAGAAGCAGGATTTTTAAAGGTTTTTCGACTCAAAACCAAAATCCTACTACGAAAGAGGAATCCGCAAATTGCCTGTAAAATGGGCAGAAGTCAGAAATCAATTCATTCTAAATAATGGAAATTATTTAGAATGAATTGATGGTTTTATGTTGAATAAATCTTAGTTCAAAGTCCCGCAGTTTTCAATTCACCAACCTAATAGTTTTAGCGGTTTACAAGTTATAAGCGGTTTTCTAACAATATCAATAAAATTGTTGAGGTTGTAAATCAATATTTAGACGCATCATGATCACTGGCACAGAAACAGAAAAGCAAGACCACTACTTGGCTGGAAAAGGAGTTTGTCCATTAGGACTTGCGGAAAAGAAAGTGAGCAATACATTGCTTTTTGAGCTTCTTTTTCAATAAGATTTCATTGAATAACTTTAATTTTTGTTAATTGTCAGCTTTACAATACAATTTAGCGACCGGTGGCCGCGCATCCGATCTCCAATTGGGCAAACCTCACCGGAGATGTTGATGCGATGGTCGACTTCATTGCCAACAAGGCTCCATTTGCCTTTTGTATCAATTTCTCTCTTATCACCTAGCCAATATTTTCTAGGCATGATGATTTGTGAAGACTTTTTCGGGTATCAATCCGGTGTCTATGATAGCACGAACTGCACTGAAGATAATGCTGTTGGTGGACATGCTGTTGCTGTGATGGGATACGGTAAGTTATTAAGAAAATGTTAGTCTTCAAGAGTACTCGTTGTAATCGATTACTCACTTGTACTCAGGGACTACTGATACTGGAATCGATTATTGGCTTGTCCGAAACTCTTGGGGACCTACATGGGGAGAAGATGGTTACTTCAGGGTAACTTATTTTTCTTATTCATACTCGAAAAATAGTTAGTTTTTAAGACAGCGATTATATTGGGTTGGGAAGAATGAAAATGAAAAAGCGCCGAAAATGAAAAAAGTGTCCAAAAACTTCTATTCGACTTCGTCAAATAATATGCGTTTGATATCAGTAGAATGGTTAACTAATTCTCTACAAAATGACATTTAAAAGAAAATTCAAACAGCGCCTCCGCTCAAGAAAAAGCCATTTTTTCACAAAAACTACAAACTGTGATCTAGAAAAAACCATTGGTGGGATCTTCCTGCAAATTTGGCAACTTAAGTAATTGAATGTGCTCTATCTTTTTTATATAAACACCAAAGAAGGTTTATGTGAAAGAAACTGTTCAAATGATGAGTCGGACTCTTTGCCATTTTGACTAGCTGTGTTTGGGAGTCCATAAACTCCACGAAAGAAAAGCTTTGTGGAATCTCTCAAAAGTCATTTTATAGAGAAAGAGTGGATCCTTTTGATGAAACCAAACGTATGTTTAAAGAAGGCTTTATGTGTGCAAAAAGTCCCTTTAAAGTTGGGCGCCGACTCATTCTCCCCAACCCAATAAGTTCTTGATTAATTTCCAATTCTCAGATTCGAAGAGGAACTAATGTAGCTGGTTGTGAGGATTCGAATGTCGCTGGTCCGATTCCGGTCGATTCACGTGATTGTCCCAATAATAAATTGCATCGGGCACATCACCATATCAATCCTCATACACAACAGGATTTTGTTTTGATTTGAGTTTGAAATAAATTATTAAACAAAACTCGATTTGATAAAGCTGCAGGACAAAGACAAAGCGTTATTGTTAACAAAACACATTCTCAAATCATTCGTGAGCTAATTTTAGAAGATTGGAAATAAACAAACGATGTTACATGAAAATAGCCTTCAAAGCGTCAAAATTAAAGCTTGTAGAATTGATTGAGTTCATAAAGAAATTCATCGTCATCGAAACAAAACCGATTAGTTGGTCCCAATTCAAATTGGTGTCCTCTCCACAAGCTCTGACAAATGCGGTAACACGGAATTGCCCGCAAAGCTCTCAATCTTCACCCGTGTTTCGAAATATTGTGAATGGATACGGAATATCAAGAGCATGAGAAACTTCTGTGAAACATATGATTTGAAATACAATAAATCCAAGTACAATGCAAGTTTACAAGACAAGTTTGCAGTTGTAAATTCAGTTTGTAATTAAAATTTCATTTATTAAATTCTTTGATCCGTTATTTAATTGGTGTGTTTGAGGAGAGCTTTGTCGTGCCTCCATTTCTCTTGTATTCAACATTGAAGATGATCACCACAAAACTAAGAAAACATTTTGAGAGTAAAGGCTTTCAGTTTCAAGAACAGTAGTTGTTAACTTACCAGAGCATACAGTGGACGATAAAAGGCGTGATTTCAAGCACCAAATAATAGAAAACCGGTCGCTCTGACGTGTAGACGTAATTCACGATGTAGTTGCCAATGAAATAACAAATAGTGATGAGGTGAGTTGTGACTAACTAGAAAAAAATTATCTGCTTAACAGAGCAGAATTGATGAAAAGGTAGGTTTATCTCTAGAATCTTGTTTTCAATATAATCTCTCAAGATCTCTAAAGTTTAATGTGTTGAATAGGTTTGAATTTATCTTTGAGATGCTTTTTCCTATTTTCAGATCACTAGGTAATACAATATCCTGTTTTATATGAAAAGATTGGTTTAGCTCATAAGACAGGGTGAGTGAAAAGTTCTGTCCCCTCCTAAAAGACCACTTTTACGATGTTTTATGAAGTTTGCAAGACTCAAAACCTACAAAATTAGATTTTTCAAGTATTTTTATCCTAGAAAATTGTTGCATATGTTCTATTCTACTCATATAAAAAATTTTATAGAACTTTTTATAGACATCATTTGAGCAACCCTCTGGTCGCTGGCCAAAATGGCTTCCCTGGCTTCGTAGCAAATTAGAACTTGGTATATTTGTAACTACTTAGCTATAAAAACAGTTTTTTATAATTTATTACGATTTTGAATTTGCAGTTGAGCATTCTCGTCCTCATTTAAAGTCTACAGATCAACTTGTGCAACTTTTAGGTCTGATATAATTTTGATAGCCTCTTTTCCAAAAAACCGGATTGTAAAAGCAAAATTTCATAACGGAACTATGGCTAGCCAGATTTGAATAATGCTAAGAAGTCCTCAAGACAATGTTTTAGTAGCTAAATAGTTATTTTAAAAAGTGTTTAAGATTATTTTGGCCTGTGATCAGAGGGTATCTCAAATGTTGTCATAAAAAGTTTTATAAAATTTTCTATATGGGTAAAATCGAACATATGAAACAATTTTCTAGCGTAAAAATATTTGAAAAACCTAATTTTGTAGGTTTTGAGTCTTAGAAGCTTCATAAAACATTGTAAAAGTGGTCTTTTAGGAGGAAACAGAACGTTTTACGCACCCTGTATGTAGTAGTTATGGTTATCGGATCGGATCAGATCAGAACCGGTCCGATAGCTCCCACCGATCGGGCTCCGATCCGATTCGTCCGACCGATCGGGCTAGCCCGATCCGATCTGATTTTGCCAAAAAAACCCTTTGTATGTAGTACACTTACCATGATTGATAGGCGAATGTCGGCCCGTCGTCTTGAAATTGAAGTCCTCGTCTGAAAAGAACGCTCATTTGTCGTTTCTTTTTCAAAACCCACCAGTTGCCGAACTTTCCAAAGCACTAAAACATCCAATAAGATTGTTATTCCCAACACCGCATACATAACTTTATCAAAATTTAAAGTAAGAAAAGATGCCGTTTCACTCCAAGCAAAAAGATTTGTGTTGAAAAATTCGGATGGCGCATAGTACCATCCCCCGTAACAGAGAAAACCCGTCTCTGGGTTTACCACTGAAATTCTTTAATGAAATTCTTGAAACGAAATGGATTTTGATACTCACAATTCCCGATTTGATAGCAGTACACTCCAACAGGAACGGCCCAAAGAAAAAAGCTGTGTGGCAAGGCGATTGTTTCAACTTTCCTGTACAACAAACCTCGGAAAAACACCGCAAACACTCTGAAAAGTGAAAAGTCTATGAAAGTAAAAGATTTTGACAGATTTATGCTAATTTACCTGTTTAAGCAAAGGCCATGCCCTAACATTTGCATTGAATAGTGCATACCCAAATCAAATGAAATTACGAGTCGATTGATTGTAAAGCCGGATAGGAAATAGTCATCAGGATTTACGCATTCCCAACTGAAATCAAAGTTATAGTTTTATTGATTATTTATTGATCAAACTACTTATAACCTGTTCACTATGTCGTTTATTAGTTACAGTAACCTTTTACCCCAACCTCAACACACAATAAGCCTTGTAAAATTGCGTCCACGCCTCATTGAATCGACAATAACAATCCAGAAAAAGATAACATTTGACGGCTTTTGAAATATGTGCATTTCGGAAAATTGTCCTTGCGCAGAAAAAGTTCAGCGCTAGGCCAAAGATTCCCACCTGAAAGTTCCGGATTCAAAAAATTACGTGCAAAAAGGAAAATGGTGACTCATTAGAACACAGAAGTACTACAATTGCCATAGACATTTTTAAGAAATTAGAAAAGTTTTGGAAATTTGGAATTTTCTGAGAGAAACGATTTCGAAAATTATGTTTTGCTAATTTCTGTGAGAACAAAAGCTCAATTCTGACTCAAAAAGTCTGAGCTTTTGCTTTTGCTTTTGCTTTTGAGCTGTAGAAACTGGCAGAAAAATAACAGACGTGTACAATTCATCTTACTTGTATCTTTACGCTAGAATAATAAAGAATACGTATATTAGGCTGTTCAGAAATTCTTTTTGTTCCATTTCGTACTTTTTAACATAACAAATTCATCAATTAACCTATGATTTTCTCTAAATGAAAAGGGTCTAAAGTGTCTAAATAAAGTGTTTATTGTTCAATTTTCCATGTTTTTAAGTCAATTTCGGTTCACTTTCAAGCAAATTCGAGAGTGAAAAGCATGTTTTTCGCAAAAATCTTTAAAAACCTCTACGAAGAAATTGACTGAATTAATTTCTTGAATTTCTTGAACTGAATTAGTTGAATAATTGATTCAACATCCGGAAAACCGATTGATATCAAGGTGGGAATGATTTGACACAAGAAGATCTCAAAAATTAACTATAGCTCGCAAATATTAGGTTGATAAATAAGTCTTTTCGTTCCGTTTCGTACTTCCGTTTAAAACTAAGAAATTCATCAATTAACCTATGATTTGCTTGAAATAAAAAGACTTTCCTCTTCAATTTCCCATCTTTTTAAGTCAATTTCGATTCACTTTCAAGCAAATTCGAGAGTGAAAAGCGTGTTTTTCGCAAAAATCTTTAAAAACCTCTACAAAGAAGTTGACTAAATTAATTTCTCTAAAAATTTGGCTATATATTTGGGTTGGGGAGAATAAGTCGGCGCCGAAAATGAAAAAAGTGTCCAAAAACTTCTATTCGACTTCGTCAAATAATATGCGTTTGATATCAGTAGAATGGTTAACTAATTCTCTACAAAATGACATTTAAAAGAAAATTCAAACAGCGCCTCCGCTCAAGAAAAAGCCATTTTTTCACAAAAACTACAAACTGTCATCTAGAAAAAAACCATTGGTGGGATCTTCCTGCAAATTTGGCAACTTAAGTAATTGAATGTGCTCTATCTTTTTTATATGAACACCAAAGAAGGTTTATGTGAAAGAAACTGTTCAAATGATGAGTCGGACTCTTTGCCATTTTAACCAGCTGCGTTTGGAAGTTCATAAACTCCACGAAAGAAAAGCTTTGTGGAATCTCTCAAAAGTGATTTTGTAGAGAAATAGTGGATCCTTTTGATGAAACCAAACGTATGTTTAAAGAAGGCTTTATGTGTGCAAAAAAGTCCCTTTAAAGTTGGCCGCCGACTCATTCTCCCTAACCCAATACCTAACTTTTTGTGCTCTATCTTTTATCTCTTAACGTCAAGATAGGTTTTCTTAGCTAAAGTGTCTAAACCGTGTTATCGATCAGTCCTTTTTTGACTACCCGACTTCACGCTCCCAAAAAGATCCAGACATAAGACATTTTAAACCCGTTTTAATGTTATTTTGCAGAAAAATAATTGGCTTTTCTGATGAAACAAACCGTAATTCAATTGTTCCATTTGTTGGTTTTAAACAGAAGTATGAAAAGAAATGAAAAGACTTTCTGGACAGGTAAAATAGGTAAAAAGTTATTCATCTTTCAAGAGAATATAAATTTGTTACCAGAGCCGTCTTTTACACTGAATTCTGAATTCTGGAGTGATAAGCATCAAAGCTTTTTAAGTTTACTCATCAAATGCCAAATTCTTACATCAATCTGATATAAAAAAAGTATGAATTTGTTACCCCACAGGAATAACACATGAACCATGAGTCTTTCGCAATAATTCGATGGCGTTTATCCGCTAGTTTCTATTTGAAAATGGTCAAATGAGTACAATGTTTCACTAGTTGAGTAAAGTAAAGGTTTTTGTTGGTATAATTACTCCTGATCGATATTTCTCCTCACCAGACAATTCACAATCGCGATCGTCATCTCTTCCGAGGGATTTTCACTCAAACGCACAGGCAATCCATCATAAGAATATGCTACTCCAAAGTCCCAATAATACAAATATCCACTTCCATTTACACAAGGAAATGTGTTATTTGTTGGCTGAACTCCTATTGAAGGAGTTGTAGCAAAAAGTCCAGCAAATGGATCATAAGTTGAATTCATTTGCAGAAAATATTGAAATTTATGTCCTACTTAGAACAGTTTACACGCAATTTGGATTTTTGGAAGGATTTTTGTGCTTGATTTCGCGCTTTTTAAACATAACACTCCCATGAACCCATGGAAATTCAAAGAAACAGACACAAAAAATGTAGGCGTCATCCGTGAGAGTTTCCAAGTTAAAAAAGAACCTAAAGTCAATGCGGATCTAAAGAAACTGAGCCAGATCTTAGAATCGGTGCTCAGAAGTAGAAAAAGTTAATGATAAACAATAAAATCATCTATACTAAACTAAACTCATTTAAAAAAGCTAGACTGATTGCTTCAGCATTTAAAAACAGCTAGACTGACAGGTTATTTAAAAGTTTCTATCAACTTTTTCTAAAAACCATTTTAAAATGACTGAGGAAAGCTATTCAACTAAAGTTTTTAAAATAAAAACCTTAATAAAATTATACAACTACCATAAATTACTAATAAGGAGCCCATAGTCCATCATAGCTTATGAGCCGCGTAAAAGTGGTCAATGGCCCGCTGCTGAAATTACTCAACTTCCAATGTTTATACAAATCCTTAGCATCGATGAAATTAAACAATTTACACAAATTTTAAGCTTTAAATTCTTTTCCAATTAAAATGAACTAAACTTGATATTGAACACCCTTTCTGGGGCTTTCTGGGGAATGCTCTTTTTGATAAAAACACCAAAATCTGTTGCCTTTGATACGAGGGAGCTTCTATCTTCCTTTCTATTAGGTTGGTGGGAAAATAATCGAAATAAATAAGACTCAAACTTTATTTTTGATTTCGAAAAGTCCTTTCGCGTCATTGATACTAAACTTTTAGCTAATTGTGATTGATATACAGTACTGGATAATGAAATAGCATATTTGAAAAACGATCGTCACTTTCGCGCGTCTGTAACTCCCTTGTCTTTGAGTTTAAACTATTAGTGTTATACATTTTCTGAAAGCTCTTTTCAAGGGCTATACAATGGTAATATTAATATTTAGAAATACGGTAAAGACCAGGGAGTTACAGACGCGCGAAAGTGACGATCGTTTTTCAAATATGATATTTCATTGTCCAGTAGTGTATGTTCTTCTCTTTTATGTTTTTTTATTTCTTTTATGCTGATGGTTTTTACTTTGAATAAATTCATTTGTTATTGACTTTTAGTTTTGGACTTGAAGTTAGAGGCTCCAAATTTCGATTATTTTCCCACCAACCTAATATAAATCTTAGCCTAAACGCTTTTAAAATTCTTTTCCTACTTTTAAGCATAAAGATGAACATTAAAAGTTTATAAATTTTTGTTTTAGGTCGATTTTGGACGATTTTGATCGATTTTGGTTGATTTTAGTTGATTTTGCCAGTGTGCTGTCGACCACTTGTGCGCGGCAAAAAATTTTTGAAAAATGTTGTCACCGGTGGAAGTCGAACCAGCGACCCTCAGATCAATAGCCTTTCCGCCGCTTTTCGCGATTTTCCTTCGTTTTTCTCGTTTTTTTTTTGTTTTATCATTTTTTTGATGTTGTTAGAAGGCTTTTTTCAGGAATGTCGTGTCAAGTTGAATCGGAGGAGGAGCACCAGCGACACCTGTTTTTGTATGCATTCAACCGAAAACTCAATACCGCACAGGCTCATCGAGAGATTACTGACGTTTATGGACCCGATTTCGTGGCCGATAAAAAAAGCTATGATGAGCTATGGCCTCCTTATTAGTAATTTTAAGTAGAATTTTATTCAGGTTTTCTTTTTAAAAAAAGTTTCGCTAAATAGCTTTCCTCAATCATTTTAAAATCAAGTCTTAGTAAAAATTTGTATAGAAACTTTTAAATCGCCCTGTAAATTTGGATAATTTGGGTAAATGGGTGCAGAAGGATCCCGGGAGAGGATGAAAAAGCTTGTAAAAGTTACATTAGATTAGATTTTGATTTGAAGAACTTTGGTCAATGCCACCAATTGTAAATAACACCAGCTGCGCTGGGCGTCCGCTAGCGGCCGCACGGATATTCTACCTAGAGGTACTGAAGGCACCTAGCAGTGAGCACCTAGCACAAAGCTGATTGCAGATTCGGATTCCACGCCCCCGAAAATCGAGTACAAATTTCAGCTTTCTAGCTCACTTCATTGTAATTTTACGTTGACGTAATTTGTATTGTCGCGTAGGCATGACGGACGGACGGACGTTTTATATTTTTGTATATAGTATGTATATGTAAATAGCTTTGTTATCAATAGCTTTTCGATCACTGAAAAAGCAGCAAGTGTTTTGTTTCAACATTACATCCCAAGAGCAATTGGAAATTAGGACAAAGTGAATTTTTGAGCTTTTTGAAACTTTTAGCAAAGTATAAATAGCGAATTTTAATCAGAATTTGATAAAATCAAATAAG